TGGTCTCTAACTTGTCGCCCTTGTCAAGTATCACGCAAACTACCTAGCACTGTGGTGTTAGGTAAAGAAACATGATGCACATGAAAGAGCTGAATCTCCTTAAGTATCTGATGGCTCTTGGCCTGAAGATCAACACCGTGATCTTCTTCTTGGTTGGTCCCTCGGACCGTGGTCCTTCACCCTAATGTTTGCGGTTGTTGATCTGGTTGGCTTGATTGATCTAATCAGTTGATTCATAGCGTGAAGAAGGATGATGATCCTGGATGCAGTTGATCTACGACATGATTGAGATGATCTTAAGATGCAATTTGATAGATTGGCACGCTGATCTTATGTTGTTCCAACATTCCCCCCTTCGTTACGTCGGAGCGAATGAGAAACACCACAAGAAACAAGATACCAAGGCTATCCCAAACAAGTAAACAATTACGCTACCACTACACAACAACTTTTTTTTGTCTTACTTAATACGGCTACGGTTTTGGTACGAATGCAAATTTTAGAAACTTGCAACTGTATGAGAGTTAACGCTTATGCAAGATAGAGCTTTTTTTTTTTTTGTAATGGCTTACTTTCGTGGTATTTAACTTGAAGCGTGAAGTTCTATACTTTTACTTTTCAGGGTGCTACAGGAGGAGCTCGACGTAATAATTCACGAAATCTAGATGCTCCTCGCAAAATAAGCCCATCTCTTTTGTTTTCTTCTGCGGAAAATTATGTCTAAAGCTCCTGCGTTTGACGTCTTCGTTAGACCATCAGCTCGCTGAAGATCTGTCGGAACAAATACAATCCTACTACCGTTCTCGATCACCTTCGAATGTCGGATAGCGATGTGTCTTGTCGGCCGTGTTAGCTCGTTCTTGTTCTTCCTTCCGCTTAAAACTGCGCTTCTGTTGTCACACAGAACTGGCCCTTTACTTGCATCTTCTTGGTCTTTTTCCGAACGACCACGCAGAAACTCGAGCAGCAAGTGAGGCCCATCTGCCATTTCTATCGCCTTGGCAGCGGCGACCCACTCGGACTCCATGCTCGAGGTTGCTGTGACGGTTTGCGGCTGACTTTTCCAAGCCACAGGAAAACCGTAGAGATAGATGACAACTCCAGTGATGCTACGCATCTTCTTGTACGTGGAGGCAAAGCTGGCATCTCCGTAGGCTGTGGCCGGGTGCTTCAAAAGCTCAGGATGGATCTTCTTGTTCTCCTCGTGGTCCGCTAGTTTGGCTAAGTCCTCAACGAATTTCTTCTCCGTCTCGGGCGAATACTCAATCCCTTGCTGCTTCGTCCCCGCTAAGTAGCGAAGAACACGTCGTCCGGCATTCTCCATGGCTTTGTTCACCGGAACTGCGGTCGCCCTAGCTAACTTGTTCGTTGCAGCTCCAATGTCCGGTCTTGCCGTGACAGTGAGCCACTGCAGTGCGCCTACAAGCGCTCGAAAGGGAAACGACGACGGATTTGCTTTTTCTTCGTAAAGCGGTGCTTCTTCGAAGTCGGGCGACGGCAAGGTTTTTAAATCCGGCTGCGCCATGTCGAATTTTCGCAAGACCTTGTCTACGTAGTTGGCCATGTTGATCCGAAGCACGCGACTCTTTCGCGAATAAATGCAGTCTGCGCCTAACAGATCAAATTTGACCGCGTCAGGCAGCTCCGACGTGGCTGCTGGAATCATCGGAATAAGAGAGATAGGATGCCTCTCGTGGACTTGTTGGACCAATCGGTCAACCTCAGCTTCGCTTTTGCCCATGACGACACAATCATCAACGTATATCGTCAGAAGCGCCTCTATCTCTCCCTGTTTGTTGACCTTCTTCCAGAGGCCTGGCTCTGCTTCAGCTTCTACCCAGCCGAGTTCTCGCAAGTCCTTGCTAATTTGGTCGCCCCACAGTTTTGGCGACATCGGGAGTCCATATAGTGCCTTCAGAAGCATCCTTTTCCCATCATCTTCACCGGAGGCATCTTGAAACTGTGGCGGAACAGAAACTACAACGCGATGGTGCTGGATGGATGCCCTGATAAATGCATTCCCAATATCAAAGGCTTTTATGTGCCAGCCGTGTTTTGCTGCATGTGCCAAAGCTACTCGATTTCCCAACTGCGACACCACCGAAGCAAACAGCGAAACGTCTTCGTTGCTTTCCGCCTGCCATCGGTTCCCAAGCACAACTAAACGCGCTTTGAACCTACCGCAGCGCTTCCGGCTAAGCAACAAAGCCGTTGGCGTGCACCTTAACTTTCCACTCCTGCAATCTGCATACTCCTCCTCTTGCAGCTTACGCCAACACCGATAAGCCTCAAGTCTCGCCGCTTCAACGCTGGTCGCCTCTATCCACTTAGGTCGATAAGGATTAGCATGGTGAAACGCGCGCGATGGCGTCGTTGTTTGTCCAGGAGGAACTTCAAAGTCACCAGGCTCGCCCCCCTTCGACAGGAAGACCTCCTGATAAACTAGCTCCTCACCCTCTTCAAAGGTTAGGTGTGAATAGAGGGCTTCCGCAAAATCGACCTGCTGCATCTGCGCTTTTGTTCGGCGCTTCCTCGGAGTTTTGTCCTTGGCTCCTCTTGGCCTGCCTCTTGTTCTCGCTGTTGGTATTTCGCGGCGGATTGGTCCATACTTGACGTTGGGTGAGTTGCCGTGGTTGCTCGGCGGAAGCTCAGCCCCAGACGCGTCGGTGCGCGGTGGTGATGCATCGCTGTGCTCAAGGGTCGCTTTGCCTTGCTTGTTCAACTCGATGGTCTCACGAAGCGTGTTTGTTGGCTTATGCTCTACTTCCGGCGTTGCGGATTGCTGCGCGTTAATGCCGCCTACAACCTCCTCCCCCTCGAGATCTACCGTGGGTGGCACCCCAGCGAGCGGAACACCACTCCCAGCGGGCCCAACGGCTGAAACACGAGCGAGCGAAGGCTTCAGCTTGATCAGGATTTGCTCATCGAGATCTGCTGTCTTGTTGTTGCAGAGCTCGCGCACGTTCTGCACGAGTACTTCTTCAAGAAATACCACATTGGCGCACTGATAAACCGCAAAACGATCGCTGTCGTTGTCCGGAAAGCAGCCAATCAGCCAGCAACTGTTCTCATCCGACCAACCTAAGTTGATTCCCCGTAGTGCTCTTGGCGATAGCACTGCGTTTTTCTCTTCCTGTTTGGCTAGTTCCGTTCGACCCGGACGGAAGATAGCCAAGCAACCAAACCGGCGCAAGTATTTCTTCTTGCGCTCAACGTTGACCTTCTGCAGCGGGTTCGATGTCCTCGCATTGACAGCTTCCTGCGGAGCACTAACAGCGCCTGTTTCTTTGTTCTTTCGTGGCATGAGGTTCCAGCATGTGACCACATGGCGTAGAGCATAGTCCCACACCCTGGGATCAACATGCAACATGCATGACCGTAGTGCGTTCTTCAAGCTTTGCACTGTCCGCTCCGCATGCCCATTGGTCCACGGCATATATGGAATACTATACGAATGAGCTACGGCGTAACGTAAACATACAGCGTCCATTTCTGCACTCTTCAGCGTTTCTTCGTTGTCAGACCGAAGCCCTATCGCGACCAGGTCCGTCTTGGTTGCCCCAGTGAGTACATCAGCGCCACACTTATGCCGAATCTCCCGTAGGAAACTCTCAACCGCCTGCGGTGCAAAACTCTTCGCCGGTAAGCTTCTAACCGCTACATACTGCGTTGTGTTGCAGACGAAGAGCATTACCACTTTGTTCCCGCGGTAAGTTTCAGGCTTCACCGGGCCGAAGAAGTCCGTGGAAAAGACGACGAGCGAAGCGTTAGTTTTCTGTGCGTCCGAGCTGCTCACGTCAGCTCCAACTCCCTTGAACTTCGCCTGTAGACAGTCCAAGCATGAGGTTCGCTGCGTGCTGTCATGTAAATGCGCCATGCGCCAATGCTGCAGTAGTTTGTCTGCGCGTGTCCGCACGCTGTCCTTCGGTCCTCTCCGTCTGCGACCTGCAACTTTGACCGCTTTCTTCGCTCGGTGTGGTAGGGTTATCGGAACGCCATCCGCCTGCACATTGTTGCACGATTCTGCCAAAGGCGTAAACTCGTATCCGGATGCTGCTGGCAGACTGTCCTTGTCAAAGAGGTTTTCAACGCTAGGGAGCCCACTCGATGCACTCGAGAACTTGACAAACGCGCCCGTTACCGTGTGTCTTGCATAGTCACCATTTGCCTCAAAAACGATCTGCCAGCCTTCTGCTTTGAGTCGGCGCACCGACACTAACGCCTCGACAGGTAACTTCGGGAACCAGATAGCTTCCACTTTCTTGCCGAAGACGTTCTCGCTCAAGACGCCGAGATGTCCCACGTCTGACCCTGCAACCCCTTTTATCTTTACTTTCTTACTGTGATCGATAGAACTAAAATTTTGCCTATCTCTAACTATATGCGACGTGCTACCTGAATCAATGATATTACTTAGAACACTTCTAGACGTATCAGACGAAATTAAATGCAACCCAACAAATAAATGACTGTGGTCAATTTTTGTGCAAGACGATGACAAATTTGCCAAACTAAAACAAGTAGATAAATTATTCACTGACATACCACTATAACGATCTTTCTGCTGTCTATGCAGCTTTCTCTTTCTTTCCTTTATTACCTGTAAGACCTTTTTGTTCTTTAGTCAATTCTTCCCCTTCTTTCCGCCTCCTTTGCGATTGTCTTTGCCCTTCTGTTTGCCACCATGGGCAGCTTTGAAGCGACATTCTGTCGTGTTGTGCGAACGGAAAGCAGCTGCACGTGATTCGTCCCAGTTGAAGTGCTTCGCGCAAGTAGGGCAGTACTTTGTCGACCAGGTGCTGCTCTCGTTGTTCTTGCCGCCTTTTCCGCCCCCCTTCTTTCCCGCACCCTTGCGCTGTTGGTGGCCATCGTTGCGACCATAGGGAGAAGGGCGGGCGTACTGACTTCCTCCTTTTTGTGCACGAGCGAGAAGTAGTTGCCCATCCTTGTGCTTGAGCTTCGCCTTCAAGCTCTGGATCGTGCGTTCGTCCTCGTTTCCGGTAATGACCTTGTTGACACTCTCCTCGCCCAGGATTCCCTTGGCTTCTTTCTCAGGCTCAACTTCAACGGCGAAGATATCGGCTTGCTTTTCTCCAGCGACTTCCTGGAACATAATGCGGGAGCACTTCTCTGCTAAATCGTCGGCGCTGTAACCGTTTTCACTCGCGGGGTGCTGTTTGAAGTCCCGCAAAATTTGCGCAACAGTCGGGTCTTTCGTAGAAATGTTTGTCATCAGTACGTCTCTGATCAAACGCTCACGCATCGGCCCAGCGGGGAGTTCGGCTCCGCACTTTGCTGCCATCGTTTTCAACTCCGCAACAAAGCCCATGAGGTCCATATTGCTGCGCTTCCAATTGGCATTCTTCAAGGCAGTCATCTCTTTCTCGATCTGGACCCCTTCGAAGTAGTCAGCGAGGCGATGTAGTTCGTTCAAGACCCCCGCCAAGTCATCGACGATCTGACTGTTCTCGATCGCGGTTTCGATGCGCGCTGCCAACGTCTTCCCCAGCGACGCCTTGACGGCTCTGTGCAGCATCAAGCATAGCTGACTGTCCCGTTCGTTGAGCACCGGCGGCGGCGCCACGTTTTGTACCAAAGGCGTTAAGATATCCTGATCAAAGTTCAGGCGTCTCGTGCTTGCTTGTAGGCTTAGGTCCTTATACCATCGGCGGAACTGTGTCGAATCATCCACAGAAGGAAGCTCCAGTAAAGCGATGTCTTTCGGGTTCTGCAGCGCTTGATCGTTAGCCGGGACGACGCCAGGCATTCCAACGGGAGGCGCAGCAGGCGGTGCTGGTTGTGCGCCGGCTGGAGGTCTACCGGGCTCTCCAGGTCCCGGCTGGATGTTTTGGTTCGAATTCCAGATGCGATCCACCAAGACAGTGCGGCTTCCGATGTTGTTCAGACCACATACTTGCGCCCAGTCTTTGATGGCTTGTGCGGTGGCTTGTGCCGCGTTCCTGTCGCCAGAAAGGCTGACATCATGCGCGGCCAAGGCTGCCTGGACGGCGTTGCGTGCGCCCACAGCTGCAACGCCTACAGCTGCTGCCAACAGCCGTAGACAAGGCGTGGAGAATTCGCCAAAGGTGTGCTGTGCCATTTTTGAAGGAAAAGGAGAAGGAGAAAACTCAAGACGAATGCAAGTTTTGAAAACTTGCTAACCTAACGTGTGAGAAGTGAGAGAAGTCGGGATCTGAAACCTTCCGGTTTAAATGTACACGCTACAAATCTCGTACTTTTTCAGATTTAGGCGTTGCATGTAATGCTTTTAATGATGCAAATGTTATTTGTTTTGGAGCTCAATAGACTAGGTAGACTGTTAGAACACACATCCCAATAAGATGGTCTCTAACTTGTCGCCCTTGTCAAGTATCACGCAAACTACCTAGCACTGTGGTGTTAGGTAAAGAAACATGATGCACATGAAAGAGCTGAATCTCCTTAAGTATCTGATGGCTCTTGGCCTGAAGATCAACACCGTGATCTTCTTCTTGGTTGGTCCCTCGGACCGTGGTCCTTCACCCTAATGTTTGCGGTTGTTGATCTGGTTGGCTTGATTGATCTAATCAGTTGATTCATAGCGTGAAGAAGGATGATGATCCTGGATGCAGTTGATCTACGACATGATTGAGATGATCTTAAGATGCAATTTGATAGATTGGCACGCTGATCTTATGTTGTTCCAACATTCTACAACTACTTCTAGTTGTTTTTTTATGAAGATTGATTCAGCTTCGATCTTTGCCACACTCTTTGATTTCATCTCTCTATTAAAAATATACATGAAGACGAGGATGTTGTAAAGTATGAGTTGTATCTTTTGCGTGATAAAGTCGTGAAATAGAATACTAACAGGAGCACAAGAACGTCCAGATTCAGATTCAGGGGGCTCGATCGAGTCAGGTTTTTTTTTTGTATCCCAAGACCGCCGAGAGGATGACCCCAGTTTTAACCAGTTCGCAAACCGGCGGCAGGTGGAGTCCGATTGCCTCCTTATATTACTGCGCACTAATTGCCTACGAACCTGCCAGGTGCACCGACCTCACGAGAATTATAGCGCGGATCTGCTCGACGTCGCAGACCACTTCGGATGACGCAGCTAGGCTAGGAGTCCACTGATTACTCCGGCCTTAAACCTGTCAAGGATTGTACTTGTAGACGAGGACAAGATCTCCCTTAAGGGCGGCTGATGGAACGGTGAAATTGGGAGGTATCGTTGTGCACCTATTCAAATTCAATAGGGGGTGAAGCAGTGTGGGGAGGAAGTTGGACGAGTAACAGAAGCAGCACGTTTTCATCCAGTCAGCAAGACAATCTTTACACCGAAGACGACTTCATCATAGCTTTTTATCCGATTTCTGACCGAATTCTTATTCACCTACTGACACACTTTATGCCGATCCTTCTGATTTGTTATCCTCATGTCCAACTACCAGATTATACCTCGAACACTTCTTATTCTATCTTCTTGCCCCTGCTTATTTCTAGTAACTAGCTATAATAGCTTTCAGATTCTTAGGTCTACTAGCTCTAGAATTCAAATTCATCGCAACGGAAACTGTCTGCTCTCAGAAGCCGCGCGCGCATTAATATGTCACGATACATCCCTTCTTTGCAACGCTCAACAAATCTCATTCATCCGAAGAGCGATGCCTGCATTCATCCGATCAAGGCAGCAGAAAATCCTAGGACATGGTCATGGACATTATAATGTCGACTAACAACAACTACTCGTGACTCGTCGCTCTTAAAAATTCATTTACATTTTCTACTTGCAATGTTGATCATCTCAACTGCGACGTGGGAAAAAACAAATTCAATACAGTGTAGAAACTAAGTGAATTTGTCAGTATGTAACCGTGATTCAGCAGTAAAAGTGTTCATTAAAAATATGCCTACATGATTTTCTCATTATCGAAAGTCGTTGTTTCAAGTGCACCAGTAAGAAACATTCATTGAAGAAAGAGAGAACGAAGACTCATCGCGAAAGTCGGGCAGGTGCTCATTTGCATTTTCAACAAAAATCACTTAAGTAGTTATACATAGCTCTACGTACAAAAATAACTTAACCTTTATTACCTTTCTTTAAAAATACACATTCTAAGAAGACAAAGCTTCTCCGTAAGTGCAAATAACAACATGAGAAACATGCGTACAATTATCATAAAATATTTATAATACCACTTTTACTCAAACCGCATGTAGTAACCTTCTATCATGATTATCCGGTAAATGATCGGTCGTCAAGGTAGTGTTAGCATGTCCCCAACTCGAACAAGGGCCCGGCCAAGAACGCGCTACGACCGGTAAACCATTGTGATGCTGACCCTGGCCAGGTACAACCTTTGAAGCAGACGACGTTCATGCAGTTGAAGAAGGCTGATTTTTACTGTATAATGAATAAGAAGACATATACGACTAGATTGCGTCCCATTGAGGACAAGGATTGATAGCTTTCCCATGATGTTGTGAACAAATCATATTTGGATGTTCAATATGAGACAGATGGTGCACCTCATCAAGATGTAGCTGTTATTCCTTCACTAGACATTGCATCAAATAACAGAAGTACCTCCAGACAGCCTGCTCCCGTTCCTCCAGCAGAGTCCGCCCTTGGTGGCGAGGCGTTGCTCAACTCACTACTCCTCCGAAACCATAGGCCTGGACCTCTTGGCTTTTCGTTTTTCTTCACAAATGTAGGTTCTTGAAGCTGTAGCTGGGCTTGTTGATCGTTGAAGTTTATTTCTCTTCCTCGTGGAACACCAGTAGAAGATGTGTCAAAGTTGCGGTGCGTCAATCCACCAGAGGCACTACAAACAGCAGGATTATTTCTAGAAGAATCCTCTTCCACTAGTATTCTGGTGCTGATAGGCAGGTCTGCAGGAAGATGTTGTAGTTTGTTGTCAACATTCATTTTATGTGGACGAGCAACCACTTCTACAGCGTGAATTAGAACTAAGAGAAATCCATCTTGAGCAGCATCTTGGGTCTCGTTTTCCCTTTAAAAACGGGACCAAGATGCCTGTGAAGATGGATTTCTTGTAGCCTTATGTGAAAAGTCCTCTCGAACAAAGTAGACTCCCCCGGGGGCCCTGGAGGCACTGGTCCTGCTCGTCTAGTACAACTGCCATGATCCTGCTTCACAACAAGTCGAAGATCGTCCTCTTCGACCTCCATTGTTCTCATCCTTTCGTTGAGTGCTTGCATATGTAGTTTCAATTGATACATCCTGGGATCGTTACTTTTAGCGATTTTCGCCTTCAACGCTTCCATCCTCGGATCCCGACAACGCGCAATCTTCAAATCCAATGCTCCCATACTAGCCGGCGCGCACTGAAAATGAGAAGTACCGGAACTAGAAGTACTCCCAAGGAGAGAACCTCCAGGCCATGAAGAGGTGATGCAGCTGGTGTTATTTTTGGAAGATGAAGTTGAAGTTGCAGCTGAAGTTGATGAGCTGCTACTCGTTGCACCAATCGTCGTGGAAAACGATACAGGTGTGTCGCATCCTGCAGATGCCTCTGGTCCCAGAAGCACTACATCGTCTTCATCTGAAGCTCGGCTACAACGGCTCAGCGATGAAAAAATGAAACAAGGCTTCGCTTGAAGATGAGACTGACTTGTAGTTGTAGCAGGTGTAACGCATCAACTGGATGAACATGACGTACTTCAATGTTGATGGTATGCATTGACTTGAATTGCTCCTCGATGTAGATCTAGGTAGCCACCAGACGTAAAAAAATGAGAGTCACAGTGCACATTCATCTAGTAGAGTGAATTTGATTCTACTGGTCCAACATAACAAAAGCATTGCCCCTGCTCGACAACTCCCCATCTTGTTCCTTCTTCTGTTGCGGCGGCGGTGGCGGAGGAGCCCGTTTCCTGACCGGCCGGGGAACCATTGGATGTTCATTCATCCGACTCGTCCAGTCGCAATTATGATTATCTTGTCCTTGTACTATGGGAGCATGCCACCTCTCCTTGTTTTTCCGAAAAAAGTCCTCATCGCACGAGTATGAGTACCACGCTGGATTATGTCCTCCTGGCTGCTGATCATTTCTTGTGGACGTAGCAGTAGATGTGGACGCACCTCCGCATATTGAAGAGGAAACAACCGCGGCACTATTGGACCTCTCCCCAATTCATTCCTGTGGAAATCCCTCAAGGATATGCCTGAGCATTCCCCTTGTATTGGGGTGCAGATGCTTGGGGGATCTAGAGATGGATTGGAGAGATGGATTGGAGGAAGCCTTAACGCCACTTGATGTGTGATACTTTTGTTGTTGTGCTGAAGTTGTTGTACTCCTTGATGTTGAAGTTGTTGTGCAACTTCTCCCATCATGTAGTTGATGATAATTTCTTTCAGCATGTTGATGATATGCTCCTGTGACATTAGTACCAGGAGGTGCGTAATTCTGATGTTCTCCTTCATGGTCTAGTCCCGGCCAGAGTGAACCGGGGTAGCTATGCCTCAAAAAGTCCCATTTTCCTTGTCCTCGTGATTTCGTGTTGTAAGTGGACGAATCATAAGAAGAACCCCAACTTTCGTAGTTGCTCCTCGAGTTGTGCTGCATCTTTGTATTTGTCTGCTACTACTTGTTGCTCAGGCAACTTCTACTTATTTTTCAGAGGAGGACTATTTCTATTGGATATTGAGGCAACTTCTACTTTTTCAGAGGAGGACTAAGACTATTCAATTTTGAGGCAACTTCTACTTTTTCCTTTTCAGAGGAGGAAACTAGCAGTTACTCATTTGGAGGTTTAGACGTTATTATTTTAGACCTTAGTAGACCTTTCTGAGTAACAATTTGGAGGGACGATTTTCGTCAAACAGTCGAACTTGTACTTTTCATCGTAGTTTTTCTTTTTTCAGTACCACTTTGCATACCCGCCCATCCTCGGGACCATCCTCGGTGGGGCTCCCACTTTGATTCTCTGCATCTATGCACTCTTCTCCTGCGTTCTGAGGACTTCCAATACCGATGAAGAAGATCAACTAGAACAAACGAGTTGTGCCTCCACATCACATGAGTTTATATCTCTGGTCCATATAGAGAGAAGATGCAGCTTTCTATTTCTCCTTTCGGAATAATTTCCGTCGTGGAGCCGGATGTCAATCACTGGTCATTAAACGTTATGTGATGTCATGTCTTTTCAAGCTCATCCTCATGTTCATGTTCAAGAACAATAAGAAGTGGCCATTTATTAGTGGAGAGTAGACAAGAACAAGGTGAAATAATTCGGGACGAGTGCAAGGTAAAAAAATTCGGGACGAGTGGTGGGTGGAAGATGAGAGGTATATTAATAATATAGCAAGAACATCCCGCCAATAAACAGGATGCTCCCACAATTATCAAAACGAGTCCCACAGGAAGAAGAACTCATCGTTATCGACGATTTCTTGTTCCTTCGAATTATGATGAAGCTTCAACTTGTAACAAGTTACTTGGTCACAAATCAGTAGCTCCGAAGTTGATGGCTCCATCAACTTGTGCTGTAGTCGCTTTCATTAAGAGGTCAGTTTCCTTCTGCGAAGTATCCTTCAAAGTGAGCTTGTCTCCCTGATCAAAGGCAGGCATGCCGCGGAAGGGACATCCCTCACACCGATAATCGTCACCAAGGTAACAGTTACCGCACTTGGACTCGACCTTTTTTTTGAGTTTTGGTGGATGAAAGGGTGTGAGTCAATACGCCGAGGTAGAACGAAAAAGATTTGAGGAAGAAGAGTGTTCTGATAATTTGAAACAAGGGTGGACAATCAATGATGATCACAATTATATATTAATATCACAGTCATCAACAAGCATTCGAAAAACTGAAATAAGCGACGAGTAACAGACGAGAATAACCGAGATACTGATGAGAAGGAAGAGCAGCCTTGATGTTAAGCTACCTCCCTTATTTCATTCAACAACTCAGTTATTTTGAGTTTTCGAATACATGCATCATGTCGTTTTACCTGTCCACTCTTAAGCATTTCATTTGCTTTTTCTGTTCCGTGTTTTTTCTCTAGATCTGCTCGTCCACAGGAGCAATTTTTGCAGGCTTTCTTCGTATCTCCTGTCTTTGGTGGTGCGCAGACTTTCTTTTCCTTCTTTGCTTGTTGTCGTAAAAACTTTCGTACCTCTGAGCCTCTCCATCGCAAAAGCTCCTCTAAATTTGGCGTTCTTTTGCAGATGAAGGTCTTGTTGAAAGTCGCTTGTCCTACAGCAGTAGTCGTTGAAGTTTCTGGTGCCGCTGCAGATGAAGAAGATGAAGACGCTGCTTGCCCTGCTGGGCCTGATGACGTGCTACTTGTCGCTTGTTTAGTTGACGTTCCACTAAAGCAGTCTTTCAAAGGCTTCGCTGCGACTTCATTTGGTCTACGGAGTGTGAGATGCGTGACGCCCTCGCCAGTATGTCTTGTTACGTTAGCCCACGACTCTGTCACAAACCCAGCAAACAAAGCCTCAGTCTCTAAGCTCCACAGCTCTTCTCTTGATGCGTCGCCACTCGTCTCTATCCGCAATTTTCCATCTGGACGGAGGCCCAAGAACAGGTCCCGCAATAGACCGGAAGCAGCGAGGACAGAGACAGGGGTTGTGTAGAGGTAAAGAGAGGCTTCGTTGAGCAAGGACTTGAGCGCACCTGTGGCAAAAAGCTCGGCTTCTCCTGCTTCGCAAAGCAAACAGCGACGTGGGCAAGTGGCGGAATTGTCTGTTGAGGAGTAGAGAAAGCGAGAGGTGCCGGGAAATCGGTTACACGATTTGCGTCGTCCACTTGATGAATGGACGAATAGAAGATTCAAAGATTACTCACCCTCTGAGGATTAGGATTACGTGGTCAACTACATCAACATGATCATCAGAGAATAAAGAATCTTCTAAGTTGTACTTAGTGAAGTACCAAACGATGCTTTTCCACTTGCTTTTCCCGCAGCTTTACGGTCACCTCGGAAATAAACGGCTACTTGCAAGCCACTACTCGACGATGAGGTCGGAAACGGCGAAGCCGAATACGGTAATTCAGTCATGTTGATATCCACCCCGTCGCCGACCACTTGAGCCTGCATCCGCCGCAAGGCGAAATCGAACGAGTCCATGATGGTCACCATGATGTTATTATTTTCTTTTGGAGATCTCGTAAAGGCACAAGAACAAAGAAAGCGAAATGAAGGACCGGTAGCAATAACTGAATTATCTTCACAATGAAATATTTTTACAGCTTGTTCTCCAGACGACAATGCTGCAACGTATCATATATAGACCTATTTATTTACTCCTGCAAATCTTTGCTTTTTTAATAATCTTGTGCAGCCAGCACCTCCTCTATTAGCGATTTCGACGTAGAAAAAATCGATTCCAAGTTTTTACAGCAAAGCTATTTTTCATTTGGGGATCACCCAGAATTGACCCACAGCTCGTTCGACCCTTTTCTGGTTTTGGGTGGGATCATGATTTTCGACGTGGAGTTGGGGAGATTTCTATTCTAGAGTGCTTGCGCGTGCGCGTCTCTCTATGTTTTGTATCGACCATCTCGTCATGTTGATCTCGTTTCTGATCCGACATCGTGGGATTAAAAAATTACAGGGTCGAGGAACTGTGTCTGTGTCGGTGAAGATCCATCATCATGCTGGACCTATTTATTTCTCGTGCAATATAATACAACTAATGATCTCGCACAGGTTTCAGTGCAGACTGCCGCGCGGCGTCAGAGTGTCTCGCTTTCGTCACGATGCTCACTCACGCAGGTTTTGACTAAACGAACAGCGGCACGGAACTGAGGAAAGAAGTGACAACAAACTTACTCAAGCGCTACCTTTAAGCAACAGCTTCGGCCTACTTATCACAAGCACACCTAAGGAACGGCTAAGACAAAGACTCGAGATCTGTTCCGAACAAAAGAATAAAATATATAAGAAGGCGAGCAGCTCGCCTTCTTAGTTTATTCTTTTGAGAGTCTGAACTACTGAGGGCCTTCGGATAAGACCTGGAGCGCTTCCTTATCAACTTGCTTCATCAACTAGCACTAAGTAAGGCAACCTTAAACAAAAAAACCCACAACCTGCTATAGCAGAAGACTCGAATTTTGTAGGAAAATACTAGAAGGTAAACCTGTGTCTGAAGTTATTAAGAAAACTGGGAGTAGTTTTGCGTTTGCGAAGTATGTAAGAAATTTGCAAGGCTTTTGCAAGATAGTCGAAAAAGAAGGACTGCAGCTGATGCTTCACTGTGACGCTGCTGCTTTCTTTAAGTGATTCTGACGACATTAAACAAACGAGCAACCTTGCTAGCCTCCTGGGGTGGCCCTGCTAGTCCTGGCCCCTCCTAAATCGGCCCCCCCTTTCTGTCTCTATCTCCTTCTGCTTTTCAGCCAAAAACCCCAAGGCCCCAGCACACCGCCCCCAGCGGCGCGGCGTCCTTCTCCTCCCTTGCCTTCTTCGCTCTCTCCTGCGCTTCCCTCTGTGCTCGCTCAAGCAGCGGCGCCCGATTGCAGTCTCCCGCTTGGCTAGCCGCATGCGCGTGCTTATGCCTGAAGGCGCAAGCCCCCGAGCAAAAGCCTGCCCTCGCACTTCGCGCACGGACGAGCACCAAGCGCGGCCACCACCTTCCCAGAAGTCGAAGAACTGCCACAGGCGGACCTCACTGCGCAGCGCGGAGTTGATGCCTGGACTTCAGTGCGGCGCGCTCCGATGCCTCACAAAGCAACACAGCTAGGCCAACCTCCGCGAAAAGCGACCAGGCCGCCGGATCTGTCTCCTTTACGAGTAGACGCAGAAGCCCCTCAGCCGGGGAGGCGTTCCCGAGGCACGCACACCGCCGAGGACCACCGCCCCACCCATGGCCTGCCAGGCGGCCCCTTCACCGCAAGCACACAAACTGCCGCACGCTCAACAACCTCGCCCACCTCGGCGCAAATCCCTCACCCAAGAGAAGCTGGCAGGCGTGCGAACTCTGTGGCATCGAACTCAGCAGCAAAAAGAAGACCCCACCGGCGGCCCTGAACTGTGACGCCGCAGCTACGGCACCAGCTACGGCCAGGCGACTGCGCTAGCCTGATGCAGTTGCGCGGACATGCTGCGCCAGCCGGCTGCTTCGCCCCGAGTGGGCCGAGCCATCGCGCCCCCGACTGGCAGGCCGCTGATAACGCTACCCGGTGCCTGTCCATGAAGTGCGCCCGTTGCCACTGCCTCGCCGACGCGAGCTCTTCCACAGTCGCCTTCCCGTCCCCCTCATCTATCATAGCCAGCCACTTTCTGGAAAGGCCTCAACTCCAAGCAGACGGCCCGCCACTTCTCCCGGCCAAGAATAAGCGGCAGCGCCTCCTCATCCGTCCGCGCGCCACCTAAGGCCGCCGATGGATTTTCCTGCAACTGGCCCCACATCGTTCTTAGGAGCCTGCGGCCTCTCTTGGATTGCTGTAGATACTCTACTGCGCCGCCAGGCCTGGAACCTCTCCGAAAGAAGGCGAAGAAGCCGAAAAGTAAGAGCACCCCAAGCCAGGCGGTTCTTCGACGCCCACACCATGCGCCAATGCCTGCACTCAGAAGATGAAAGTAAGAGCGGGCGCAATCTACTCGGTACCGCCGGCGGATCCTCGCGAGTGAGAGGCTACACAAATGCAAAAAGGAGCGAGGCACTCCGCGAGGCATCAGTAGCGCCGTGCCCTCCATTGTCTGACGCGACTGGATGCCCTCCGGCCCCAACGCCTTGCCCCACACGCAAACGCCCCACGCCGCGCACGCACCTGGCCGAGAAGATTAGCACGCAGACCGGTGGCAGTCTCCGCAACACCCGGGACGCCGTTGGGGCGCGCAAGTGCCCCCGCCCCCCTGCGCGCGCGCTGACCAGTGTCCCCCCCCAGCTCCACGACCCGGCTCCCAAGGTGCCTCACTCCTGCCGTCGTACTTGGGTGCTCCGCGAGAATAGGCGCGCCAGCCTTGGGGCTGTAGGGGCCTGTGTGTGCACTCCAAGCGCGGCGCAGGTTCGCCAGCTCCTCAGACCTCAGCTTTATGGCTTGCCGCCGAGTAAGAACCGAGCTGCGCACTCCATTCCCTGAGAAGCTTCCAGCCAGCTCCCTTCCCCTGGCCTTTGCCAGCGGGGGTTCCGTTAGGCATGCCGCTAGTATGAGACATTTCTTCTTAGCCTTCGCCGTTAACAAAAGCGCGAAGACCAATCAAGAGCTACAGCACGTCTCGCGCGCATTCTAAGGCAAGCAACAGCAGACGAAATAAATCCAGCATCTCGCTCAAAAGGTCATCCACATATCTACTCAAAATACTTTGACTAGGTGGTCGACCTCGAACACACATTGCGGCATATTGAAAAAAGTCAGCTGACTATTGCCGTTGGCTCATGCGAAGATGTATGGCCAATTATTTCTTGTTGTTGCCCCCCTTCCCACCTGCTCTATTAATGGTCATTGCCATTCCACCATTTGCTACAGCACCGCGAATCATCTGACAAAGTATATTTCTATCATCTTCTGGATGACTCAAACTTCTTGTTGACTTCATCTGCATGCTCCGGCTCTTGTTCTCTAGTGGTGATGTTCTTGAGTTTCTGAATTCTTCTACGCAAGTCAACGATGACGAAAATGCAACAGAAGAACCGAGATGGCAGCCCCAATTGCCACTTGTGCTTAGAGAGATGAAAATGTCAGAAGCTTCTCTGCGGTAGCTCGTTGTACATCGCACACCAGATGGTGGATGGCATAAACGGTTGTAGATCATACTTATTCCTTTTCTAACGTATAAGTCATTGATTCAATCGAAAAATCAGAATATTGCTCACGACTTCTATAACTTCTTCTACAGGTCGCACAATAGAAGATGCTGTTGGACATAATGATGTTCATGAGTTATACTGTCACTGCCTGAGCAAGCTGTTGCACCTGTAACAGTGTGAACAAATTGAATAAAAAGTGAAAGGATGAAAACAAAGAGATGAGAAGTGCAGATGCGTTCTCAATCACTAGTCATATCGACTGGACGCCAGGTGGCAAGCTCTAAGAATTGGTCAACTTCTATAGTTGTCAACATTAGGTGAAACAGTAACCGCAATTGAGACACGAATTACACAACGGCGGGGCAACATTTGATCAGGTCGCATGTGCCAGCTGCCGTGACTAAAAGGTGGATGCGTGTCTAGAAAGACGCACACATCAACGTCGTCGATTGGAAATGTAGGTACAGCCTGTCTGTGAGGACAGTGAGAATTCTTAGACTTGGACTGTGTTGATTGAACAAATTAGAATAGTTTGCAATCAAAAACTGCGACCATTCCCATGTTGATGATGATGCTAGTCGATTCGGATTGGACCTACGACCATTCACATAATTCCTGTTTTCTTCACTGAATTATACTTCTCCTTCTCCGCACGGGCACGCAAACGTATTCACTAGTGAACTAGTGAACACTGGTTGAAAATTTTCATACAGCTAACTTGTTTATTGCACTGGTACTTGATGATTTAAGGGAAAGATGATGTTCTTGAATCAGACTACACGATCACTTTCCCCTATTTCAGTCAGAAAATCAAATAAATGGGATGTGTTAGAAAAATATTGTTCATCGGGTTCTAAGTGTTAGTACGCAACGACAACGAATCGGCTTGATAAGAAGTATAATCGGTCTCTTCTTTTCGGAAAATTTTAATGGCACATCGTCTTCAGCGAGTAGTTATCGTGAAGAGCGAGTCCCTGTGAGTCATTCTGACAACTACTCTCGTGGAGCCGCCATCAACCCTGCCTTGGAAGAAAAAAAAACATGCTATTAGGAAGTCAAGTAATACTGTATGACTTTGTTTTCATCTTGACGATATATTTCGTCATCTTCATCAGCCTTCTTTGTTTTACATTTACACGAGTAGATCATTTCCGAGAGAAACAGATGTACAAGTACAGGAACTCGTATTGTAGTTTCTGTAGTTCCCATGTGGTCTCCACCCACTTACTTCCAGCATGCGCCGTCACCCCAAAAATGAAGAGGAGTGTGGTGCACGAAGTACCAGATCAATTGGCAGACGAGGCCTCCCTTCTTGGCATCCACGATCGAAGCTTCGGAGATTAGACAGATTCAGCGTTCCCGTTCGTTCCAGATTCTTGTGTCAAAGTAGGACTAGATCATTTCCGACTGAGTATTGGGAGAAGTGTACTTCTGCGATAAGACAAAGTAAGAAAAGCATGAGAAAGCAATGGCTTTGGATTGTCATCAATCATCAAAGTCAAGTCCGGCTTCTCATAGTGTTGCAAGTTTCTAAAACTTGCAACTTCCTGAAGATCAACCTTGACCCAAGATGAATAACTAGTACTGCCGAGGCTTTTAAGGTTTCAGGATCTTACTTACTTAGGATCTTAGTAGTGGAAATTTACCCAAATAACCACTACCGGCAGACTGAGTATTGGGAGAAGTGTACTTCGTTCGTGGATCTTCACCTGATGTTTCCTTCATAACAAGAATTCCTTGAGAATGACGGACATCCATCCCCAGAGGAGGAGCATACCGCTGCCTGGCGTCGAGTTCGCTCCAATCACGAAGCAGGCATCCTTTGGACCGAGACTTGTAGCGAACATACCCGCTCCCCAAGGCCACCAGGTATCCATCAATTTCGAAGGGACGCAGAGAGAGAAGAGACCTAGATATAATACTAGATTGCTCGTTTTGTGAATGTGCTTCGTTTATTCAAAAGACTTACCTTCTTTGGTACTTTGATAATCAATGTTCTTGATGTTGAGTTTCAGTACGACATGTTGCCAAAAAACATCTCACTTCGGAAGCAAACTGAAACATTAGATGTTGTACCTCCCGGGTCACCATGGGCCTGGTAGTCCAAGGATTTTACGTTGACAGCTGCATGATGCGCCTGTTCCTCTCCCGGATAAGAAATCTTCGGGATTGGCGGGATACCTTGATTGAGATCAGATGACGCCGGCAGGTGTTGTGTAGACGAGAAAAGACATAGTATTAGAGAACTGATATTATTAAGACGTGTCATCTACTGGGAATGAGACTATGCGTCTCGTATAATCTTTGTCTTTCTACAAATAACAAACTGCGAAAAAGATCAACTAACAAACTGTAATAAACTGCGAAAAAGATCAACTACCTTTGCCACCCGGTACCCAGTCATTGGGTCCACCGACGCATCCAAAGTTGCAGTCACCGACCGCAAAAACGGTGCCGCTGCCCCATGGCTTTCCATCCTTTGTTGTGACTTGCAACTTCTTGTTCACCAAAATCCAACCACCGCCACCGGGTCCCTGTAGTCATGTGGGTGTGTACTTATGCGTTTGGAAGAGTCTGCGGCCTAGTAGACTTAGTACAGCATCGACAAGACCCATAACACTTCGGTTATACTCGATGTTATAAAGAACGACGGACTTAGTACAGCATCGACAAGACCCATAACACTTCGGTTATACTCGATGTTATAAAGAACGACGGACTTAGTACAGTATCGACAAGACCCATAACACTTCGTTTGTACGATATTAAGCTGTATTTTTCGAAATCCTCGTAGGAGCACAACATCCAAGCTAGTAAACCGAAAACAGCAACGCATCTTGATACAAGTACCTTATCACTCAATGTCTCCTTCGGCATGAAGTAGTTGGAGGCCTTTACGCCCATGCAAATATAGGTCTCATCAGCGCCGTTCGGCAGACCAATCTTCTTCCAGAACTCTGGACTCTGCGGCTCATATTTGACGCCATATACCGTGTTAATACCCTTCGCGCGCATGTACTTGTCGCAGTAGCTGTAGTGATGTTTCATGGAAGTTAGCAGATTTGAGTAGCTATATCCGGACAGGTGACACGTAAGGCTTCGCGGCTCGCATGGCATGGAGTGCATGGATCGCATGGAGCTAAAGGGGGCGCTTCTTGCGTCCCTTATGGATATGCACGCAATCCATGCGACTCCATGCGCGGCCACGCGTGCTATAAACTACTCTGGTATACATAACTTCACTCTCAACAGTTGTAACAGTAGCAGTTAGTGTTAGTCGTTGTCAAAAAAAAACTGAACATGCTGCAACGTAATGAATTTCCTCTTCCTGTTCTATTAATTGTATACAACGATCAACAGACAAAACTTCTCTCAGTATCAAACCCATCCATGTTGGTTTGCAATGTCGTGACACCCTCCTCGTGCACATCGAATACTAGTACAGAATGCTTTCGGTTTCATCCAAGGCATCTAAGAAGATATCCCACTACACTTACATCAACAAGTAGGGGTAGCGAAAAAAAAACTAAAAGAATCAGTACTCTTGCGCATCCTTCGGCAGCGGACCGAGGCAGTTTGGCAAAAAGTCGATAATCGTCAACTGCAGTGTGGGAAAGAAGTATTGGAGCTCTGTCGCCCACTCTACACCGATAAAACCCGCACCGCAGACGAGAATCTTCGCATTTCGGTCCGCAAGGGATTTGATCTGTTGTGGGTGGGTGGAAAGCCATGAGGCTAGGTAGGGTATGAATGTCGTAAAAATAAAAGAAGAAAGATGAAGCATGAAGGTTCGAAATTTATAATGGCTTAAATTGTGGTTAAGAACGACCAATGGAAATCTCAAATTCAAATAAATATGACAACAGGAGGGGTCGACAATGGCTCGAATCCATAATCTTGATTACCTTGTTGTATTCTTCCCAGATGTGTCTTCGTCGGCCTTCGATGGTCCTCTCATCGAGGTGGGACCAGTTGCTGTGGGGGCGGGCGTCCTCGTAGATAGTCGGGAACCACAAACTCTCACCCCATTTGTGGAGGAAGTTGAAGTTACCTAGAATATGATCGATGCATGTATGTAGTTGTTGAGGCATGGGAGTGCTACAGGGTCGAATGGTGAGATGATCTTCTCTCCATGAACGGAAATGTTCATTGTTCTTGTAATGCATAGAGTACTAGTAGCTTCAATTTTCATAATATTATAGAAATACATAGGAGTCAACATCAATAAAACTACGAGACTGAGACAACATCTATGATCACGAGGACGTCTTCATCAAATTCAGATTCAAATTCATAGTACATCCACTGCAGATGATGCAGTAGTCGAATGCGAGCTCTTCGGTGTCTGCCTTCCAGCGGGGCTTGATTTAGAGGTTTCCGAGTTGCATTCTTTAGAACATCCTTGACCTATTTCCACCTTGAAAAGGAGCCAAGGATGGTAGTGAGGCATCATGTAATTCGGAAACCCTTAATTGATAGTGGCTACATTTCCTTCGCCATCAATCTTCTTCACCTCTCCCCAGATAAATTTTACGCCAACTTTTTTCTCAATCACGTCCTGCAACGTGAATGACAATGTGTCAAAATGACTTGGCTTCACGAAGGCACGGAGGATACCTGCAGGAGGTGCACTGCAGAGATGAGGGAGTTTATTCGGGTACAGGGAGTTTCTTCAGGGATAGAAGATGAAGATAGAAAGCTGTAAATAATAAGGTGAAGATAAGGGTGGGCCTACCAGGAAAACTGGCAGACGTGAGCGGGGGCTACTGAAGAGCTAAAACAATTCTACTACCCGGTGTGTATTCGAAGAAGTCTTTTGCATCGACGACTGTGACATCGAAGGCCCACTTCAAGTCTTTAGCCGCCAGGATACCGGAGAAACCTCCACCTACGATCAATACGCGACGTCCACCCATCTTCTTGATCTTGATATGGGTTGTGAGCTGGTTCCTCGGCGATTGTGAAGTGATAGTGAAACAACCTAGTAAAAGTTCTCTTTTATGCTCCACTAGAGGCTATTGTCGCAATAGAAGCTATAGTGAAACAGTTCCGCTAGAAGAATAGTGAAACAACCTTGTGAAAGTGATTCTTTATGTTGAATTTGGTTGTAGTTCCTCGGAGCTGTAATACCGAAGGAAGGGGGTTCCTCAACTCCTAGGTTTAAAGATTTTTTAATATGTTCCTCGGAGCTTTAGTACTTCCTCGTACAACTCCACGACCTTTATTATGACAATGTATTGCCAATGATAAATGCAAAGCCGACGGTACTCTATGTTGAACTTCGTTCAACTAGTTCCTACAATATGAATTTTGATGTTGTTGCAGCTACGCTAGTTAAAGAATGGGATAGCCTGTCACGTGGAGAGAAAAAATCAGCTATGCCAATAGATGCCAGTGGCATGCGATTGGTGCTTAATATGGTACAAAGAAATAGTCAATAGAATTGACCCTGGTGACATTCACGAAAAATAACCAAGACGTCAAAAATTCCCACGAGAATTTCTCTCTTGGGCATTCCCCAAAAATCACTCGTTGACATCACTCGCTAGACAGGAATTCGGTATCTAGAATTGATCTATTCGCAAGAAGCGCAATGATAACTCTCGGTCTTCGTCTGCCTGTTTCTTCCTGATTTACGAACACGTCGCTATACAGCGGATACTGATAAACAAATGCCTCTTCAGAAACTCACTTTTTCTTTGGATTTCAAACACCTTGGGTGTCGTTCTTCATTCACTTTCATTTTTACAGGTCGTGTCGCTTAGAACTGTCGCGGGGTGGATACTAAATTACCTACTCCTGAAAAAAGAGCTTGACGAGCTGGGTCGTTGAGGTAAAAAAGAAATATTAAGAGGAGGATGCTAGGTGGGAGATCTTCTCCGAGGGGTCCCGAAGTGGATTTTTTCTCTTGTTGATAGCACAGCTTCTACGGTATCAGCGTTTTAAACTTTCACCTTGTTACTTGTAGTTGTGTTTTGACTTACAGGGAAATGGTGATTGAAAACCTTCAAATGGTGATTGGGATGACATTTTACCCTTCTATGACGAATGAAAGCATGTAGATACTGCGGAATTAAGAAGTAGGTAGATACTGCGGAACTAAACCACACATCTTCCTAGACCTAGAATTCAGTTTTTATGGAAAAGGAGATACTTTCATGATCGCGTGTGTGACCACTTCTATGAAGGACGATGACGCTCAAAAAATACTGAATTCACAGTAACCCAAAACCATGGATGACCTATAGCAACATCTTTGGCAGCCAATTACACTTCACCTCTAATACTTTCCCTTTTGCTTTTTGTTGAAAGCATTCATCTAGCCATAAAAGGTACTAGAAGTACTACGTACTTTCAATTTCATTGAGTTTCTAAACATGCTGCAACATTTCATCGAAGACTGATGTCTTCCTTTGAAGATGTAGTCTTCGTTCGATTTTGTTTTGTAGGAAGGCTAGACGACCTGGCTACTGCTCTGGCTCTGGTGGAGAAGGTGAGGAACCACTGTTGTCCTTCTTCACCCAGTGGTCTTTCGCGGGCGTTTGTTTCTTCTTCGATTTAGTACCACTACTTTCAGAGTTCTTACTGCCGCTCTTATTGTTGTTGGAGGGTTTCGTGGACGAAGATGCGTTTGGAGATGATGCTTCTTTTCCTTTCGGTGATGCTTTGGTTCTACTGGAGGTGTCTTTGCTGGTCTTATCACCTTTCTTCGGTGCTTTTCCCTTGCCCTTGCCACTCTTTCCTTTACCTCCTGCTCCGTCAGTCGGTTCATCTTCACCATCTACCGCATCAACATCTGCACTGTCCTTCTTCCCACCTTTTTTCTTTCCTTTGCCCTTTCCACCTTCGCTATCACCTCTCGCAACGTCTGCCCACGATGACTTCCCTTTTCCACCACCTTTACTTCCACTACTACTGCTTTTTGTTCTCTTCCTTCCCTTTCCACCTTCGACGTCCTTATCTCCACTGGAGCCTCCTTTTTTACCAGAGAAGTCTCCTTTCATCTTACCTTCTCCCTTTTTTCCACCACCATGCCCCTTTCGCGGTTTTCTACTCTGCGAATTGACCATATTGTCGCCATCGGTGCCATCTAAGGAGAGGAGACCGAAATTCGCTGTTTTGCGAACCACGTCGTCAAATCGAGGGTTGTCCAACACTTCCGGCTTTTCAATTGCCTCTTGCCCAAGTCCAACACACATCTCAGATATTATCGCAAACACTTCGTCTTTTTCGTACCTGGTGTTGGAGATGGAGCAAATGTAAATGATCTTCAATCTTATATATGTCGTTCTTGTAATCTCTTCTACCAGGATGAAGATCATGACCACCGGAAAGAACAAAGTTTTAGCTCGAGCTGAACATCAAGAACAAGCCATCAAGAACTAGAACTCCTGATTATAGATACTAATACAACCTAGAACAAGTCTGAACATGCGAACGCAGTAGTCCAAATAACAAGTGTGTACTTTCTAAATTCATGTGCGTATCCGAAGTGTTGTTGGCTTGCGGCTACAGCGTTTACATCACTGTCGACTTTCCACTGGCCCTTTCCTGTGTTGCCCTTTTTGCCCTTGCCTTTCCTTTTCTGCGCTGACATTTCCGGAAGAGCGGCAGGACTGGCCTGTTTGACAGGATCCACTATGGGCTGTGGAAAGAAGTTCCCATCCTCAGTCATATTGATGGTGCTTTGCGGATACCTGTCCGGGTTTGAGATTAAGTCGATTGAGTTTGAGTGAAGATGATTAAGACCCAGTTTATCATGATCATTTACTTCTTCTTTTATTAATTTGTCTCTTGTCGATTTTCTGATTCTGTCATGCGATTATAGTACCATGATATCCCTCCATCCGGTGTCCAGTACACTAAGCCGGAAACTGGATCGTACATCATAGACGACACTGCATTCTGTGCCTCTGATTGTAGTGCTCCTTGTTCGCCTGTGGGAGGCTTCTCTCCAGCTTCTTCTCCATGCTCACCATCTTCGCCTGCGGTCGCATTTTCTGCCTTGGTGTCAGGAACAGTTGATGTCGAGCCGAGCAAAGCGGCTCCAGCTGCAACACTAGCTGCTGCAGCTGCTGACGTGGGGTCAGCAACTACGGCGCTTCCACCAGGCACGCTGTATCGCATAAGGAAATGGGGATCAAGCATGCTCTCCTCTGCAGGTGCGTTCCAGGTACCATGAGCAGCGTTCTGCATAGGAACCCACGAGCCGTCAGGCATAACAAAGCCCCCATCCTGCCACACTGGCTGCAAAGACAGAGCCACGTAGGGCTCTATCATACTGCCAGTTCCTACGTCACTGTTTGGCTTGAAATCCGACAGGTTCATGTACGGCGTGAAAGATGAACTCGCCTGCGCTTCGGATGCCGCCGCGTCAGAAGCCTGTGGCGGGTGTCGGTGTGCGTATTGGTATTGCAGAAGGGCGGCGATGTAACACTGTTAGTTGTACAATTTACTAAAAGGATTTTAAAACAACAACTAGGAAAAGATCATGAATCATCTTTCAATCATTGTGGTGTACGAAAGAGAAAGTACTATCTCTAGTATTTTCCTGCTCATCGAGTAGAAGCAGGGGCTCGAGACATTCAACCTAACGAATCTAATGGATACCCCGTCCTTTTGTGGCGTCACAGCTGCGTTCCTAGGTCGACCCATAATGGCATCAGCTGTTCCCTCACATGCCGCGTCTCTCAAGGTAAAGTATGGCATTGTAGAGGACCTGATCGGAGAGTAGTAAATCATGATAGATATTTTTACTAGAAAGGGTGATAGATAAAACGTGATATGGAGTAGAAACATGAGACTACCACTGATCGCTTTCACGACATTCCAAGTGGACAACAATAAATTTAGTACCCTGACGCCCCGGCGCTTTGTCCAGCCATGCCCATACTTGGCAGTGCTGAAGGCAATGCTGTTCGGACAGAATCCCTCAACTGTTGAACTGGACTTGCATGTGGTGGCGGACTGGCTTTTCCGTTTTTTTCACCAGCATCCTCTGCTTTCTTGTTCTCTTCTACTTCTTCCACATCATCTCCTGTCTTCGTTGAAATAGTACTCTGCGGCGGCTTGCTCGATGTTGGCAGGTTAGGGGTTGATAATGCCTTGCTACTATTTGGATGGATGTCGTCTGCGTCGCCTGCGCCGTCCTGAGAACAATTGTCGTCCTCTCGTGCGTGCTCATCTCGGGGAATAAATCTCACTTGTGTGGGTCCAGGAATTATGCCTCCACCTTGAAGACTCGCTAATGCCAAAGGCGTGAGGGTGGAAACGGCCTGTAGAAACAACAGGAGTTTGTCATGATCAAGATCACATGATAAGCCAGAACCAGTAAAAAAAGTGGTCATGACCACATAAGCAACAGAAGTAAGCTATATTTTGTATGTAAGTAAGTAAGTAAGTAAGTAAGTAAGTAAGTACCTGTGTCATGGAAGTTGCAGGTTTTTGCTGGGAAAAGAGGGGACTGAAGAAGGCTTGGGTCATTGGGTAAAAAGATCGGACAAGGAGGTCGGACTTTAGGCCGCATTGGATCTTCTTCTCTGGGTTCCATGGTGCTGCCGTCATCCGTAGTCTCATCGCAGCTTCGACTGCTTCCTCGTTTGAAGCGAATTTTAAGTACCTGAGATGAAGTAGAATTTGTGTGGAGGAACTTCACTCAATTTCATCTCTGCTGAAACAACACGAGGACGATTTTCTACTTGATGAATCGACATGATACAGTTACAGTTTTTCATTCATGAGGACAGACACGAGAACAAGATTACAATTGCCTGCTGCGAGAAAAAAAGTTGAAGTACCAAACTCTCGTTTTCGCTGCTTTATTTGATGCTCCCACTGTGAATTTCGGTTCCCCCTTTGACGCTTCTGAGGCCTTTCCTGAGGGACTCGATGGCTCTACGAAAAGCGTCTTGATTTGCTTCAAACTGACAGTAACTGGCACATCCCTAAGCAAAAGCGTGTCCCGCTTCGACTCTAGTCCTCTCTTTAAAGCGATCCTGCCCCCTTCGCTGTCGTAAGACACTAGATTTTCGGTGGAGAGAACAGCTAAGGCGGTCTTCACGGCGTCACTTATGTCTTCTGCATCACTACTACCTTGTATACCTCCAAGACCAGCACCATCTCCAGTCGCCTCCATGTCTACATCCCCACTAGTCGCTTCTAAAGCGTACATATGCTCAGCCACTCCTCGATCCGCTGTGTCCTCCTCTGTCATCGCGTCCGTTGAGCCTTTAGTACTAGAACTCTGTGGACCCGCGGTTGTTCCGTTACCACTGGCTGGTTGGTCACCATCTTCCTTATTGATAGAAGAAGTCCTGCTGTTCATCGAAGCAATCAACTTCGAGGTGGATGAGGTTCTTGTTGTTGCTAGTAATTGGCTTTGCACCCTTTGGTTGATGTAAGTTATGGGTATGCCCAGCATCGGATCTAAGCGAGAAACTAGTTCCTCATCAGAGCTAACGTTGTCGCCGGATAAGAGCAATCGTAGAATATCTTCGACTCTGCGGGACAAAGTAGAAGACTTCTTTTGAAGCTCTTCATCCTCTTCCGTGGTTTTAACGGCTGCTGCCATCGTTCCACTTGTATTAGCTGCGGAAGAAACTGAGATTGCGGGATCTACCATGTCGATCTTTGAACTTGAAATCTTCTAAAATTGAAGACCTTGTGATCCTGATCGTGCGTCGTGACGATCAATATTAGATTTCTTACAACGAACTCTAGTCTAATCTAGTATTCTTCAACTACAACGTCAATGGATATGGAACCAGGTTGGTACTACCGTCTACTTGTTAAACTAGATGATCTACCTCTAAATTTACGGATCATAGGTGTAAATCTGATGTCTCGCAAGTGTCTGGGTCATATCAATTCAGAAAATCAAAATCTTAATTCACCTCATCCTGCTTTTTGATATCAAGTGAGAACAACGAAAAATTGAACTCAGACTTCTCACGATCTTCAATAACTATAACTCACTGGACAAAATACATACGTGCTAGCATGAAAAAGAAGGAGAAAGAAGAGATGAAAGGAAATGAAAGATCTTCATTTTGTTCGTCTCTTAATTTTGGATCTTGCATTTTATGTCTTTTTGCTCTCCATTTGCACATGAACCATCATGCGAGTGATCTTTGCAATTTTTTCTAATCATCATTATCATAGTATGAGAATTAAGACATAGTGTACATCAGGTAAAACCACGATACTTTTTTATTGAACGGTGTTTCACTGTCACGACAGAGGACACAACAAACAAATATTACGACCCTGTCGTGGCCCATCAGCATCATTCTGGGCTCCTGCTTTCGCTTACTTTCTATGCAATTGCATTTTTTGCAGTGAAAGGATGAGAAAAACAAGAACGTCTTTCGTTTCTCTAAACTCGTCGATGATGAAATTATGATGACTTCTCTGGAAGTCGAAGTTAAGAATTGAAAAGAAGATGTCGACTCCAGACACCTTTATTCTCCAAATTCAAAATTTACGCCATCACCATCTTCGTGTATTACATCATCCCCTACCATCTCTCCTGACGAAGATGAGCCTTGATGCTCTTCCAGCTGTTTGATTAGAGGACGAGCATTTTCTAGGTGAAATCCATCACCACCATGTTGTTCTCGTGACTTCTAGATTTTTTTTTTCCAGCCATTCCAAGGATCACAATTCTTATTTCATCTTACAATATAATTATGGTTCCAGCACTAGTACAATGCAGAGCAGCCGCAGGCAGACGGATTTCACTTTCACACAAGCAACATCAACATCCTTTCTTAACTTCAGCAAGTTCTTTGCTTCCTCTCTGTCGCCAGTATCGAGCAGCTGCCTTGCGAAAGCTGCCGCTTCCTCTAGACGATCGTTGCGCATGCAGTACCCCATCAAATATCGCACTGCCTCTAGGGCTTCCGCGCCACCCTGTAGAAGCACTTCCTGGTAATACGTCGCAGCGGCGTCTTCGCCATCAGGGTCTTCGGCTGTGATGATGTTGGAGCAACTTTGGTGTCAGTTCTTTCAACATCTTCACACTAGAATGGATTTTCTAAATCTGGAACAAAAACGACCTTTAGTACTAGTACCATGTAATCTCGCGAGTCTCGGCAATGCTAATCCCTCTGAGTCTCCGTGACTATAAGCACGCTCGAAGCACTTCAGGGCAACGCCTTTCTGGCCCATGCTCTCGTAGCAACCAGCACAAGCGTTCCACATCCTAGCATCGGTCGCTCGCAATGCTAGCGCTTCCCGATAGTAGTAGATAGCATAATGGTAAAGGTTTAGGAGCTCGTACACCTGGTCGATGTGGCGGAAGTGTTAAGAAGTTTTTTAGTTCACGAAAGTAGAAGACATTGATGAGATAGTGAAAATGCTACTAGGGTCGTTAGCAGGGAACTAGTACAGAAGCTATTTAAATATAGTTGATATGTTGATGTTGACAAGATTGATTATTTATATTTCCAGACAATTAAATGACCTGAAGATTACATCACACCGGATATCACAGCCAAGACAAGTTTCCCGTTGTTCTTGATGTACCTGTCCCATTCCGTACCATGCGCGATAATCTCTCTTGTTTATGGACAAGGCACTTCGGTAAGCGTCAACAGCGAGAGCGGAATTTTTCATCTCCATGAACTCGTGTCCCATCAGTATCCAGGCAGGCGTAAACAGCCGATTCAATTGCAAGGCTCGATGGAAGTAACTGATGTCGAGGAGGAGAGGCAAAGGAGTTGTTGGAACAAACAGGAGTTCGATACTTGCGGTCAATCTAGGATCTACTAGGGTCTGGATAGTTGGTTGTGGCGGGACCGACCTGCCGGTGGTAATGAGATTCTCTGCGGCCAAAGTAGGCATTTTCAGCAGCAGGCGCACAGGGTTGCCGGTGGACATGAGATACCACGCATTTAGAAGGAGTCTTGCATTTCCATGATGAGCTGATGTTAATCTTGAACTGCAGAATCAGTAACTCGTCATGTAAGATGTTGCAACACTGATGTTAATGTTGAGCTGCAGTAACTTTTCGATAAACTGAAGTAAGCGAGTAACTACTGAAAATAAGCGAGTAACTACTGACAAGGAAGAGTAGCCCTGTCAGAGCTACCTCCCTTATTTCAGTCAGTAACTCGGTTATTTTCAGGTTTCGAGTAACTCGTCATGTAAAATGCAATATGTTTTTGAAGCAGCAGACAGATTCAGATTTGCCGACAAGGAAGCACTAGACTACATGGTAAGTACCTAACAGCTTTCTCGTTTTCGCCTTTGAGAGAGAAATAGTTTCCGATGATGCAGCACGCTTCTGGCGTGTACTTATCACATCGGACCGCTTTTGCATTAGAGACGGTAGGCACCATACGCATAGGAAACGAGGAGATGAGCGATATTCGCTCGCTCAGACGAGCAGATGAGGAAATAGAACAAGGTAAGTACTTAAGTAGAAAAGTTATAAAGTAGAAGATCTTCATAGGATTAACATTAAGGATCTAGAACAAGAAAAATCGATAAGACAAGAATAACCACTCCTGGTCCTGCCATAAGTTTCGCCAAATGTCCCAGCGCTGGCGCGTTGTCTTGGACGTACAGGATATTGGAATACGTGTCCAGAGATTCCAGTTTGTGAGGATCGAGGGTTCGCATCCGGTGAAAAGTCGCTAGGGATTCTTCATAGTCTTTCCGGTTATACTCCACGACACCGATTTGCGCAAGAATATACGTCGAACTCGGAAACCGGGTCTGCAAATGATGGTAAAGGGTAAGAGCTTCGTCGTTTTGCTGCAGCTCTAAGCATGCCGCTGCTCTAAAAAAGAGGCGCGTCCAGCAGTCTTCGGGTGGAGATTAGAAGAAGGACGTAACGTTTTGTTTGTCCCTGTCAAGTAGTCAGTGTCAACGAAAGAGCGTAAACCTAAACGGTCACGCTTCCCTCTCCCAGTACGAATTGACGAATTCCGGTTCCAAAACAACTAACGACGAGATGCCACGTCCCCTAATCAAATGCAACAACTACAAGTAGACGACTGACGAAGCATAATCACTATTCGGAACTCGGGGATGGTCTAAGACAATTGCGAGGTAGTCCAGCCACGCACTCCAATTCCAGGGAAACAAGCGTAGACTTTCCCCAAACGCATCTCTGGCTTCCAACATGCGGTCTAGACCCTTGAGGACGACGCCTAGGAGGTACAACCCGTGCGCATCGAGAAGCATTTGGCGAAATGTTAGAAGAAGACGAAGTGTCAACTCAGCTACACTTCGCGCCACCCATTGCATGGCCACGAGTTGCACTTAGGTAATTGCAACAAAGAGCGGACTCCTGTCCAAATAAGAGGAAGAGGCTCTTTATTGAATGATTATATATTCCGACAACATGCAACATTACAACTAAACGGAGCCTGAGCGTAACTTCAAACCCGACAAGTGTCTTTCGATTTTCTTTAGTTCGCGGTTACGCACCTGTGGTCGTTGAAGTGCGTCGGCTTCGTTGCTCTCCTGTTCTTTGTGGCTTTCTCCAATTAGATACAAACTGTACCACTTCAAGAACAGCCCTACAGGCCCAAGTGCGTTCTCCGGCACCTTGCATAGCAGTGCGTGTGCTCGCATGTACTGTCTGAGGTCGAAGTGGCTTTTTGCGGCGGTGACAATCCGACGTGCAGCGGCGGAAATCTTCGTCTTTTGGATGTTGATGCGGGCATGAATCTTCCCATTTCTAACTGATGCCGAGGGACCGTCTTCATTGCCACAAAGCGACATTGGATCTCCGTCGCCAACTCCAACGTGCTCGTCTTCAGCATTTATTGCTGCGTCATCTAAACCAACCAGCAACTCCGCCGCCCATTGTGTTGCTCGATACAGTCCTCGTGCCCGCAATTCCTGAGCTGCAGTCTCGAGTTCCCGCGCTAGCTGCTGTGAAGACGGCAAGGGTGGTAGGGAAACATTGCCACCGTTTGATGGGGCTCCACCATGTCCTCCATGTCCACTACCAGGCCCACCTCCAGACACACTGCTACTTCTTCCACCTCCTCCGCCACTTCCTGGCGATGCATTCAGCTGTCCTCTTGTCGCGAACAGAGGCGCACTTCCTCCTTCAGGGCCACCATTTATGCCAGTAGTTCCGTTAAGGCCACCAACTGAGCTAGAAGAAGACGAAGATGCGCCACCTGGAGGTCCAATAAATTGCTGTTGCCCCACTACATCAGGAGACCGAGATGTCGAGGCACGGGCCCCGCCGATTTGTAGACTGCCACCTCGACTTCGACGCTCACGCTCAGCCGCAGTAAGATCTTAGGAGAGGAGCTCAAGACAATTCATTTCTTCCCTTCATTTCTTCGGAACTACAATCCCAAGGAGACAAGAACCGAAGAGAATGGCAGACCCTTAACATGATAAAGGAAAAGTTGTAATATCGAGCCGTAGATATCGATGCCGCCAAATACGGAGGAACGCACTTGTTGATCTGGAGGGTATGGGTCTACCTCCATTGACGTCGAAGATGGTGAGGGACCACCTCCGAAAGTGCCAATATGACTACTCGGATTAACTGGAGGCATAATTCCGAAAGAACTACCATGATGTAGTTGATTTAGTTGACCTCCCTGGCCACGACCAGTCACTGCGCTACCTCTGGCACCTTGCAGCTGTCCTCCACGGCCTCCAGCTGATGACGGCACGCTCCTTGAGGACATCGCTGACACAGAAGCTGAAGAGCCAACAGCTCCGCCAAACATTAGCCCACTCGCTGCACCCGCGGCACCAAGTAAGCGCGCACCGGCGTCACTTTGCTGATTGATCAGACTGCTGTGATTGTCTTCGGAGAGAGAGTGCGAGTTTCCAAAGCTTGGGGATATCATATTGCCATCATCCGGTGGAAACAAAGCGGCGGCACTGTTGATATTATTGGAGAAGGAGCTGGATTGGAATTATACAAACAGCAGACCGTGCGATGTCGTGCACAACTTGCTGCTGATCAAAAAATTAGTAAAGTAAGACTCGAGAAAGAAACATATCTGCTTGTTTTTAAGGTGAATACGGATAGTACTAGAAGACCAGGCAGCATCAGTGAAAAAATCATCCTGAGCAAGTTCTACTAGACGGAATAGCTTTACAGTAAATGCACTAGAAAACCAGCATCAGAAGTGAAAACAATATTACAAGTCCACTGGCGGCGACTCGGCAAAGGACGGACGCGCAGGGCCCATGCATGACGAGGCGGTTGAAAAGCGAGGTCCATCGAGGCTCGTTCGTAGAGAGTTGGGACCTCGAGAGCGTCGAACGTTTAAACGATCCACCATTTTTGTTGTTGTCTTTGTCTGGTTAGAATCTTCAATCACGTTAATCTTTTTAAGGAGGAAGAGAATACACAGGAAGCTTTGCGTCGAAACTAGGTCATCTTTCACGAGTTGTCGCTTCTGCAGCAACTGACGATCATCGTGTCGTAACCCGTACCTCCCTTGATCGTCAAGGGTGAAGGAAGGGGAACAACTAGACGATGCTGGTCCGCATTGGCAGGTGGATCATACCTTCGTACTCCTTGGAACACACATGATCAAACGGCGTCCTGATCTATGAACAGGGGATGAAGATATGTGTGTGTGTGTGGGTCAGTGTCAGTGTCAGTGACAACATAAAAAACTTCTTGGTGCAACATGAACTTGTTTACCCTCGACTGTTCACGTTTTCAAGAAGAATCGATGAAGTTCTTGTTGACTATTACCTAGTACACCTAGCCTTCCAAAGTAAGTACATCTTCACTTATCAAAGCCCAAACTTTTACTCCAGAATGCTTCGCCTGAAGTTTCTCATACCCTTTTAAAGCCTTCAGTTCTACAATACATGCGCACTCTACGATTTCCGCGCCTGCTTCGGCTACAAGGTCGCACGCAGCTAGTAAGGTCCCACCCGTTGCAACTAGGTCGTCGATGATCAGGACGCGAGGACGTTTAGACGTAGAGGCCAACTTGCTGTTTTCTACTCCTTGATGAAGATCATCTGGTCCTCCTACTTCTTGTCCTTCTGAAGATGTTGATGTAGCAGTAGCTGCCATATTCCCCTTCTTGTAGAAGAAATCAAAAGCTGTTTTTGGCATACACAGTTCATCTTTCCCTGTTTCTGCATTGTCGACACTTTTGTATTCCTTTCCATACTCTCTACCTGTAACCGCATTCGGCAACTTGCCCTTTTTTCTCAGCATGATAAATGGCTTCTTCAAGGCCAAAGCTATGCTCGGACCCAGTACGAAGCCGCGTGCGTCCAAACCCATGATGCAGTCAATACCAAGATTCTCTGTACTAGCAGCTGCACCACTGCTACCCACCTGCTCCTGATGTAGTTAGAGGTACCGGCAACCCATCTTTTCGAACATCTTTTAGCCTATTCTAAGCAGAAATTGTCTAAAAGATGGTGGAAAAGATGGGCTGATGGTACCCTTAATGTAGATAATGATATCGTTTCACAAATATGTCGATACATAGCTGGAAGGCTTCTGGATCTGCAAGCATCCCACTAATATCGTAAAATCTGGGTACGCCATGAAATGGGTAATACGGGATGACAGAGGCGATACGCTGTGCCTCAGGACCATCTTGTTTGTATTCGGTCATCTTCGTCGTGTGATGTTGTTTTTGTTGTTGTTGTTGTGGAACGTGCTGTTGCTAAAAATGTTGGCGTTCGTTGTAGAAACCCTGTTGCTCGTTGTATGATAGTATCATGATGATAGCACGAACAGTACTCAATCCTCATCACGTAGTCCGCACTCCCTCACACTCTACCGCACAACAGTGTGATGTCCTCGAGTCCTCTGATCCGCACTCCCTCACGAATGCGTCTTCCTCCAGAGCTTTCGTCTTTGGTTGAGGACTCGAGTTCCTTTATTCTGTTCGGATGAAGATTATTTTCTCAGAAATAACCTTTCAGGAAGAACATCCAATGCCCTCCAGGTACTATCGCTTTACTCACACTTAGAAGTACTCGCTAGAGGTGGTCTGCCACCAGTAGTGCCACGGCTATGTTGTGATTGTACTAGTTCCTGATGAATTCTTATGCAGGATCGTCACAACATGTTTTTCTTCTGTTGGGATTTAGGGGGAAAAACAGGAAGATTCAGAAAACGAATCACGTTGATTCATTCAACGTCTGGTGAAAAAATGGTTATCTTGCTAAAAATAGTACAAATACACCTACACCTACCATGTATGATAGCAGTAAGTAGAAGTAAGGTGGAATCAACAACATCGAGTCGGAATTTCTACGAGACATCAAGATGATCAACATCAACCAGCAGCACACGCTATCATCTTCTGCTCAAGCTAGAGCCACAAGGTCACGAAGATGAAAGTGACAGCATGAGCATCTTTTCTTCACACGATCAAAGTAACAAAAGCTGCCACTCCTTCTTCTACTTTGATAGGACCTCATCACGACGTTCACAATGTTGAAGCTAAGTGTGAGCTACAACTCCCTCCACTTATTTGATACAACTACATCTTACGAGACCATCCTACTTTGATACAACTCCTAATTTGAGCTCCTACTCCTCGTACGACCTAGTTTGATACAACTACATCTTCCTTAGCAGCCTCATCCGCAAGCTGTGAGGAGGATGCCCGCTCTCTCGGACGCAATCTTAGAACCACTGCGGTGATATCGTCACAGGATCCACGTGTTACCTCCATGTAAACGTCCCTCGAGAGTTTGATCACTTCCGGAGCGAGATTAGAAGGACAAGCGAGAGTCGAAAAAGTGTTGATCTTCTTGGTAGTAGAAGATCATGTGCAAGAAGAAGAAGTATAAAAATGGGTCGTAGGCATAGTAGAGACAACATGCAAATAGGTAGAAACAACTACAAACCACATGCAAATATTGATCTTGGTAGAAACAACTACAAACCACATGCACATAGTCAGTTCCTGAACCTGAACGACTCAAAGTAATTCACTGTCACTTCTAGCAAGTAATTGAGGGAATCTGCAGAGCAACTCTCTAATTGAGGGAAACAAGCGCTCATCTCTCTTAACAGTCGGTTGTCCTGCGAAGAACTCGAGCTGCGTCTCTTCGTTTACGTAGTCGAAGACGCCGTCCGATGCGACAACCAAGTACTGCAAATCTTCGGCAGAAAACTCGAAAAAATCGGGCTCTGCGGTGTGGCCCAAGACTTGGGCTGTGACGTCGCCAAACCCTCTTGCGAGGTTCAAACCACCCTGCCAATTCGGCCCTGAGCCTGCCACTCGCAACCAGCTCCGAGGCTGTGTGCTTTTCACTGTTAGACCATGTAGGCTTTATTTACCCCGTTCGATATTTATCCCGTTCGTTATTTACCCCGTCCGTTATTTACCCCGTTCGTTATTTACCCCGTTCGATATGCCTTCCCCCTTGTTCAGAAAAACGAAATGAACGCTATGGTATAGCAAGAACACCTTCATTATGAGAATCTCTATAATCACTACTTACAGAAGATCGTTTTCATCAAAATGAAAATATTAAAACCTAGCCTTAACACAATTGTCGCAGTAGCGCCAGGTGTAGCTTTGGGTAGGGTTGTCCGGGTGAGCAAGTTTGCGCTCATCATGGAGCCGAAGTCTGCTAAGGTGCGGACGCCGAAACCAGTTTTGTTATTTTGCATAATGCTGTTGTTGTGAAACAAGTAGCTACTCCCGAAAAAGCCACCGCCACCTCTATAGTTAATATTCCCCGACCCGCCCAAAGCCGACGTCGCGGATGGAAAAAGAGCATCGCGAGAGGCTGTCGCGAGAACATCGCGTCGCAAAGAATGGATCTCTTCGCGGATGGAGGAAACGGAAGAAGATGTCTTCTTGTTCTGGTTTGAGGAAGATGGAGGTGCTTCATGATCGGGAGGAGTGTCAAGAACAGGAGCGACTTCTGTATCAAGTTTGCTTGTTGGGGGGTGCTCCTCAGCAAGGCAGCCCACACCGTTCTCATCTTCAACAACAACGGCAGCTTTTTCTTCGGTCTTCACTTCTGCTTTATCAGTTTGCGGCGGAGCAGGAGGCCGTACATCTCTATCATTATCCGTAGTTTTCACAGGAACCTTGATGTCTCCTCCAACATCATCTCTTTTCACAGGAGCAGCCTTGACGTTGTCCCCTCCCACTCCCACAACACGACCAGCGCCGACAAGTACAGCAGGATCGACGTATCGAAAATAAAGACGCTCCCACCATCGTAAGTCAGCATCGATTTGAAGACTTCTCTGCGGCAAGAAAGATGGCCAATTCCAGGTCATTTGGTGCTGTTTTATGTTGAAAAAGTGGCGCGTTTGCGTAGAAGATGATAGATGAAGTACAGATGAAGAGTTGTTCTTCGCAGAAAGAGAAGATTTTAGATTTAGTAGTTAGAAATTGCACTAGTAAGTTGTGGTTGTATAGGAGCAGGTAGAAGATGATAAATTAATATGATGAAGTGAAACACGAGATGAAACTGAAGAAGAAAGACCAAGACCATCAAGGAGTAATCTAGACAATCATCAATACACTCGCGTAGAATCTTTCCATCGGCATTCGAGGGTTGATAATGCTGTTCCTCGCGTGCATCCTCGCCATATCGCGGTAGTGGTCGATAGAGTGATCCACCGTAACCTTCTGGAGGACTTTTCCAGTATGAGTTACGCTAGGAAGGACTGGCTGAGGACTCGAGGACATGAAACTGTTGTGCGGTAGCATCATTCTGGTATCAACTAGTCTCTTCTGCACCAGAAGGCGCAAGTCTTTTCGATAGTACCACTGACCTATGGTTTCCCCGATATCGTGCCGAATGTCGCCAGCACTGTCAGGTCCGTAGAAACGGAGAAAAGAGGCGGGCTCGCGACGCGCTAGTTTTATCGTTTTTGGAAGATGATTGTTTCCTGTTGTTGATGTGCCCCCTCCTGCTGCTGCAGATCCAGTGGTCGGACCTAAAGCTAAACCCCGCATGTTTGCACGTATATTTTCAAAATCTGGCGTGGTCTGAAGGAAGTGCAATGTGGAAACTCTTTCCTCGTACTCTTCCATGATCTCTGTTGTACTAACGCCGTTCACCCCCTGAAATGGGCCTCCCTTGCCCACTCCACCATCCTCCTCATCCTCACCACATAAGAATCGAATGGCTGGTGGTGGCGGTGGTATTTCCTTCTTCTTCGGGAACTGCTGACCACCACCACCTGGCACACCTAGTTGCCCACCTTTTCGTGGAACGGCTCCGCCTATCCCTCGCGTTTCCTCACTCAAGTCAATATCTGACTCTGAGACGGGACTATCGCACTTCATTTGATGTTCTCCTTGTTGATCGACAGAAGCGTCTGTGACCGTGGAAGCCGTCGAAAAAGCTGTTTTTTTCGAGCTGCTTTCTGATTTTTGTTTCTTAGAAGTGCCTCCTGCACCAGCTCGACCACCCCCAGCGGGTCGCTTTCGTCCTCCGAAAATCACAGACGGCGGAGGCGGTGGTGGCGGCTTCTTACTGTTGCCTTGCTTGTTCGCTTTTGACGCAGTTGTGCTGGCACCACCTCCGCGACCACCAGACGCGGATATTGAAACTGCTGAAGGTGCGGTAGAGCTAGAAGATCCGCCCTGTTGTAGTTGTGGCGCTCCACCAAAAATGCCTATACCTCCATTCGTGGCAGGGGTCGGAAATGTAGTAGTTGTAGTTGTAGTTGACATAGCTGTATTTTCCGATGCTCCTCTCGGACTTTTGGATTTCGCTTTAGCAAATGTAGGTGGCAAGTCTGGATGATGCACATGTGGCTGAGACAGAGGCCCGACCTCTGGGAACGCTTGTTTCGAAGGCTTGTTGAAAAGGTTCCAATTCACGCTCTTCTTAACATCTACAGCCACGACTTGTTCGTGGCTTTCTTTCTCTGAGGAGGTTGATAGTGATGTCGTCGTTGCATTCGTTCCTGCAGCTCCCAAGAATGTTGGTGGAGGTGGAGGCGCTTTTGCTGGTGCTGGAGGCGCCTTGTTGTTGCTATCTGCAATACTAGCAGCAACAGCAGATGCGCAATTCGCTGACGAAGACGGTGTCCCCACGTGCGTCCCACGCAATTTGAAGCCAGGAGCAGGAATTTCTTCGGAGAAAGGCTTGAGCATGGGGTCTGGACCTGGACAAAAAGTCCCGCCAACGTCCATCCACGTGGGACCACACCCGCCCCCAAGGTAGTCACTGGATGATGAGATGGAGTGCTGTGCTGTTGAGCCTCCGTCAAGAACAACAAGCGACGCCTCTACTTCTTGTATCGAAGAGGTCGTGCACGAGGAGGAACCTCCGGTTGTTGTTCTAAGGACTCCTGCTCCAGCTCCTCCAACTAGTTCTTCAGCTACAACTGCTGCCAGTCTACTGGCGACTCGAGGCGGTCGACCGTCTTCGCTTGCTTCTCTACTCTTCACAACACCTCTTTTTTCGAATTTTGCTTCTGGCCCAGCTAGTCCTGCTGGCTCTGAAGAAACAGCACGACCCTGTTGCTGTTCTCCACTACCACGCGCTTTTGCTATTATTTGTTCAGAAGTAGAAGTAGCATCAGCAACAGCACTACCATGGATCATGTGTCGAAACGCCATCGCCTGGGTGATGCTGTCAATCGCGCTTTGTTCGTTTTCGGTTGATGACGTCGGACTTTCCTCCGCTGCACTTGAGGAAGAAGATCGGCCAGGAGCGGGGGCGGGGGCCTTTTTTTGAAATTTTGGTTTCGAGGAGCCGAACAGTAGTTCATGCAATGTCGCAGACATTCTTTTTTCTGCTTTATTTTTGACTGACCGTGAAGTAGAGGTAGAAGTTGTAGTTGTGGCTCCACTACTGCTTGAGGAACTCGAAGAAGATGTTGACGTGCTGGTGCCGGTTAGATTTTTACTGGAGATACTAGACGCAGTCGACGCGGCTGTGGCTGACGTTGAAGTTGAACTCGTGGCTGCAGTACTCGTCGTTGTACTTGTTTCAGTAGCAATAGTCGTATTCGAGGCTTCAGAAGCTGACTCTTGGTCTTTTTTGCCACCACTTGCTGTGGAATTTTCAGGGACAACAGAAACACTGGCTTTTGCATCATCACCAGCTGACATCTTCGCATCGGCTTTCTCTTGATGTTTCTCACTTTCGGATGACGACGCGCTCTGCGGCTCTGTTCCTCCAGCTCGTGCTGCACTATGATCTTTCTTGTCGTTTTTATCAATTCCTCCTGCGTCCTCTGGTGTAGTAGGAGCTGCTGTAGCACTGCTCGTACTGGTAGTACAACCGTCGACGACCTCCATCTGTGTAACAGCACTGGGATCTTCGGACGTACTTGTTTCCTTTGATGAAGATGCTAGTACCTTCATCTCTACTTTATTCGTCTCCGCTCCTTTCTCCTTTGTATTCGCTTTGGCTCCGTGCCCATCCTCAGGTTGTCTTTTTACCTCCGCTACTGGCGGCGCTGCAACATCAGCAGGAGGCACAAGTTGCTCATCCACTCTATCATACTCGGGTCGCGCACTTTTTACTAGCAATAGGCCAGAATCGCCAGAATTCCACACTCGGACTCTACCCCTAGACACGTTCCATGTTCCAAAGCAGAACGTCGCTCCGGAATGCCACGTCTTCTCCTTTAAGCGGCACATCATCCGCACCTCGAGCAGGTAGATGTCGCGCATCTTGTGCAGGTTCTCGCGGCCATGAAAATATGTGAGCAGTTCGTCACGGAGGAATTCCGAGATATCGTGTCCGTATTCGCCGTGTCCATCAAAAACGCCGAATTTGATAAGGTAGTCATTTTAGAACTAATGGAAGACCATCCTCACTGAGGCATCTTGGATCTCCTTTTCCCGTTAATAACGGGACCAAGATCTTCACAGTGAAAATGGGAGATTTCTTGTACCCTTAATCATTGTTTACAACCACGCTGTCCAGAAGAAAGGAGTCCTGGTTGTTCGGTTTATCGACTAGAATCCCCGCTCGAAAAGGATCCCTTTTTAGACCCACCTTCGTCGCGACGTCAGATTCAATCCAGAAATTGTGTAAAATCTGCTTGATGTCATCTTGAGAGCAGTTTTTTCTCGGACCACGCGGAGCGTCGTTTTCTCTCGGACCACGCGGAGTGCCATCGCCTAGAGCTGCAAGACAGTCGTCCACCTGAAGATGATGCTGTGGCGCACGGTCGTTAAGATGGAGCAAGGTTTCATCTCCTCCTGCTGGCCCTGCTCCTGCTGGTGCGGACTTTCCTGCTCCACCAACTCCTATAGACGAAGAAGATGTACTTGTTTTCAGATTTGCATGTGGATAATGCTTTCCGGTTGCGAGATACAGATCGTCCAGCACGCGGCACAATTGACGAGATCGGATGTCACCACCAGGACCCTGGACCTCTCGCAGGTACAATAGAAGCGCACTGGTGTACTTGTGGAACGCCAGGAAAAAGGAATCATCGAAATAAGCCCGGAAAAAACTTTCTTGCACCTCGCTCATGACTGCGAAAGCATCGGTCGCATTAGAGAGACGAGAGAGAGAGAGTAGAAAACTCAGAACAAAAGCAAGGAAACATGATATTATGGTTAACTACCATAACCTGTTGTCAATATTGCTAAGCATAGGTGGAAGAGTATAGAATATATTCTTCAATCATAACCAATGCTCTGACGAAGAGGTCCCTCAGTATGCGACTGGCATCGTCCATGGACTGCACAGCTGCAATAGGCCACGCAATGCAGTTGTACATCAGTTCGGACAGGGAAACTAAATCCTCTTTTTGTGGCAATTCGAGCTGGCTCCGGGCTAAGGCACGGTCGGGGATTAGAAATGCAAAAGATGTTGAGGTGGAGACGCAGAGCAGGACCAGTTTATTATCTGATTTAGTTTTCTTTCTAATTCTATCTGTTCATGATCATCAAGTTCAGACTTCTTCTAGTTCTATGTATTTGGTGTAGGACTAGCTTTGATAGCGAACCGGTCTTCAACTCGACTTCTAGATAAGTAGTTAGAAATAGAGGAGAAAAAATCAAGAAAAATATGCCATAAGTGCATTTGATCTATGATAAGTAGTTAGAAATAGAGGAGAAAAAATCAAGAAAAATATGCCATAAGTGCATTTGATCTATGATAAGTAGTTAGAAATAGAGGACAAAAAATCAAGAAAAATATGCCATAGGTGCATTTGTTCCCAATGAATCCGTGCTCTCGCGACGCCTTCGCTGAGCACAATCGACAACGTTTCACTGCGGCTTCTGTGTTCGTCCGAGCTTGTCCAGAATCCTACAAGTCTTGAAATAACGACTAGAAACTTCCACGCCAATGTACGCCGCCTCGGAGCCGGTCGTAAGATTAGACCTTCCGGGAATCGGAATCCATCTTCAGAGTCATCTTCTTGGACCATTCCCATTTTAAAAGTCAAATCTTGGACCCGTTTCCCCCTTACATCACGGGAGGTCCAAGATGCTTCTGAAGATCATGCAGGATCATTTCCGGAAGTCATAATAAGAGATGGGGCAAGCACAAGTCTTGGAAGAAGACGCGGCCAAGAACAGCACCAAACTCTTTACCTTCGCATTTCAACATACACGGCTTCCGTTGCTTGTTCACTGAAGAGTATGTTTTATGATTATAAGATTATAGATTCTATAATTATAGTGCTGTAACAACAAGAATTAGTGACTATTTATCAGTTAACTAGGTGTAGGTGAAGGTGTTGGTATAGAAAAGCACTGAAGAGTTTGTTCTTCCTATCCTGCTACAACTAGTTGTACCATCATCCAGCGCGATTTTATGCATGTAGCATTCGGCAACTTCCAACAGCAGCTCCTCTGTATGTTCCTGCATTAGCGGAGACTCTTTGATGCACACCAGGAATTTAGTCATTTCTCCAACGTCCACGATCTGTGTTCTAATCACGTCCACTGCAACACGTATCGACTTCGCAAATGGTGCGCTACTAGGGCTTGTGGTGTTTTTTGTGGTGTTTTTCGAAGAAGCTATAATTGATGCTTCGTCAGCTGGCTTTCCATCATTTGCGTCGCTTGTTGAGACACCACTGGTTGATGTTGTTGGGCCATCCTTACTGTTCACCTTGGACGCTGGTGCCAATACTTCATCAACATCAGGCGTTAATGCAAGATGCATTTTTGAGGACTTTTTAGATGCGTTCCTGCCTGTTTCTGCACTTCTATTTAAACCCGAAGATGTGGTCGCGTGACCTTCGACAGCTCCTGCTGCTTGTCGTGTCTGATCGCGTTTTTCTACATCGTTCTTCTCCTTTTGTTGTTGTTGATCTTTAATATTATCGCCCATTTTTGCTTTTGCATCAACATCACCTTCGGGTTTTTCATTTTCTTGGGCTCCTGTACAAGCACCCGAGGCATTGATCTGTTCTTCTTCTTCTAGCACCGTGTCGTGAAGTACTTCCATCATCCGCAGAAAAGTCTGCTCTTGTGGGCTTATCGCTTGCTGAAAATGCACGAAGTTGAATACTTGTCTCCTTTTCGCTCCTGCTGCAGCAAATGGTAGTTTTCCGTCAACAACAGTTCTTGATGAAGTAGATGCTGCACCTCTTTCCACCATCATGTTGATGTTATTCCCCTGGTTACTGTTTGTAAGCTGCTTCTGTCCTCCAGGTCCATTATTTCTTTTTCCATTCCTACTTGCAATTGGAAGATCATCATCGTCATCGCTATCATCCCCAAATAGACTCATTGCCAACCTTGGCCTTGGCTTGATCATCTCTTTTCCATTCTTGTCCAAGCCTAAATCAGTCAAGAGTATGGACGACGATTTTTTCCATCTGGCCAGACCATCGAGGCTCCCCAGTAACCTAAATATCAATTTTGTTCTACTTGAGGCAACTTAATAGTAGACCTAAGTATCTATATTTACAGTTTTAATAAGGGGAAACGAAGGGTCAGCCGCGATGGTTTTGGTCGTAAAAAAGATGGAACAAAGTAGAACACCATCCAGATCCATAAAAAATTCTTCATGTCCGCTATTGAAAAACATCTCCATGGCGTCTTCAATGTCCGCATCTTCGCCATCCGAGTCCAACTCTGGAGAAAACAAATCAGAATCCGAGGATATCATGTCAACATCTAAGGGCGTGTTCTTGTTCTCGTTCATGTTCTTGTTCTCGCTTGAAGATGAAGAATTAGGTAGTTGATGTGGTTGATGGGATTGTGCTTGACGAGAATTTGAGATTGCTCCTGTCGCTGGTCGTGGTAGATTCGTCGATGTAACTGTCCCATTGGCCATTGTCGTTGTTCCGTTTCCACCTGACGATCCTGTTCTCGATGGACCTGCTGAGCCATTTTTCTCTTGTTCTGTGGGAGCAACTAGTACCTCCGCACGTTTCATCTCGACATCTCCTGTTGTCTCAGGTACTCCGCCTGACGTCGAAGCCGGAGGTGCTCCAAGAAAGCCTGGAGTCGCCAAACCTGGCATAATTCCGCTGACGTTTCCTCCAAGGGACGATGAAGTAGAAGAACTCGAAGTAGTCGTGCCAGATCCAGTTGAAGAAGATAACAACAAGCTAGAGCCAGGTGGCGGACGTTGTGGTGAATCGAGGCCCACAAGTGTCCACTTGTCTCTCTTCACTGGAGGTCGTAGACCATGATTATTGCCATTGCCTGACGTCGAAGAACCAGGCAACATGATGATCGCGGCTCCCTGTGGCTCGCCGTCCACAGTTTGACCTGTTTCCTCGGGCGAACGTCCGTAAGGGAATAGAAGATGGACATGCCCCGCCGCCGTGTTCTTGGGAAAGCGATAGAAGTTTTCGTGCGCTTGTTGTGCTGCTCATCATTCAGCTACTAGGTGTCTACGATCTGACTTCATGCATGTGCAGGTATCACGAGGGTGGACAAGAAAAAGTGAAGGAATCGGGAAACTGATGCTCCTTGCACGAGCAACAAGAACTACAACTACAGGACTAGCAGTAAGTCTAAGTAAAACTATCTAAGATACGACGTCGTTTCGTGTACTACACGACTCCTGTATTGAGTATGCACGTTTTTCCAAATCCATCATCCTCTTGCAGTGACTAGCTTCTTATTTAGGAGAAAGGAACACTTTTGAAAACTTCTGTCAAAAATACTTATTCAAAAACAATTGGTGATGACAGACACAGGTATTAGTATTTTTACCGACATCAACGCCACTACACAGCACATTAATATCGCAGGGCATCCTCTTTCTGCTACTGCTTTTACTAGGCATACTAAATTAGTACAACTCTTCCAAGAAGATGAATAAGCAGTTTGAATATCTCTCTGCCTTGCAGAGAGAATTTTGTCATCGGTATGCTCTCAATTATGAGTTGTTGTCTTCAGGCTTCACAGATCTTGAAATTCGTAGTTGTCGATTTGCGTCACGGATGAACACGACTAAGCAGCATTTGATTCTCTTTTTCAGGCTCCAGTCGGCTACTTCATCTACTAGTTGGCTAATTTCTCCGTCTTCAGTAGCTTCAGCTAGCAGTCGCGGTGAAGAGCAAAATACTTTTTTTCATTCTCTCCAAGAAAAAATGTAAATGACTGCAATTGTCCTCTTCACTCCGCGTGTGCTTGCTCTTATGCTTCTACCTTGACAAACCATAACCAGCACGAGGAGAAGAAGAACAAAAAGTCCACAGCTATTTTTCATAGCGTCAATAAACAGCTGGTTGTAATGTTCTTTCTCTGATGAAGCAAAGAACGCTTGAACATCGTATGAGAGAATACTTCTTGAAGAATTGACTCGTCCCAACGAATGTCAAACGTTACACAGGTACAGGACAATGTCGTCAACCCTTGGCTTAGCAGAAGTTGCGGCTACTAAGCGGACTTGTTTGAAGTACCCTTTCAACAAAGCAAGAAACAAAGCCTCACGTCTAGAACGTTTTTGAAAACAGAATAAGATGAATCTTGGACCACGAGCAGGTGGGTGATCGTGATCCACAGCCTTAATATCCTTTTCGATATTATCCTCAGATGATAAATGTATTTCCTCTTCTTCACCATCGAAAAGATCCTCTGCGATCTCAGCGAGATGTTGATCTGTCACATCGGGGTAGAAGTCTTCGTCTATTATATTCAGGCTATTCAAAAAATTTATGTCCTCCATACTAGGCAAAGGCATTGGCATAGAAGCATTTTCAGAACTCTCTCCAGCCACCTCGGCCCCTTCAATCTCCATTTCCTCAATGCTCGTGTTTTTAAAAACAAGTTCCTCTCCATCGTGCTTCTTATTTTTCTCAACCAGCACTACGAAATCTGATAGGCGACGATAGATGTCACGTCTCCATTCTTTCACTGTCCTCTGTGAAGCTTCATCACGTGATGTGGGGGTCGTCGTCAAGTGTAAAAGGGTCGACAATAACGGCAAAAACTGGGCTTCATCGTAGATTAGGTCGGCACACAGGATCAGATCGAAGCCAGATGAACTGGGACCCGTCTTAGCTAGTACAGTATCGCTTTGCACGTCCTCTCCCCAAGATAAAGGCATCACTTCCAAAGCAAGCGACGATGACGAATTCTGGGCCCTCAAATCATCTTCATTCTTTTTCGGAAAGTTCCGTGCTACATTTTTTTCCGCTAAAGCGAGCACACCACCAGTAGAATTTGCAGCTCCACACGACTGGCAATGGTCAGTTAATATAATATCCACATGGTCCTGCTTGGAATTGTGCTGTAGTTGTTCTAGAAGTTTCGCCACCGCAATTCCAAGTACCCCAGTACCGCAACCAAGCTCTAGAATGCGCAGTCGTGCTTTAGCTTTTGTTCCACCGTTCCTGCTATACAAGAATTGTTCAAAGAACGAGTTTTCTTGCAACCACTTTATCACCAAAAGCGAGGAACGCCAGATGGCTTGCCCCGACCTATCCTGAGCATCATCATAATCTGCATCGCCTTCGTTCAGTGTAGAAACGGTCTCGAGCTCGACGACAACACTAGCCGCGGAGGCCGGAGTAGATGAAATCACATTCTGGAGGACATTCGTGGAGGCATTCGTTGTACTGCCAGTAGTTGTCCTATACCTGTGCTGGACGTCCTCGTCGAGAGAGATACTGTATAACCAAGAAGAAGTGTTGCGATTTGAAGATTCATCTGAAATCAAAACCTCCTCCTCCTGGTCTGCTTCCCGAATCTTCCGATCATTCTTACGTCTACAGCGTGGCCTACACGGCTGCAGAACCCGATGCCCAGGCTTCTGCGTCGTCGACTCATTGTTTTGGGAAAGAAAGAAGGAGTCTAACCAGGTTGAGAAAGCATTGGAACTCTCTTCTTGTGCTTTTTCTTCCATCTTGCTCATCTAATGATCCTTCAGTCAATCTCATGTTCATCAAAGCACCACGCCCTCTACTCTAGCTGCACTACCACTAAGTACATACGACAAAATTATAGTTAGAGGAAGTACTTCTGGTACTGCATCAGACTCAGACATTTTAAGTTTAATCAGCACCGTGGTTATTGGACTATATCAAAACCACTACCACGCTACCTGTAGTTGATCTTGATTTTTGTTTAAGCGAGCCTGAAACTTTAAAATCTTGGCAGGTGTCGTGGATTTCGGCGGGGTTAAAGAGGGGGCGGGTCTGATAATAAATCAATTTTCAAACCATGGACCGAGATATTTCGGCCGTGGAGCTCGAAGTATTCATACTCGTCTACTCGCAAAATTCATGATGAAGTACGCGGACCTTGTTCATGAAGACTTTCTTTTCTGAAAAACCAATAGGTGAGAAAGTTTTTGTCTTTAGTACTGACAACGAGATCTGGAACAGCACAAGCGAAATTGATCTCTACAGCATTTCTTCACGCCTCTCTTTGCTCTTCCGTGGTAGTTGCTGCTATTTTTAGTCTGAGAAGCTTTGGCTTTGCCACCAGATGCAGGGGTACTCACCATAGTCATTAGATGTTCTTGAAGACACGCTGTTGTTGTTCCGCCACAACGAGGTATTAATAATGATTTTTGTGGTGGAGCCGACCTAACTAGAAAAAAGAAAGACCAGCAGAGGAAGATAGAAAAGAGAAAAGGGTAACTATCGCCAAGTATCCTCCTATCTGCTAAAGCTGATTATTCGAAAAACTGAAATAAGCCAGTAAGCGCCGGCGCCATCGTCGTCCTGTCAGCTCCTAGGACTTTCCAAGACCGGTATTGCTATGGAGTGAAAATGTAGTGAGGACTTCCATCAAGTCTCTGAGGCGGCGGGCGTCAAACTTCGTGGCTTAGTACCTTCTAAGTGTCGTGAGGTATTTTTAAATCATGATAAGTACATCATGATGTGCTGCTTGCTGTCCACCGCGTCTACCAGTTCTTCGAAGCTGAAGCCATTCTACGTGTTGCCATCGAGCCACGAAAGGATGATGAGGAAGACTGGTCGTGCTCACCTACTTGTTCAATATTCTCACTCCTACAACTAGAAGCGTCGTTCCTGCTATGAGTGCTGGTCGTTGTGGATGAAAATGAAGAAGTTCCGGCAGCGGATGGTCTTGCAGAAGAAGTATCCGGATCGGTTTTGGTATCTTCATTAGCTGTAGTCTTCTCTCGTTCGATTTGATCGAAGGCGTGGATCAGCCGCTTTTGTTCCTCGGTTAACGAGTGCGGCAGCTTTAACCCGAAGTGCAGGATCAAGTTTCCGGAATTACTTGGTTTATTAGAGAGGGTCGGAAGAAGCAATTTTATACATAGGAATAGCAAGATAATAAAAATTGCAGGTATTGGTATTATTTCTATACACGACATTCATATGGTGGGCCTGATCGTGATCGTCCACCTGCTTGATCATCATGTTAATACGCTCCACCTTCAGAGAGAACCAGATAAAAGCACCACTTTTTAGCAAGACATAACTTTCGAATTCGATCCCCCTCCCGAGATCCGAGTCGGGCCTTTCCCACGCAAAATGCGGGTACTACTCGGCTCATTCAATGGCGGAAGGTTCAAATCGACGTCGCCTTCGAGAGTCGGAACTTTCACCTTTCCTCCCAACAACATCGTTCTCAATTTAGAGCTACCGCGTTACCATCTTCCCTGAGAGTCACATCGTCCTTGGCGGGTTCTTTTCTATCTTTCTAGTAGAAAAAGAAGCTGAGGAAGAGGATGAGGAAGAGGATGCAGCTTCTAGCATCAGCGAAGGTAGTTGCCTTAATCAATGAGACGTCAACATCCGCGTGTAGGTCATCATCAATATGCCGAAACTTCGGATGAGACTCGACGTTGACAAGGACAAAGAGATGACCGCGTCGCCCACCGCGGGCTCCCGCATGGCCTTCTTTAGATGAGGAACCAATACATCATACACGCCCATCTTGATCTTCTAGTTGTATCCTTCAAAGCCGCACTATGATTTTTATTTAGCAGCTATTGTTCTCAAACTCAAGGACTATCAGGAAGTACAAGTACTAGAGAGGAACCGCCGGCGAAATAAAGAGGACGTAAAATAACTACAAAGATGTTGAGAAGTCAACACGACGAGCAAGACAGTACGTTGTATCCGTAACTTGTCCGGGCAACCGCAGTTCCATGCCTGGTTTGATCCCTGGGGGAATCTCAACCTCAACTTCTACTTTCCGGGAGACCACACCCTCACCACTACAAGTTTCACATGCATGCTCCAACAAATCGCCAACGCCACCACATTTGGCACAGGGGAGACCCATACTCATGATCCCACGCTCCACACGTCGTACCCCTGTCCCGTTACACATGGGACATTTGCTCCACCCAGAACCGGCCTGTGCGCCAGAGGCTCTGGGATTAGAGCAGGATGTGGACGAACGTGAAGGAGGACTACAAGCATCAAAACAAAGTAGAAGAACATGTGAATGTGATCACGTTGTTCAAGTAAGTACTTTCGAAGTAGAGGATGATGAAATAAAAAGCTCGCAATCGCAGGCCATGCTGATGTAGGAGTAAGTAGATGATAGAAGAGGAGGCCATAACACAATCATTACACGGCAGTTGAAGTTTGAGCTGAATTCGTCTTCTTGCTCCGCGCATGGCTTCGTGAAATGAAACTTTGAGCTCTACGCTAGCATCGTCACCCCGCGCAGGCGCCGGACCGCCGCGTCCTCCACGGCCTGCGCGACTAGCCATTTTTCCGAAAATGTTGGAGAACTCGCTATAGAGCTGTGAGGGATCGACCCATTCTTGTTCGACGCCGATGCCGCTACTGCCACCGAAATCGCCAAATCCGCTGGCTTGCTGTTCTTGCGTGCCTGAAGCTAGGATTAGAAGTAGCAATAGGGGTTCTACTTTCATCGTTTTGTATTTCACATCTTCATCTTAGGGCTTAGGGGGATTGATAGGATAGCAACTGCAACATCTAGGACAGTACACTATGAGTAACGAGAACGACAAGACGGAGACAAGGATGGGCATTTTTAAGATTAATCGCCACTCTTAATTCTTCACTTGCTCCACTCGCAGCCGCACTGTGATCGAATTCGCGACGTCTTTTGGGATCCACGAGGAGTGAGTAGGCGTCAGTTATCCGTGACATCCTAGCAGCACAGGATGGATCATTTTTGTTCAAGTCAGGATGATTCTGCTTTGCCAGTTCCCGATACTTAGTTTTAATCTCCGCCGCAGAGGCAGTGCGATGCAAGCCTAAGACTTTGTAGGGGTCGTTTCGCTGTTGAGACGAACTAGCTGAAGAGCTGCTGGTGCTGAAGGAACGGGAAGAAGGCGCATCGAGGATATAATGGTGAGGCACATGAAGTCTTTGACGTGGGCCCCTTCTTGTTGTAGAAGATGCTGGTAGTTGTATGGACGAGGATGAGGTAGAATTAGAACTAATGGAAATCCATATTCAGCAGCATCTTGGGTCTCCTTTTCCCTTTAAACGGGACCAAGATGACAGTGAAGATGGATTTCTTGTACCCTTAATAGAAGATGTCGAAGATCTACTGCAACTGCTCAAGAGGCACCAGCTGCTCCTGGACGGGGTTGTTGTCCCTGTTAGATTCCGCTTGTCAACTTCTACGACATGGAAGCAAGGGATATGGCTACGATTCAGGTAGCGAACTCTGAAGGCATGAGCGTGAGACGAGGGCGAAAAGACCCCTCGTCCGAGTGGAGCACCAACAGAGGAGCCAGTGAAACCAGTTGCACAGGAGGAAGGGACAATAGAAGCGGAAGGTGTCATTTTTTTCGTTTCTTTTGCTTGGAACTGAAGGCTAGCGTAGCTGGTATACCTGGAGAGGGTGGCGAACTTGAGACCGGTAGTGATCTTCTCAGCATCGCCTTCTTGTTGCTGTCTCTCTAATCTCAACGTTGAGGAATTAAGTATATACGAGAGGCCCCAGCTGGTCGTGCTCCTTTTTCTCGCGGAAGGTGGAGGTGCGTGGTAGAACTAACCCTCTGACAGAAGGTCGAAGAACACAGTGTCGTAAGGATCGGCTTCAATCGCGGAGAATGGCCTAAAAACGGATAATTCACAACTAATGCGCTCAAGGTGGCATCGAGCTGCATTTGATCTTACCTTGTTTTTACAGAAGCATTAATCGCACTGCAGTAGCTCATGGTCATGGTCTACTGGAGCAGTAGCTTAAGATCAACTCTGGATAGCCATACATTGCCATGTTACGATGGTCATGATGTTGTGGAACAGCGGGCTTGGCCTTGGAGTAAGAAATACATTAAGTACTATTGATTCTCTGAGTCTTTTGTTTTCCTTTCAATTATCTTCTTCTATTTGTTCACCTTCAATTATCTTAGACTTCATGAACATTTCAAACAAAATAAACATGAACAATCAACATCTTCTTTCTTTATTCATCTTCACTCATCTTCACTTCTGTTGAAGTTGTAACGTACTCGGATCCAGCAAAGGTTGGTTGAAAGAAGCTTCAGGACTAATGAGACATTTCCCACCTGGCGAGAACCAATCTGCCCAGCCGTTTTCCGGGATGACGCTCTCTCGCAACCAGGTGCATAACAGTTTTTGATCTGTCGTTTCACAGGTTACCGGACGAAGCTCAGACTTGTACCTGGGGACGAGTATGGAGATAGAGATTTTGTTTCACAAGGAAGTCACCGGAGGACGACCAAGCTCAGACTTGTACCTGGGGACGAGTATGGAGTATGGTGGAGATTTTGTTTCACAAGGAAGTCACCGGAGGACCAAGCTCAGACTTGTACCTGGGGACGAGTATGGAGTATGGTGGAGATTTTGTTTCACAAGGAAGTGGAGATAGAGATTTTGTTTCACTGAATGGTTCTGGTATTTTTGGTATAGCCTGAGTTTGATCCTAAGGGAAAACAAGAAGAGAACCCTTAGGATCAAATTCAGGCTATACCAAAAATACCAGAACCATACATTCACAAGGAAGTCACCGGAGGACAACCAAGCTCGGACTTAATATTGTGCCTCGTGCTATAATGTTGATGAAAGGACCACTAGATTGTAGGTCGTACTAAAAAGTAATCTAACCCCTTGTACCTGAGTTTTATTGATTTAATGAATGACACGATCATTGCGACCACCTCTTACTTGTTTCAGCTCATGTATTACACTTTTACTTACTTTTTCTTGTTGAAAGTCGTGAAAGCAAAGAGGGAATTTTAATTTCATCAATACGCTTCATTCGCGCATCCCTGTATGAGCAAGTGTTTTTCATTAGCGTTTTCCACAGGTTTCTTGTCTCCATCTGCACCGCTTCCGGGAGTAGCAGCTCTCCCTTTCTTTTTCCATAGGTCTTGAGCTTTCTGACAACTCTCAGTGTTTGCGTCCACTTCTTCAAGCAGTTGCTTCAGTTTGCTGCAGTAAGCTGCTAGACCATGCTTGCCGAGTACCAGATCCTGCCACACATGCTGGCGTTCGTCGGTCACGGGAGTTAGAAAGAGCAAGAGAAAGTTCATCTAATCAACTTTTGAAGTTGTAGAATTTTTTACTAGAAAAAGTAGATAATTAATCACATGGAATTCGAACTCGATACTACACAAGGAAGTAGACAGAAGGAGAAGTTGCAAGCCATCTAGTAGTAGTGCTCAATGTTAGATCTGGTGGGTACAAAACAACAAGCCTGCTACGCCATAAACTTCTGAGCGCTTCGAAGGTTCGGCTAAAGCTACCTTCGAAAAGCCGCTTAGCTTCGGAGTTCACAGCATCGATCGCACCCTGAGCATCCCCGAAGATATCTTTCATTTGTTCTTCGACTTCGCTTGCACTGATGCTGAAGGACGTTGGTCTTGTTCTGCTTGTTGATGAGGACGCCTTAGAACTGCTTTGAAGATCGACCAAAAGTTGCTGCAACATCACTTCTATATCTATAGTTTTTGAAGATATTGTTATTGACCACGTTTATTGATGGTTGTACTAGTTGTAAGTTAGTAGAAGTACACTTGTTCTCTGCTAGTTGTACTGTGGTTGTCGCAAATGGGAATTCGTTGTAGAGCTCCTTCTTGAGTCCACTCCCTTTGACAGAGATGAAGATGAACGGCAACTGGTGGGGCTTAGAAGGAATCTTCAAACAGTATTTTTCTGAGCCTAGTACGTCCTGAAGGTTACTAAGGAGAGAAGTTTGACGGGAAGCTAAAGAAGGTTGGGCGCATCAATCCACCTAACGACGAGAAGCACGAATAAGCTAGTAGATAATCATGAACCGATCCTGCAGCTACGGAAGCCGAATCATCACGGAAGAAGTAGGGCATCTAAGCTTTCGATGATGTCGCACACGACCGATGTTCTTGGAGTGCCATCGATTCTTCTTGGCAGCTGTAGATGTTTTTACGTGCTTATCAAAATTCTCCACGACCGAGTCGGAGAACACGTATACTTGATATTTCACACCAGATCAACAACGTGTTGTGACTGTGACAGAGTAGATTGAGTTTAAAGCGAAGGCGTCACATCGAACTGCGTTCAACAAGCTTGGCAACTGTTAAAATTAAATGCATCAAAATCCCTCATTTCTTACTGTTTTTTCTATGTATAAATATTAAATGCGTTAGCTGCACAGAATTCTTCAACTCGAAGTTGAAGAGCAGACCTCCGCTCCGGAAAGAAGAAGTAATGAGCTTGAGTTGGATCTTTACATCACTCCGCAATCCCAGAGTTTTATACATAGATGATGGGTATGGCCACTCTCGTTTTCTAAACCGGTCCCGTATAGTCACAACATACATACTTCGCAATCGTGTCGTTGGTAAGCCAGAGACTTTCAGGTGTCTGATTCAAATAGCACCCCGCTTCATTTGGAACGAAGAAGACACTTTTTTGGATTTTCTGGAGGTCTGTTTCTAGTAAAAATGTTTCCCCAGCTGCACTAGAAGAAGTTTCATAGGCGGCGCTATACCTCTGGCCCTGCGCTTCCACGATAGCAGCAAAAGGGTCCCCTGTTTCTATCTTGGTTCCCTCATGTTCAGGACTCTTGGCCCCCTTTGGGCATCCCCGGTAGTTCTGCGGAGGTGCTTTCCCTTCCTTGTTCAAATGATGAAGACCTGCCAATGCCATTTCGTAGCCATCGATATAGCTTCTTACGCTTTTCGAGTATGCAGCGCTCTCTAGAAGTGGGCCACGTCCCGAGGACGCTTCCTCTTCCGTCTTGTTTGAGCCACTCTCTAAAAGTGGACGACAACGTCCCACAGGAACAGACACAGAACTACCTACTTCACCATGACCTTTCTCTTTTTGGCGAGGCGCTGCCCGGCTGATGGACGCTGCATTCAAGTCGGCTCTCAGTACAGTGCTCGCCAACTCGGCGCCAACAAACTGCCGAATACAAGCACGATCAGGCACGATCTGGCACGAGGAATCACGTGCCGACGACGAGCTCTCCGGCGGACCGTAACTCCTCTGGCCTCCACTTGCCGGCTTTGCACTGCCGACAATCTTGCGAGGCAGCACATACCCTCTAGCAAAGACATCTACGATACAGTGGAAACCTTCAGGCGTCTCACGAACGAAGACAGGTGGTGGGCGGAAAGCTTCTCCACCAGCACCGGGATCTAGGTTCCCACCAGATGAATGTAGGTTCCCACCAGGTTTGAAAGCGGCAGCGTTCTCTGTCTTGTCCTTCATTTTCTCAACATCATCCTCAGGCGCCGCCGCATGATCCTCTCCACCATAGTTCTCCTGAAACTCGAAGCCAAACAATTCAAAGGTACCTAACGTGGCGTTCCCCAAAGGCAGCCCACGAAAGGCGCAAGAGCACCTAACAGGTGGACACGGTTCATCCATGCCCGCAAAGAAACAACCACCTTCACCTGAGGACACGCGGGAGCAGCCAGCTGCTCCTGAGGACTGCTCGCGCCCGCCCCTTCTTGTTGCAGTCGTTTCCAGCTTCATCGTGGCTGGATTCATCAAAAGTGCGGCGTCGCGAAATGAATTATTTTGGCGATACAACTCCTGAGAGAAGTCTTCATCTTCTTGACGATAGAAGAAACTGAAAGGGCCCTGGTGCTCCTGCTCTTTCCTGATTTTTTGGTCGTCGTGCTCTTGTTCGTCTACTTGTTGCCCTCTTCTGTTTCTTGGTTCTCGCAAGAGGAGCAGGGGGGCGACGGCTAATGTCTTCCTAGCTGCTCTCTGTTCTCGATCAAAGCGACGCCACAGCTCTTGGTCGTAGAACTGCAACAGGTCAGGCCGTGCGACGCCTTTGAAGCTCAACACATCACGAGCGAAGCTGCCCAACATCTTCCTCGAGGTCTGTAAGGCGCTTGTACAGGTCTTCTTTGGCACCTGTCTTGCGAGAACTGGAACAGATGCCCGACCCGTTGCGCGCATATGCATCTCCCCGGTGTTGTAACCGTGGGGGCCGGCCCGATACGATGCGGAGAACGAGTGTTTTCCAAAATAATGGTAGTCCTCTGTAACAGGCGCCATGCCCGGGAAAGGTTCCGGGAACCAATCCCAACAAGAGGACATGCCCAGAAGCCCGCTATCGAGAACTTCAGGAGATTCATATTCATAATATACACCATCCCGCGGTTCGTACTCTGCATCCTTCAGCTGGAACGCCCACTCGTGGAGTTCCCGCATTGAACTCACATCCCGCGGAAGCCTGAAGAGCTGTGCCCCATTGTACATCCCTTTGAAAGACTCTTCCGTCAGCACGAGCAAGGCAGTCAGGTGCAAGATCTTCACTTCGGGTGTCTTCGTCATGTCTTCCTTCCTCTCTTGACTACCGGATCCGGAGTCCGAGGTGGAGTTCTTGCTCATGCTCACATAATTCATCTTGGAGTCAGACGAGGAAGATGCTGGTGTGGCTACTTGTTCGCTATTCTTTTTTCTCTCTATTTCCGGTGACCACGCTGAGGCCCCTGGTGACCACGCTGAGGTAGAAGTGGCTGAGGTAGAAGTAGCTGCCGCAAACGTGATTGCAGCAGTGAGCCAACATGAAGCTGAATCGAAAATCCTATTTTTCGCTTCCTCCTGCTTCTTCATGAGAAAGGCGGAAGCCTCCTGCTTTCTTTCACGTCTTTTTTGCGTCCGTCGCCGTCCCGTTTTCCTGGATCCCTGTGCAGGAGCAAGCTTGCTGGGCCCACTTTCCTGCTTTAGAACCTCACACTCTTCGCGTGGAAGCTCCATAACCAAACGCTCCGAATTCATACACTTTTCAGAGGCTGCTACGAAAAAATCTCCACCGTATGATGCTGGAGCCGCATTATGTTCTTGGTCCTCGACCTCCCCCACCGCTGAATCTTCATGGTCACCAGCATCACTACGTACTAGACGAACGCAATGTGTGAGACGTGAGGCGGGCAGCAAGTCACGCAGCCTGCAAGGGGTCCCCTGGTCGACTGGCTGGTCGCCTTCTTCCTTGTCAAGCAGCGCTTGCGCACACTCTTTACGGAGATCGCCCAGCTTCATGTCTTTGTGCACTCGGACGCAAATCTCCTCCCCCGTGAACCCAATCGCAACCCGCAAAACAACCGGCAAATGGTGCCTACAATCAAAGAAGTCGCCCGCCATTTCTGCAGCGCTGCAGTCCAGCAGAACTAAGTGGTCCGCTTCTGACATTTCGCTGGAAGAATGAGGAGGAAAAAGGGAGTCTCTCATGTGCTTCCAGTACTCCTCATCCTCAACTGTAAACCCGTCAACTTCTGCAGGTGGTGGCAGCGGGCTTGCGGCGTCAGCATTGACGCAGTGCTCACGTAAAGCTTGTTGAAAATCCGCGCACGCTTTCCGAAGGCCCGCCCGCCGGCGAGGGCCGCGCTTGTCCAAATGGCAGGCAAGTGTTGTGTCGTTTTTACAAAGAACGCCATCTGCTGCTAGAGGACACGGATCTCTTGTATCGTTCTTCAGGCATTCTACTGATAGAGGCCTCTCTGTAGTAAAATCACCCTTGACATCGACGTTTTCTCGAAATAGCCTCCACGGACAAATCCGAGGCAGAACAGGACGCCGCCGCTCGTCGTCCCACCTGCGAGGCGGATAAAGACACGACTCTTCGTCGGATGTCTCATAATCAGATCCGATACCATGGTTATCGCCGGTGCATTGATCACAAGGAAGCATCTCTCGAAAAGTACCCTGAAGAAGGTCGACTCCTGGAAAAACACGCTTTTGTCCGGGACTCAATCGCTTGCGTAGATCTGGCAGCAATCGTTTCAAATGATAATCCTCATCTTCTTCATGTTGAAGATGTTCTGCATCTGGGATATCATCCTCTTCTCCATCACTTGATCCACCGCCAGAATAGTTTCCAAGGTAGTCTCTCCTTTTTTTAGAAGTTCCACAAATCAAGATCGGAATTTTCGACGACTCATCATTTCTAATTTGTGACTCTGACTCTTGATGAATTCTCGGCGACTGCTGATCGTCATTTTCTCGATGAGAACCAACATCCTTTTGATGACCAATTGTTGAGTGTTCTACTTCCCAATCTTCGAGTGCTTTCGCGTTGCGCTTGAAAATTTTCTGGTCGATTACATCTTGATGTTGGAGGGTGCCCCTCACGACTGGGGGTGACATTTGCTCGACGTTTGAGGTTGCTCGTTTGAGTTTGACGTTGTTAATATTTGCTCGGTTGAACCTTGGAGAATCCTGGCGGCTCCTGGAACAAGTCGCGTCTTGACCAGCAGCAGCAGCAGCAGAGGTCTCGTGCTCGTCATCTTCTTCTAGCACTTTCGACGCAAGGACCACCATATCGTGAAATGTCTTCACAGGAGCAGGAGCTTCGCGAGGACTACGGCTGCTCGTCGCGGTGCCGGTGCCCGTCGCGTTGATGTCAAGCGAGAAATTGCAGCAGTCACAGAGCGCTAGAAGAGCTGCGAAGTAGGGGTCAGACGAGTGAAAACCTGAGCGCGGAATCCAATACTCTGTCCCGTTCGTCACAAACGACGCATGTCGAATAGTCCTCTCATCAAACGGCTTCGGATGCTTAGTCCAGTGCTCGAAAAGCATTTGATTGGTTTTTCGGCCTTGATGTCGTGCGCAGGGTTTCCCGTCCCCGATAAGGGTGTCAAAAACCGAAGTGGAACTCCATTCGTCATCCCAGTCAGCAACTCTCACTACTTTCCACCACAGGGGGTCGTTGTCATTGGACAACATCCCCAGTTTCTTCATCTTCGTCTCTTCATTTAGAAATATTTCTTTCCATCTAGTAGGATGCAGCTGCTGATCTTTCCATCTACTAGTACTTGTAGAAAGCTCCTCCTGCTGACGTAAACCTGGAGGATGTTGACCAACATCTTCATGGGGAAGGGACATCCATCGTAGTCGGGCGGCTTCGTTGTACAGCTTTGCCGCGAACGTAGCTGCCCTTCCTCCGTTCGGCAGCACTGATAGCCGACTCAAACCGCAGGCCTTCCGGAAGCAAGCACCAATGTAATCCTCCAGTTCCGATTGTTCTCGTTGTACTGCAACATCCGAAATAAAAGACGCACTTCCAACATTTTCATTAAAAACACTTTGATCGTGATCATGATCAACATGCTGTTGTTTCCACCTTTTGGCGTAGGCCGCACTAGACAAGACCGGCAACAGAAGCTCGCCTGCCATCGTGCTTCGGCCGGTACTAGAAGAAGAGACTGCACGCTGCTGCCCCTCCTGCTGCGTGGAGGTGGAGGAGGTCTCGCCTAAGATATTATTTTCTATACCTACTTGTTGCAGTTCCTGTGCCGGCGTGTCTGCTGAGGTGTTCTTCATATTAGTATTACATTGCAGTTCCCGCGCAGCCTGTGCAAGGTGAAGAACAGCCCGCACTGGCGCCCCCCCAATGGACGAGCCCTCCTCCTGATGTACTTTCTTTGATGGATTACAAGGGCCCTCCTTGTTCTCTGATGGCGTGCAGGAGAGTTGAAGTGGTTCAGGACTCTGATAAAGCAGCTCAGTGCGTAGAAAGATCTTCTCACCGTCAGCAAAGGCACGTCCCTCATGAGCACACGCTTGGTCAAACAGCACGAACGTCCAAGGGTCCTCGATCTCCGCAACGCTGAAGCAGTCATCTTGTTCGACATCATCCACAGCAGCACTATCGTCGGCATCTTTTTCTTTTTCGGGGTGGGCTAAGTCCTTTTCAACAAGCATCTTTTGGAGGTGGTGAGTTAAGGCCTTATCATCAGCATCGTGACGGAGACGGTGAGTTTCAGTTCTCAAGTCCTCCTTCTCATGATGGGCTTGGTCCGCGGCTTGTCGGACAAGCTTCTCAGAGGACATTGGGGTAAGACACACCCGGAGAGTTGAGCGACCTCCCACTGATTAGACCTTGCTACGGTAGATTTGATATTCATCCTGATCATGAGCATCTTGGTAGCTATTTGTATTTCCCCTTACTACAAACTCCTTCCAAGATGCCTATCCAGATGAATTAAGGAAAGCGAAAGCCTTAAAATGATTTGCCTCGTGTCAGATATATCAACAGGGTGTATCGCGAGAAAATCCCCTTGCTTGCGTGCACGAAAGGGGTATCGAAATGCGCTTTGAATTTCTCGCTGCCTTTCGGGAAAATATTCATCCGAAAAACGTGGTTGACACGCAGGAAACGATCACCAGCAACTGGAACTGCATCGCCAAAAAATGGAAGAACGTTGCCATTGATTCTCGCCGCCCCTCCTGCTGGCTCGTCTTCTGGTCGTGAGAGGAGGGGGGAACTATCCGCCGCTGCTCTCATCTTTCGAGTGATAAGGCCAGTCAGATAATCGCTCAGAATCCAGGACATGAAAATCAGTCTCTCGCCGCCCCTTTCAGTCGCATTGTCAGGCTTCGAAAAGAGTGCCCGAGTCGTTGCGATTCTTCTCATCAGGGCCCGGTCTATTGCCATACGCAGCTCCGAACTCCTGTTGTGCCTAGTACTAGCAGACTTCCTTTCATTGCAGCAGTTGTCATCGTATTTGTCAGAGTCCTTCTCTACAACCCTGTGCGGAGTCCCATTTTCGACTACATGGGAAACGCTGCTACTACCTATGCGAAACGCTGCCACTAACCCTCGTTCCTTTCGATCTTCTGTAGTCGTGAATGAGGACGATGATGTGAATTTCGCTCCTGCTACTGCTACAGTGCTGGAATCAAAAACTTCAATTTCTTCCAAGAAAGTAGAACTATCGAAATCGCCTTTCATCATCATGTCCTGCTTCTTCATCATTCCCATTTCTTCCTCGAATATCCAATCAAGCTGTAGGATGTTTTCAAAGTTGCGGAAACTCAATGACGCTGGCGATATGTAAACCACATACAAAAAATTCGGGGACTTGGACTTCTTTTGTAAAAATTCCTGAACTGCTTCAGGTGCACCACCACTAGCAGCAGCTTCTGTGTGCTGGTCCTTTTGAACTGCTTCAGGTGCACCACCACTAGCAGCAGCTTCTGTGTGCTGGTCCTTTTGAACTGCTTCAGGTGCACCACCACTAGCAGCAGCTTCTGTGTGCTGGTCCTTTTGAACTGCTTCAGGTGCACCACCACTAGCAGCAGCTTCTGTGTGCTGGTCCTTCTTGTTCTTTGTAACAGCTGCAGCTTCCGGGTGGTCCTTCATCTTGTTCGCTTCTAGGGCAGGAGCTTCCTTGTCCTCGCCCTCCTCTTTGTTGTCTGTATTGACAACCGGCGGCAGAACAACTCTTTCAAACAACTGCTCCTCCGCAACAGAAAGAAACTTGAAAAATGGGTCATATTGGGAAACGAGGCGTCGCAGCGTCACGTCCAAGTATGGTCCTGGCAAATACTGCCTACCTTCCCTCCTCCACACCGCTAGGAGAGGGGCACTGGACGAGGTCTCGTACTCGTTCTCGACCTTGAACGTCATATTTCCTTTTTCAGTCTCCGAATTATATGAAGAATGATCTAGAGGGGACTCCGAGGACATGAACGTCAGTACTAGATAAACCACACAATGGATATTAATTCCTTTCAAGATTCACTTTCTTCACCACATTCATTGATATAGAAGTTAGAAGAACTCTCTGGTTATTCTACTTGTTGTTGTACTTCGAAAAACGCATCTACATGCATTTGTTTCTACTTCAAGAGCCAAGTGCTGTATATCAGAGCAATTCATGAGGTTTCACAGCTCGCGTGGTGCATGGATCACATGGAGTAGCATGGAGCTAAGGGGGGAGCTTCTTGCGCCCCTTAAAGCTCTGCGCTCCATGCACTCCATGCTACTCCATGCGCCATGCGTGCTATAAACTACTTATCTGGTATATTATACGCCAAGAACATGAACGAAGATGCTCCAAAAAGCTGTTTAGGGACACACGAAACGAACATGGATAGACAGATATTAGTGAATAAAACAATATGCAATTCTACGGTGGTGACCTGACGTTGTGGGGGCGACCACGAGTTGTTCCCGCCGCAAAGTATCTAAATCTAAATTTATCTTCACACCTTGAGCCATACTACACGTCTTGAGGAAGAGCCAAGCGTTCATCTCCTTCCGGTGGTGCTACCTGGTTTATTTCCTTAAAAAGACAGAAGCTTGACGCTCACTCGCGGTCACTCCACTACCAGTAAAAAAACACACACTTGCCAACATTATTTACATTCTGGTGTAAAGTAAGCGCACTCGAATAAGACAGACACTTGCCAACATTCGGGTGAAAAGCGCGCTCGAATAACACAGACACTTGCAAACATTTTGTCACTCCAATACGACGGACACTTTCCGAGGCCATGCTGTAACAAGCAATCCAATAAGACAGACTCTTGTCAACATCCTGTGAAGAGCACTCCAATAACGCGCACTAGATGTAGATCCTCACGTCATCATCATCCCAACTCGTCACTTCTCGGCCAGGACAGGCACTTCCACCTCTTGTCCTCAGCGTCTCATTAATCAAATGTCTAAGAATATCCGTCGTGATAAAGATGTCCTCGGGGAAGGTACAAAACGCGCTGCTCCTGCATGTAGCGCGGTGGCGAATACAACTACTTCTACTACGTCTACGACCTCATCTTTGATATCATGCGCAGACAAGAAAGATTCATCACCTTCAGCGACTACGGCTACGCCTAGTCTTGTCTTTCATCAAATTTCGATGTAGTCTTCCTACGATGATGGGACAATGTCGAATCGGACCAGTCAATACGTGAAGACGAGCTTGCGCAAAAGCTGAGTCTCCAACGTCAGCAGTGTCAAGACGATGTCGAATCAGAGTCGCTACTGGAAGATGAGCTTGTTTTGACCGACACTTCCGCAAGTACGCCTGCCGGTTTTACTGTAGCAGTCATGACTTTCGGTAATGCTTTCGCGAATGATTGCGTTGTAGCCTTAGCTGCTGTGGCTTTTGACATCATCGCCATAGGTTGCCCTTTTGCCTTAGCTGCCGTAGCTTTTGACATCATTGCCATAGGCTTAGGAGCTCCACCTTTACTTTTGTTTTTTGCACCAGAAGAGGAGTCAGAGTCAGAGGAGTTGTCATTGGAGGAATCACTAGAGGACGAAGATGAGCTTGAAGATGAGGAGCTTGATGATGATGACGAGGAACTGGACGAGGACGATGAGCTTTTGCTTCGAAAGCTCTTAGCTTTCGCTTTTGCTTTAGCTTTCGCTTCCTGCTTCTCCCTTCGTCTTTTGGCTCGCTCTTCCTTTTTGACTGCGTCGTCTTTCTCCGCCATATACTGTTCCGGCTCGCGGACCATAATTTCACCCCATCGCGTTCCAGCATCTGCATATTGGCAATAGCCCTGCTTTCTTGCGTAGTCTTTGAGTTCTGGCCCCCTTTTCGTCAGCTCGTCCAGTACTACTTTCGTCACTTTCTGAAGCGTGTCTAAAAAATCGTTTCTACAACGATTCAGCCGTTCTTCGTGTCCCTTCTTTAAGCCTGCGAGTTCCGCACGCACAAGATCCGACTTCCGCACGCGTCCAGCACGGGAGGTCATCAATGCGGCAGGATCCAGCTTTGGGGTATCCCATTGCTTCACCTTCTTGTTCTTCCCTGCTAAGATCATCGACCGCTTCATTGGCCTGGAGTCGCGCTGTCTTATGCCCCCTGTTGGAGCAATAATATGGTGATGGTGTCGGTGATGATGGTGGTCATGATGACGATCACCATGCTCCGATTGCTTATCATGACGATTCTTTTGGTCCTGAGCGACTTTCGTCCCATTATTTTCACCTCTTGTTCTATCCTTTTTTCTGTCCTTGCTTTCTCCATGCCTACTCTTCGAGGAAGGCTTTTGATCATTCTTTTTAGTTTTAGACCTATGTTGAGAAGGAGACGCTGTTTTCTCTTTGTCTTTAGAACCTTGCCGATGTCTATGTTCTCCACTTTTTTGATGCTGTCCTCCACTTCCAGTATGGTGCTCATGGTGCCGATGCCCCTTACCACCTCCTTGTTTCTTCGCATCAGCGTTTGGAAAGTAACCTTGAGGTAGAAAATGCTTTGGTTCTCCAGAAGCTGAAGAACTAACATGTTGATGATGATGATGATGATGTTGATGATGTGCTCCAGATGCTAGCTGCGGCAAAGGCCATTTCCTCAAGAGGGCTGAGTTAGCGTGCGCAAGGCTTTTTGCGTGTTCTCCATGATGGTGATGATGATGGCTATGATGGCCCTCGGCAGTACTAGTATTTGCAGCGCGTTCATCTGCTGAGCTTTCCCTGGTTGTTGGTCCTAGTCCAATTTGAGACTGCATTTGATGATTCGCAAACCTCGTGTGAGTCATGTAATGCGAGGTGTCCACTACAGCCCACTTCCTCACCGTCATCCCCGCCGCTGCCTTGATATAGTCAGCATCGAGTTCGGGTGCTGCAGGACTAGTAGTTCCTTCTTCTTCTCCATCTCCCTGTTGTTCCGTTGTTCCTGCATTCAACACAAGGGGTGACTTGTTTACAGTAGCCAAAACAGCGGGATCAATGAACCTTTGCATCATGGTAGCCGCTACGTCATCGGGGGCTCCTGCGGCTCCTCTCGCTTCTCGTATGGCTTTCTCTTTAGCTTCCCTTGCTATCTCGGCAGCACTTTTAGGCGTCGCCCAATGCCTGACCTTGAAATCCTTTTGTGCTGCGAAGTTCGGCTCATCATCCTCGTTGGCGTTGTCTCCACCACCAACTTCGTTCCCAAAGCGGTCCACAGTAATGGCTCTGCCTTCGCGAAAGACCACTGCTAATCCGTCAGCCGTGTGGACTGGCTTCGCCATTTTGCTTAAAATTTCCTGTTTATGCTTCATCTCTTCATGCTTTAAACGCCATTCTTTAGCCTCAATCATGCTTGGGGAGTCCCTAGTAGTAGCATTCGCATTGTCACCTTCGTCTCCACCTTGCTCCACCACTTGCCCATCACCAACATCCTGATCCTGTTCTGCTTCACCCTCTCCACCTCGTGGCGCACGTCCATGTCGTGCAGCTCGTGCTTGTCGATCTGCATGTCGTGGTCGACGATGCAGCTCTCCATGAGGAGCAGTAGCTTTATGTAGTTCTTGTTGTACTTGTTGTTGGACATACACCGCAGCCCCACCAGTACCGAATTTCTGAAGATATTTGCTATGGCCAGGCAAGACAATCGAAGCAACTCCAACATTCGGCTCAACAACTTCATTCGTAGAAGATGCTGCTGATGAAAAGAGGAAAACTTTGCTGTCGCTCCTCAATGGTGATAATTGCGATGAAGATGATGGTGCTGTAAGACCACTAAGACTATCAAAAGTAGCTTCTTCATCTTCACCATTCTGCACCAGCACCTCCACTCCTGATGTTCTCGCCAGAGCGTGTTCTGCATCTTCCAGCTCCTGCGCGATTTGTTCGAGACCAACAACATCGATGTTATCTTCGACGTTGACGTCAGAAAGAAGACACGCCTCAGTGGCGAGAAGATCGCTTGGATCAGTGCAAGAAGCCGTCATCTTATAATGCATAAGTCGTCTTTACATCAATTTACTATGATGATGATCAATCAACATGTTTAAATACGGCATCTTCTGCATTTTCATCGTAGTTAAACGTCGAAGGACAAAATATCGAACGCTGCTCGAGGAACGCGTTTCTACGTGCATCAAGTAGAAAAAAATGTTAGATTGACTATGACTACATATGAGAGAGGGAACCTGTGAGATGGGGGTTTTGTCTTCAACTTGCAAGCAAGTAGAGGCAGAGGGGAATGACTTACTAGGGGATGTATAGATAGGGGCGCATAGGCAACATTATGAAGTGGCAGGGGATATATTTCTTAGGAGCTGCACATCAAATTCAAAGTTATTTTTTAACATTGTCATCAAGAAGTGTGAGATGATGATACAACACTTACAACTACACTATACATAGCACGGGTGAACGCAAGAATAGATGCTCTCAAACACTCACTCCCCAGGCACCACAGTTGTAGTTCATGTTAAAAAGACACTTCATGTACATTTCTCTCAAGACCGAAACTATTTTTTTTGAATTTGCTCATTGTCACAGACGCGAGAATCTATTTCGGTTTCGGTACTCACTTATTGTACTCAATTTGATGAACGTATTGGACCATTTTTGCTGGAAACGACGAGAACTCACTTGACAGACTCGTCTATGGACAGAAAGCTGATGAATCGGGAAGATCAGTTCGACTCTTGAATTTTTGCTACAGCTGAAACAAACGAACCACTCAAGACCGAAACTGAATGATCCGAAAGGTAAGGGAATCCAGTTAAAGATGAATACATTCAAGATCTCGAAGAGCTTAGGGCTAGTGCTAGAATAAAATCTTCAGTCTCAATACAAACTTTTCCCTAAAAGGAAAAAGCCAAGACGCTTCCGGAATGCGAATCAAGCCTGGTAACAAGAATGAATTCTCTGCATCATCAGGTATTGTTTTGCGGATGATATTCCTGTTCTTGTCATGATGCTACGTACTCATCTTCTACTTAGTACGTTTTGTGTATGTTGACAACACTCTTGATCTTGTCAACATCACCTATTTAGTACATTTCAACAAGGTTATCTCTTCTTCAATCCGCTGGCGTCGTTCGCGTGAGTCCTTAATACGTTGTCTAAGTTCTGAACAGCTTGATTCTATCAAGCTCGTTTCTGCTTCGACGACTTCGACATTTCTTCTAGTACTTGGGTTCTTTAGTGAATGCTTTCACTCATTGAGAGGGTCGATATGGGAATCTCGTTCCCGCCCCTTTGATGCCTTCTTACTCGTTAGGATTAGGAACGACATTCCCCTACAACTATAAATTGAGAACTTCTCAAGGGGAAATGGCACCATCATTGACATAAGTTTGAAGATGGGCCTTCTTGAAGATTGCGGGTAGAAAAGTCTGATGAATTAGACGAAGAAGCGTCCTGCAAGAGAGTCTCGTAGCCGTCTTTGATTTTCGACAGTAATGGTCCAAAGGTTGTGTCGCGTGCGATCAACTCGTCGAACAGATCTGGTGAAGGTTTCGTTGTCATACGCATTCTAGTTCTTGTAATTCGGGCGACTAGGACCACAACTACTACCATATATGATCATAGTGGTCATAGAAGATGATCTTGTATCCTGTAGTTGACGTGTCTCATGATCAAAATCGAGTAGGAGGAATCATCTTCATGAAGCCGTCCTCTAGAGACTAAAATTAGTACCTTGATAAATTTTTAGTTTTTTATCCACCACATATGGTTTCCGTATGTTGGCCGCTGTTTCATCGAGTCTTTTTATCTGTTGTTCTGCTTGCTTTCTTCGTGCTGCAGGCGCGAACTTTCGTGGAGGGAGAGAGTTCGAGGAACGCATTGTTTGTCGTGTGCATTAAGAAGAATCACATCGGTGGAATAGACTCGCGGGCCTTAAGCTCTACGACGCTTGAAGTTGTTAAAACAGTCACGACTTCATCGCTCAATCTTAATGGTCTCAACATGATCTAAGATTTGAAATTGAATGTTGTAAGTAGAATAGTGATCTGAGATTTGAAATTGAGTATTGCTACAACTTCGTAGCATTCCACCAAAGTCAATAAAATCTCGACGTCTCCTCGTCTCCAATTTTTTCCCACAAAAACTACAACTTCATCTCTGATGTGCTGCTTTTATTTTCAGAAGTATGTGCAACATGTTGAGACCCTTACCCTGGAGTCGCTTGTGGTCGTTCGAACACCTCTTGCAAACACAGGCGGACTCGTGGGCTGCACCAGCACCAGTATGTAGGTACGAAACGAGTTTCAGCACCACATCAAAGTTCATTTTAATATGATGTCGAAAAAGACGAGAGGGCGCGGCCACGACGGTGTTTGCGTTATAGTGCACGACAAATATCTCTACGGCGCCTGATCCCCTCCATCGTCACTGCTTTCGTCCTCGTCAACCCCATCTTCAGCGTCCTCCATAACATCGTTAACGTTATCATCAGCTTCTGGCGCTCGTTCCTGGTGGGGCGAGGATTATGTGGTTGGTAAAAGCAGGTATCAGAAATATTCACACGACTTACCCTGAAGAAAACTTGACTGAGTGGATGATACAGCACCAAAATGCAACACAAAGGATAATTGAAGGCTGACCATTATGTGGATGATACAGCACCAAAATGCAACACAAAGAGATAATTGATGCCAGGAGGATAAGAAACAACAAGAACATCTTCAAGTTGTAGCACTGATTAATATAGCAAAAACAAATAAGTAGACCTAGACCCTACCGGTGGTCCTACGTCCTCTTGTGCCCCTTCATCTTCTTGTGACTCTTCATCTTCTTCTCTGTTAATTTGTCGCAGATGCTGGAAGACTTCGCGCATGCGGTCGTCATCGAGATCACCAGTGGCATGAAGTCCTCGCAATCTTCCTAGCACACCTTTCCAACGATTCCACACATATCCAGGATATATTAGAGGTCGCAAAATAAATCCGTCTCATTGAGCATAAAAACCATATTAGACTCTAGTAGTTGTGGTGGAGCCGACCTAACTAGAAAAAAGACAGACCAGAGGAAGATAGAAAAGAGAAAAGGGTAACTATCGACAAGTATCCTGAAGCATCCTGCTAACTGCTAAAACTAATTAAGCGCCGACGCTATCGTCGTCCTGTCAGCCCCATAGGTGGGTCTCACCTTCAAGTAGTTAGATAGCCCCATATTAGACTCTAGTAGTTACAGTTAGATAATGCTAGTTTTTATCTAAATAGAAGGAAGAAACTGGTAAAGATAGAGGTTAGCCGTAAAAATAAAACCCCACTTGCATTTCTATCCGGCAAGTGACGGCCTGCCGCTGAAGGTAAGTCCAAGACGAGTAGATCGTGAAAATATTCCCCGCAGAAGTAGCGAGAACCTCCAAAGAGGAAGATTTGGTTTGTGGGAGGCACGAAAACAGCGGAAAAGTGAGACCGCCAGAGCGCTTGAGTTAGAGCAGAGATCTATGTACTATGTCTGGTGTCGCGCTTGCATCGATCTTCCGCCCTGAAGAGACCATCCATCCTTGGCTTCTAGTTGTACTTCTGTATCTTTTTTAATTCTTGTTCAAGTTCAAGTAGTACTAGAAATAAAAAGATCATGCTTATGTTGCTTTTACAGTAGCCTTAATTGAGTATCACAGCTGACTTCGCAAACGCAAGGCGACCAATTCCTCTCGTGAGCATCAAAGACGAACGCGTCCCGTCCGACGTGGCTATACCAAGAGCGCCAACCAGTCTCCTCACTTTCATCCGTCAGCGCTTGCCAGCGAATGCCACCTGGACCCACTTCTTGAGGTTTGCAACCACCAAAAAGGAGAATCTGGTCGTGTGGCAGGAACAGCAGAAAGTAAATTTAACTCAAATTTTTGCAATCGAAGAAGCAGGAGACACAGGAAGATGCATCTAATCATGATCATCATCATCATCATCATGTACTACCATGTTGTTAGTTGTAACAGTAGCTTGGCATCTGTAGTTATTTGCAGACAAGGTGGAACGTCTAAAGAGTGGTGTGGCGGTGTTCAACGTTTGTGCGTGTACCTCTCGCCCAGTCGCAACTAGGCATCCAGCAGTGACCCATGGAGGAATACTTTGAGTTCTTATCTCCTCCCACCTCCGTTCAGCAAGGTGCAGACAGAACAATTGCCGGAACTGATGGGTTTCTCGTTCGTTTTTTATGAAAGATGAGGGAGTAGTTGTGAGTGTGATGATGTGCTAGGTTGAGAAGATGGTTCTTGCACCTTCTAGAAGTATCGACGCTCGTCTTATACAGACACGCCATCATCATGATGTAGAAGTAGATGATGAAGTACAATAACAATTCTTCTGGGTACTAGAGGTTTAGGTGCAACTACAACTACTTATACTAAGCAAACGCAAGTAGTTTCATAACTTCCGGTTTGTCGAAGTTCCAGCGGCTGCCTGCACAGACCAGCCATCTACCATTTGTACTGTCACAAGATGCATGCCACACACGTGAAGGAGGAACTTGGCCACTAGCTTCTTCTCGCTTCCACAAGGACGCACTAGCACTGCTGGATGACGCGTGCATAGAGGACGCAGAAGTGGTGCCTGTCGTGCTAGAACAAGACCCTGTACCTGTTGTTCTTCTAGTACTAGTTTCACCATATTCTTGCGCTTGCACCAGGTCGAAACTCCACAGGTCATTGCGACAGCCATCATCCTCTTCTTCCTCTTGTCCATCTTCTCTCTGAGCTCTTCTCCTTCTGCCAATGGTGCTCTCACGACCTCCAAAAACGAAAAGGCGATCCTGGAAAACTGTCGCTCTTTGTCCTTGTCGTGGTCTTGGGAAGCTTTCTCCAGGAATGCAATGCCTGTTGCTAGCAGCATGGACAGAAGCCCTGAAAAAGGATTCCCACTGCTTGGTTTCGATGCTGAAACTTGTCACGTCGTTATTGATCTTATTCACGTCTATAGGACTGCCGCCACCGAAGAAAACGACGCGTCTACGCCACACTGCACTCGCAGCACCCATGATCTGCGGATGAGGCTCGCCGTGTGGCCAGCCTTGAGAACCTGGTCGAGGAGAAGAAGCAGAGCCACCTGGACGTGGACCTCCTGTCTGATTAGAGCTCAAGACGATTCATTTCTTCTTCTTCTTCTTCTTCTTACCTGCTTCCTTGTACATTTCATCTCCAAACTTTTCTGAGATGCAGGAACAAGTGAGAAATGGCAATGACGAGTAGAAGATATGAACTCGTCTATTACACCTTAAACTGAGCTGAACGACCTCGTCCTTGTTCTTGTCCTGGACCTGGTGCATCTTCATTTCCATTTTCTCCAACCTCTCTCCTCGCATAATTAATTGTTTCGACGATCCTAGCCGGTGAGGTTGAAACATCGATCTCATAGATGAATGGCAGACTCTTGGGCGTCGCGCCTCCAACGCGGTCTGGATAGTAGTTTCCGGGAAATTAGAACAATAGACGGAGCTAGGTAGTACTAGACAAGAAAAGTCCGTTATAGCATAGTTCCTCGTCATAAGCAAAAGCTAACACTCTTGTGCCCTCGAGCCAGTGCAAGTGACCGGAATGGCCACCGTAGAAATTTCTCGCTGCCCCTGACAAATCGTCAAGTCCAGTTGCTTGGAGGGCTTCCTCGCGGATCCGAATCTTGTTTATTGTAGTACGAGGACGTTTGGTTGGAGGTAAGCCGTTAACCTTACTGCTCGATAACGAGGAGGAAGACGCTGATGCAGCACTACTGAAGTTCTGGTCGCTGCGAGCGGTGTGCATACTGTCACCTCCATCTGCATCGTCACTTGCAAGTGGCTGTGCTCGGTCTACACCTACACCAGTAGAAGAACTAGAAGAAGGTACAGTTTCAAGCTGTTGTGGAGGTCGCTCTGCGCTCATGTGCTCTACTTGAAGACGTGGTATATGAGGGGCAACAGCTACATTTGCGCTAGATGATCCGTGTACTCCGTCCCGCTCTGCAGCTTGCCCTTGCTGTTCTTCCGCCGCTCCATGAATTGACGACGAAGGCCCGCCACCTCCAGTCAAAAGCTTAGCATTCGACAGTAAAACCACTTCCCGCCAATCCTGGATCTCGTTCGAGCGCAAGGGGTTCAAATACGTCTGGTACCCACGCGAAAGCGTCGCTTCATTTTGTACTTGCGCCAGCCGCTGCCAAACGAAAGGCTCGTCGCGGAGTAGGTTGAGTTAGAAGAAGTGCGACTGTAGTGGTGACATCATGGACAAAGTCAAAGATAGACGGTTGTAGTTCTTGTGTACTTACATGATCAGCCTGACGATGAACCCGGAGCCACGACATCAACATCAACTACAACTAACGCTATTAGCTTAGTCTTAACGTAGTCTAATCCAGTATGCTATAGCTTAGCACCACACAACTTGTGTGTACATCTAGTAACATCAACTACAACTTGTGTGTACTTACATCTAGTACGGCTACGGTAGATCATGAGGTGAGAATGTCATAAGAATTCAGCGTTTTGCACGTGCAAGCTAAGCGGCCCACCTCATGCAACTCCAGGAATAGGACTATGTATTCTACCCAACTCCAGGAATAGGACTATGTAGTCTAATCCAGTATGCCATAGCTTAGCACCACACAACTTGTGTGTACATCTAGTAACATCAACTACAACTTGTGTGTACTTACATCTAGTACGGCTACGGTAGATCATGAGGTGAGAATGTCATAAGAATTCAGCGTTTTGCACGTGCAAGCTAAGCGGCCCACCTCGTGCAACTCCAGGAATAGGACTATGTATTCTACCCACACAAGGTCGGGGATTACCTCTGCGATGTTGCTTTTAGTCTGCTCGATGGCCGCGTCCGAGGCCGAAGGTCCTCTGTCGAGGGCACCAGAAGACGAGGACGAAGAAGCCGAAGGTCCTCTGTCGAGGGCACCAGATGAAGACGAGGAAGAAGACCCGCCGCCCAACATTTTTCTTGCTTAAATAATAAGAAGAATGATGAAGGCGTTTAGAAAATCGCGTGCTGGGAAGTTGAAGCTCTCAAACTCAAAAAGATTCAAATTACAGATAATTAGCAAGAGAGCGCGTCATTCAAATGAAGCATCAGAGGGCAGATGCCATCGTTTTCTGCTGTGGGTGTATTGTGATCTCGAGTACGGAGGTGGTGGTGGTCTTCGTCGAATCATATCAATTATACTGCTCCTGGTGCGTTTTCTACTTCTGTTACGGGAAAAGAGTAGGGGAAAAATCGAGGATATAGTGAAGGTGAAAATGCTTTCTGTGACAGACTGACGTTGATGACTCTCAATGACGTTTTTAGGAAAGATGGCCACTGGTCATGTCATGTGATGTGTGTCCCTGTCGCGGTTCAACAGAACCACCTAAGCGACATTAAATTACATACAAGTCGTGGAATGCACGTACACCACCTTCTAGATAACGAGGATTAGTCAAGCACCAGCCAGTCACTGGTACTGATACAACTGTATACTTGACTACTGTGTTGGCAATGTTCAGCGGTTTGCTCCAAGTCCAAACTCCTGGTGATGAAGGGGTAATTAGACCGATCTTCTCACAAGTCGAGAATCACGTGGAAATAAGGACAAAGCTTTGCTCGCTTCACGAGAACTAGAACAGTCACTGTGGAGGTAGCTGGCGGGATTTTTTTTCAACACACGACGTCAGACTTAGATGGAAAGTTCGTTAGTGACATATGCACTAAGCAAAGATGGCGTATTAGAATGGAAACAATGTTGTCAATTGAAAACTCTTCTTCATATTGCAATGTGGTTGTTGAAGTGGATGGGAACTGCTGCTGCTGCAGGAAGTGAAGATCCTCAAGATCAAAGAAGACTGCTCCTGCTCTATCTCTAGTACTTTGATCTTCTCTATGCTTCTTCGTGTCGCAGCATCTTTTGCTTTTCGAAGGTGTTCTCGAATGTCGTTCCTGGTTTCGAGTGTGCTTTCCTGTTTTGGTCCTTCCTTTTCTTCGCATCCTTCATGATTTTCTGCTTCGCTGCCATCGTCCTAATCGTCTTCGGCAAGTGCGACTGTTTCGCAATTCTGCTTACTTCCCTCGTCGCACTGTACTTCTCGACTAGCCTTTCTCGGTAGTATCTTGCCTTCGCTTCTCTGTCCGAGGAAACGCCACCTAATTTCTCTGCTGCCCTAGACTTCCAAACGCGAACGTTGTGATCCTCTGAACCAGAGAAGACGAAGCGGCCATCAGTGGAGAATTGGCAAGCCAAGACCCTTTGCATTCGCTTTCCGTGATACGTGTCGCGCGCTTGCTGTCCACTATTCGTATACGAACCTTGTGCACGCAATGACCAGAGCCTAACTGTGCGGTCGTAAGAGGCGGAGACAAATTCTTGACCATTGGGTGCGTAATCGACATCCAAAACTGGCATCACGTGGCCTGCATGAACAGTCACGGCATTGCTCAATTTGCGCATGTCAAAGGTGTACAAGTTTCCGTTCTCGTTGGCGACAGTAAAATACTGAGGCTCTTGGGGGTTCCAGCACAAGGCGTTGGATCGGTTTTTGAGGAGAACCTGTGATGCAGGAGTAGACCCATGTCAAGGATGAACTACGCATGATAAAGTGGAGCAGCAGGAGTTTTTGGTAACACTTGAATAGAAGCAGAAGCTGCGAACACGTAAGAAATTGGAATAACACCATGCTGTTTGTTGCATAAACTTACTCATTTACGCTTTCTTCTAGAATGACAGGAAAAGTACCTTTCTGATCGCTGAGTTTTGTGTTGTTTGCCTCAAGTCGTAGAGTGAGATGCTATTGTCTGCCGCAGTCGCCGCAATAAGACATGGTTCCGCCGGATTGAATTTTGCCACATACACCTGATCGCATCCCCACTCGATGCTGCTAATCGGCTGAGACCTATTTTTAAAGCTCAGCTTTCAATGGTCATCATGACTCTGAACGGAAGGGACCCCCTTCAAAGCTCTCCCCTTTCCCTTCGTTTATTTCCCCTGTTGGTTCTCTCAAGAAGGGGTCGCCTCTTCGATCTCAGTGACCAACCCCAACTATCTCAATGGTGACCATTGAAATGACTGAGCCTTAATATTTCGATCCCACAAATCCACAGTGTCGCCAGTAGAAACTAAGAGAGGTTTGGACCAATGATGGTCCAGACTCGTGATCGCACTCGCTGCACGCCAGGTGTGTCGCGGTGTAATGCTAGTACTATCACAAGATGAAGAAGAACCTGTCGTCGCACCTCCACCAATTGTAGAACTGCTTGCGCCAGCACCACTCGGGCCTCCCAATTGCATAACGTTGCCCTTACTGCTGTTAGCATAGCCAGAGTTTGTTTTTGAGGCCGCGTACTGGTCTTCATCCTGTAAAGCGCTGGTGCCAAGTGAACTCAGGTCCCACCAATGAATGCACTTGTCGTCACCACACGTGAAAAGCGAATTGCTAGTGCTAATGCCAGGCTCCTCTACGATACCCCGCACAAAACCAGTGTGTGCTTTCCATCTGTGATTGGTTTGGTTTTTGTTTGGTGTTTGAGAAATTCGATCTTCTCGTACACTAGGACAGAAGATAAGGAAAATCGCATTTCTTGTTTTTGAATCATCTCAATTGAAAAGTACAGATAGAGGTAGACATCATGTTTACCTCTGCATCTGCTCAATAATTCATTCTAAAGATTGTAGTTATTACCTGGTCTGCACTTTCGAGAATCCCAAATCCCACAATATCACTTCGCCGTCGCATGCTCCAGAGTAGAGTCGCATCGGAGCTGCATTACTTCGCCTCAAAACTCGAATGGCGTCAAAATGACCATCCAATGCCGTCACAAACGGCTTAGCAAACAGCTTCTGTAGTTTCACACCAACCATGGCTCTTTGGTACTCGCGTTCGCGTGCGAAGGGGTGCAAAGCGGGGTCGAGGTTGCGCTGGATCCGCGAAACACCATTTTCAGCGGAAACTGCATCCTTTTTCTGCTGCTCGGCAGCATGGTGCAAAACTTTGATCTTCATTTTCTACTTTTTAGTCCTTAGTGTCTAAATAGTTAGAGGATCATGCAAATTTGTAGTACGAGGAAAATGGAGAAAAGATTGCATAGGTGTCGCAGGGAAATTGGTGAAAAAGGAACGAAGGGAAGGTAAAAATTATGTTTCCGTCAAATACGAGCATCCATAACAAAGCGGCCACTGAATCCTGAACAAGTCATAATGATGTATGCGTGTTGATGTCGTGTCAACAATCTCACAAATCAGAAGCTAAAAAATGCAGATCTTCTATTCGTCCATCAGCCAGCAGGATCTGAACAAGTGTCCATAATATGATCATGATTGGAGCTGTTGCTAGGACAAGATCAACAACATGCATGTGATGCTCCTTTTTTACCGGTTCTTGTGATCAATCAATCAGGGGGCAAGGATATTTCATATACATATTCTGATCTCGTCGAGGATCCATACGCAGGATAGGATAGGATTTGATTCACCGTCCACAGTTTGACCTGCCTCCTCGGGTGAATATGTGCAGCCACATACGCATACTCTAAGTTAGTATGGTGATAATGAAGATCTCTGTAGTTCAGCCTAGCATCGGAAAAGATCATGTTCGAGAACATTACAGCTCATGCTCGAAGATAGCAACCAACGACCAATTTGTTATTGTTTCGTCGGTTTTCAGCAACCTACTGTACGTGTACTGGTTCTGTCTACTCCATCTAGCGACAAGCAGGTTATAAATTTCGATATCTTTTATCAAAAAATCAAGATGGAAGTCAATAAGATATCAAAATGCTCTAGTCAACATGAGAAGCTGAATAATTAGCATGATTACGATTAGCAGACATGAGAATTAATTATGTAGTTGATTATCTAAAGTAGCACATTTGCTTTGCTATGCTGTGAGTACATTTTTCATGTTATAATGTCCGCTGTACAGCTTTACAGATACTAATATCGGTGAAAATTATCAAGAACAGGCGTGAATATCAACATCAAGAAGATGCTTCATCGAGTTGTATTTAAGCAGCACTAACACGTTCTTGTATTCATCAGATGGTTTATCATAAGTAGTTGTCAACATACATTTTCTGGGAAAACGAAAATTTCAACAGCCTGAACAAGGTAGTGCATCACTTCAACAAGATTCAAACTTCAGGATTGTCCAGCCGAAACTCAAAGTCAATGTGTAGCAACGCACTTTGTTGACGCGCTACAGGAGCATTCAGAGGTTCTCGCGAAAGCTGCATCCGCACCGAAAAAGAGCTGTCGCTGGGCCCTCTTCGCATCTGCTCGTTGAAGCGAGGAGATTAGAAGATGTGGATTCTACTTTTCTTGGGAACGAATTACTTCCGTATTTTCAACAACAAGCACAACGTTGGGTAAACACATAGTACGGAAACATGCGAGGGCGAGGAGTGACTCGGTACAATTTCTACTGTCTGTTTCTGCTTGTGCTGGAAGAATTCCATATAAGCATAAAAGAACTCAAGTTCGAAAAAAAGTCCGGTTTGATGATCTTCGTCCGCGAGGAGAAGAACGGTAGCCGTTGGTCGTCTCTCCCTTTTTCCATTACTGACCCAAATCAGCTGGACATTTTTTGATGTCTCCTCCAATTCGTCCGCCTCTATAAAACTGTGCAACACCCTCTGGATATCTTCATCTAAGGCTGTAGAACCCGATGCAAAGCACGAAGATTCGTTGTCCTTTGCGATGGAGTCTTCAGATTCATCGTTGTCCAGGATGCCATCTTCACCGTTCAGGTTTATTCTGCTGGCGCGTCCACACATACTGCATCCTGAGTCATAGAACTTCCGGTAATCTTCAGGTCGTAAGAGCGCGTCACTCAGCAGCATATGCGACACGCAAATTAAGGAGTACTCTCCGAATCCAGGCAAGTGCCTACCAAGCGGTTGGCCGTCGTCATCAAAGGTGAAAGAAGTTGCCAATTCATCTTCATGTTCAGCTTGTAGTTCTTGTTCATGTTTGTCTGTACTGGATGTTGAGTAATACAATTGATGTAGATGATCATCTTGAGTATCATCATGACCGTTCCATCCGGAGGAAGAATACGAAGACCCCTCCGCGATAGCCTTCAACATCATCTGCCTCTTAGCCTCAGCACGCCTTGTTTCCTGTTCATCAGCCGCATCGCCTAATTCTAAAAGAGCACGCTGAAAAAGCCAGAGACCACTTGCCCAATCGATAGTACCTCCATCCTCGTCGTGAGCGTGAGGTGCTCTGTAACCTCCGGCTCCGGCAAAGACTTTACAAAAACACGCATCATCTAGTACTATGCCAGGTTCGCGGTCCCGCCTTCCATGGAGTGCTTCCCAGAACGTGGGTTGTATCCTTCGCCTCGACGAAAGGGTTTCCATCAATGGAGATATTGCTCCTCTACTACTACTTGAATTCCCTGCTCCTGACACCACAGCAGAAGGTGGTGAAGAAGTTGTAATTGGGTTTTCCTTTTCTGTTCTTGATCTTGATGAAGATGAAGGTTCTTGTTCATTAGCTGGATGAACTTCTGAAGCTGGCGTGTAAAGTACATGCAGTCTATGAATTTCTGTCAGCACTCGTCGTGCAATGCCTTTCATCTGCTTCTCAAGCTGAGGTCTGATGTCGCAGTCTTTCGTGGTACTGGCTCGTCGCCAATCGAGACGCCATGGAGCCAGCAAAGAGCGTAGAAAATTTGCTTGTTGTTCTCTTTTCCATGACATGGACTCGAGTGGTCCGAAGACGCCTGTGAGATCAAATGAGCTCAAGAATTCGCTACCTGAGCCACGTTCTGTTCCTAGAACCGACGCCAGGGACCTCCAGCCCAACTCTGGCGCACACTCTCCTTTGAGAACTCGCCGAAGCTTGTCGGGTCCGCCAATGCAGCCAAGCAGCTTGTTTTGGTGGAAGAGTCTCAAGACGAGCGGCATAGCATGATAATTAGCTATTTTTCTTTGATGCTCCGCCTCTTTCTGTATAATATTGCCTGATGTTGAAGAAGACGAAGATGCACCACTTGTCGACGGCTGTGCATGTGTTGGTGACTCTACGTCTGGAGATTTTCCATCTTCTTGTCTCCGTCTTGCTGCTCCTTCTGGGCGTCCTGCAATCCACCACGACGACGTACTTGATGATCCCCGCCCATTGACCGGGCCCAACTCTGAACGACCTACAGATGCTACTGCATCCTCCCCATCGAATCGAATCTCCTTTTCCAGTTTTATGAGTAATTCTGCGATGGTCCAGTTAGGTGAGACTTCCAAAGGCTGCGATAGAAAATCTTCACCAGATAGACGTTTGACGTTTATTCTTATAACAGCCTCTCGTTCTTCTACCTGTTCTTGAACAAGAGACTCCTGTGATCGTGGTTTTGTACTTTCGTCTTGGTCAGAGTCGGTTTGTCTGATTGATGGACTCAAAAAATGCCTCGCTTTGCTGGTAGTGGTAGCGGGTGCAGGTGAAAGTGGTAGCTGTCGAGAATCATCATCATGATCTAGTGTCTGGTGGTCGTGGAAGCAAGAACTTGTCACATGATGATGCTCTACTCCATCTCCTTCCACGTGATGATTCGTTCGGCCCCGTGAGGAATACGAGGACCCAGAGGCAGAGCGTTCTTGAATCGGCGCAGACAGAAATAACCTGAGAAATTTCATTTTTAGGTGGAGCAGCATGTTTTACTTCCATGATGGATCTACACAACTGAGCAGGAGACTTCTTTCTACTGACTACAACATGATAGAATTGAGTAGGTGGCTTCTTCCATAGCCGTTTTGCGTCCTGATGTTCCTGTTTGTGATGTACTGGAGGTGATTCTTTAAATGCAACTCTTGCTTGATCAAGGCGCGACGGCCGTGCTAGATCGTCATATTTCACGAATGTTCTTCTACCGACACGCAACTCCGATTTTCAGTCGTGCGAACAAATAACCCATTTTCAAATCAGGTTCACGGGTGTGTGGGTGTGCACACTCGTCTGTGCAGCTGCCAGTGCCAGCTTATTCAATCTCGTAAGAAATAAGCACAACATTTTGAGCTAGTAATGAAATCCTGTCCGCTCTTAAGTTCAACGTCACCTTCATTATTTAACATCTTCATAACATCCCTAAAAAAATCGAAACCAATTTTGCACATAAAAAAAATGATAGAAATCTTCTTGTTGTTCAACGAGCACCATCGATGAAAATCACATCTTTAATGCGAAACGGATACCAACCATGGTATCGGCTAATAAAAAATATGTAAGTATGTGATGTTGTTGAACTATAAACTAAAAAAAGTCGAAACAGTGACAAAGAAAAAAACCCATCCTCGATCGGTATTTTGCACGGTACCAACCGACGTAATCCAAAAAAATCTCGAAAAAAAATCTACTCCTTCAACATTCATGATTACCAGTGAAGATTGCACTCCTATTATTTTCATTAAGAACTTCCTCTTCTTTTTTGTCTTGTTTCATTATCATTTTCGTCTAAAAATATTGCTACTGTCGCCTGATATTAAGGAACCACGCAGGATTTTCGTTAAGATCAGTTGAAAAACATCCTACATCCTACATGGTGGTCATCAATTCTTTTTCTAGATGATCATGATGACCTTGTTCATTTTCAAGTTGTATCTATTCATCTCTAAGCTTAAGCATGCTATCAATTTCATCTTGTTGTAGTACTAGTACTTGCTTGTTTCCTTCCTTACTTCTTTGTGTTTCATTTTCATGTCGAGCTGCCTCGGTAACATTCTGACGCTAGCAGCAAAAATAGCTTTCCTTTTTGTGGTAGATCATTTAGTTAAATAACTAGCATGTTTTGGTCATGGTCATGTTGAATCCCCACCAGCTGCGAGTGCTGAAAATTCCATCTCAGTCGTCGCAGATGAGTTAAAAATCCTATCAAAGAAGGCATCATAGGCCTTGAAGATTCTTCTAGTTTGTTCTAACAGGACAGTTTCTTGTGACGGTTGTTTACGTGGTGAAGATGTGTGAGCTGCAGACGGATAGATTGCAGCTCTACGAGAACCTCCTGCTTCTGCAACATCACTAGAAGCTGCTGCAATGGCTCTTCTTGCTTGATCGTGTAATCTATCGCGTTCTCTTTCGGCAGCCAGAGCAGCTGTCTGCGCGTCCAGACTCGCGTCAAGCCTAACCCGATTACCACGGACAGTAGCGTTAAAGCGAGGCAATCGGCACACATCACGACTGCGTAAGCGGTAGCGCCAAACTGCATTGGTTGTACGAGAAGATTGATCAACATCACCTCTTTCCCCCATCAAGTTTTCATCCGACAATTCCTGTCCATCCAACCGAAACAACGCGCACCTATCCTTATACTGCATTTCGAAGTAGAGGTCGCGCAATAGACTCTGAAGTTGCAACGCAGTAGCACAGCGGCCCCATTTGACGTGGTATAGAGCCAGAGCCTTGACACTGAAGCGAGTCCACATTCGCCCTAGTCGTTTCTCCTCATCATTCATGTGAGCGGCTGAAGACGGAAGCTTCTCCCTCTCTGACCATTCAGTGTACATCCGCATATACCCCACTAAGGTAGAAGCGAGGTCGCGAGCAGCGTGGACAGAGACAGCACCACTAGGACAAAGGACGACTCGGTCGACTGTGTGTTCAGGAATGCTTGATGAAAATACTGGATTTGAAGACACTGAGAGTCCACTAAAACCGGTCTGGAGGGCCTTAGTAGGGTCTGCTGAGGAACCTCCGAGTCTCCTCATTTCGTCGATAGATGACGCATTACTAGGAGTGTTTAACTGATCAACCGTCTTTCTTGCTAAATCGCTCACGCTGCTGGCTTTCTGTCGTTCTTTGTTGTCTTCAGCTTCCTTTAGACGAATCGCTGTGTGTTCCACAAGATGCGGCAGGGTTTTGTATTCGACGCCATCATTGTCAGAAAAATAATCCTGGTCTGAGACGATCACCAAAGGCCTGTTGTTTGTGGAGCGTTTTTGGCACTGGGGAAGACGGGCACCTGCGAATGAAGACCCGTGGGTCAAAGATCCACTATCTGCGACACGGTGCATCGCTTCAAGTTTGGCCTTTACGACGAAGGTCTTGGTCCTCCTAGATGTTTTTATAGTTGTACTTGTACTTGCGGTAGGAGCGTCTTTTGGCTTACTAGGAACCTCATTCTGCTTTGCAGCTCCTCCTTGCACACCCTTTCTCGCGCCTTGATGCGGTAGTTTCCTCTTTTTACGAACCTGCACTCCTCGACCAGTCTTTGAAACTGTCTCCTGGAACATACGCGCCGTGTGTGAAGTTTCCACCGAGTTATACAGGGCTTTTCTCTGCACTTCAGTGTGAAGTTTTGCGAGATACTCCCTTACTTCTTGCACAGAGCGAAAAACTTTACGTCGTCGCTGTAAAGCAATACTGGAGGATGTTGTAGGAGAGTTCCAGGTCGACTCATCAGCTGCACTAATCATGTCAGCATCTTCATCTTGACCTCCCCCAAGTATATGCTGGCCTCCAGCAGCTTGCTCTGTGGTACTGAGTATGCGCGTATCATGCGTCACTGACCACAGGAGCATCTCATTGCCTTCATCTAAGCCTTCAACGAAGTCCATGGTACAAGTCTCTCCTTCCACAGGCATCGAAAACACCTTGTGATTGCGGAAAATGCGATTCAGCTCCCTGCCTATGACTTGCACAGTGACCCTGCGAACATGTTCCGGCTGTAAGTGTACAGTGGGGTCTCCAGCCATGCCACTGCTTCGAATACCAGCCAGAAGTGCACTTGGGGAATAGAGCATGGCGCGTCGTTCCGGTTCAAAATTCTTAGCCAGATACATTTCGCGGTGTAGATCGGACTCTAGGTTCTTGGCGATGTAGATCGTCACATCACCCTTGATCTCCTCCTTCTGGCGCACACAAGAAAATCGACTTGATGACGACTTGTTAAGTAGATACCTGCGAGGAAGGATCAGGGGGAATGAGAGCAGAAGAGTGACAAGAACGAAGTGCAACTATGTGGAAAAATAGCCCAAAACCAAAAGCATCCTCTACAGTGAGAAGATGAAAAATTTTGTGTCCGAGAAAGGATGAAAAATTAGTGCCCAGAGGACAAGATGAAAAATTATACTCCTAAACAGTTGTGAAACTGAAAATAAAAATCTTAGAAGTACGTGTTCATCGTCCTGGTATTTGCTGCACAATCGAGATGCGTGTCGAATAATGCAGTTACTTCCTCCGTCACGATTTGTTCCACCAAAGGCGTCGCTTGTTCGAACAAATTCAAACTCAAATATTGTCGAGGAACGTATTTGCTGTGTTCCGTCTTCGCTTCTAAAATTTCTCGCAACAAATCGAGGGAACTCAAGCATTCTTGGATTCCAGCTAGCTGCATAGCGTTGCCGTGATGAAGAGGATGCTTGAAAAAATGGTCGAATGGCACCCAACCTTCCAATGCATCCAAAAACGTACGGATTTCCCTGGCTGCATTGCCAAACGTCTCTCGTTCGTCTGCGTTCTCTGCTGGAATAAACAAGTAGGTCAGGTGTGAACGCAAGATCCAAGAAACCGGCAAGAGGACGCCAGTCATGAAAGTGTGAAGCATGTCCACTTTCATGTCCTTATCTCGTTCCATTTCGGCTTGCTCTACTCTGTCAGAAGATCCAGAAGATGCGAGTTTATGCTCCTCTTTGTCGACAAAATAAGCCAAAAGATTTGGGAAGGCGCGCAGCATCCAAGCTAATTGACTGGAGAGTTCGGTCAAAGAGGAGAGGGGGTAAGCGAACTTCCGCAAGAACTTTCGGGCACGGACCGAATCTCGCTGGTTTTGGTTCTCTCTCGCGACGTCGTAGTCAATTTGAATGGCTCGATTCGAAAACGCAGTTGCTGCACGATAGCAATGACCCTTAGCAGCATCCGAAAAAATGCCGGCGACCATACCTGACGAGGGAGACGTTGTTGTTTGATCAAACTTGGAAGAAGTTCGTTGTTTATGTGGTTTTGTTGTTATGAAGTTTGGTAGTATGCTGCTTTTATCATTATATATAATATCTGTAAGAACTTAAACTTACTTCGTCTAAGATGAACAGTGACTTACTTAGGTGAAAAAAGAAGTAAAGCGGGCTTAATACGACGCACTTATCCACAGACTTCTACGACAAACGAACTAAACTACAAGTGCTTCATCTTGGTCGCACAAGCACAAGTACAATAAATTTCAATACCTGCAAACGTGCTGCATCCCGATAAGAAGTTGTTTCCCAATTTCGTCCACCATGCTGCGTCTTTGCGTCCTTGACGATGGGCCGCTTCTCCTGTTTCAGCTCGTGTTTGTGCCGTTGCAGTCATATGAGCTTGTAGTTCCTCTGCTGTCAACAACACCGATTCCCCAGTTCCAAAAATACGGTTGAATTGTGGTCGCAGGAGCACATCCAAAAGCTTTTTCACTTGCCAGAGGTTGTACAGTTTTCTTCTCAAAGACAGCTCAAGAATAGTTGGGATCACATCCTCCACGTTTTTTGTCTTAGAGCTACCGCGCGAGCATCTTTCTTGAGAGCATCAGCATCCTTCCTTGTACCCCTTTTTGTTTTTCCCTTTAAAAACAAAAGAGGCAGCAAGGATGCTGCTGAGCCTGAGGATGCATCTGCGGTAGCTGCCTTAGTTGCTGGGTTAGAGGGATCTTGAAAACTGACACGGTCTCCTTCAACTTGTTCGAAATCCAACTCTTCTTTACTGATCTCTATAATGCGAACTTCTGTGTGCGCCATCCGGTTCTGTTCCTCGCAACGAGACTGTTGAGCCGGGGACTGAAACTGACTTCCAGCAGTTCCAGCAGCAGCACCAGCTCCTCCTTGCGCCGACGGTTCTTCAGGCTCTTCAGCGGACTTAGTCTTAAACAATTGGACTGCGACCTTGAGACCAGTGTAATTCCCTTCAAGCATCATCGAGTACAGTTCTGGTCGGATTACGCCTGATGTTTGAGGGCGGAAGATGGGAGAAGGAGTAGAACTCACCTGCACGAAAAGAAGATCATGGCACATTAATAAATGCCATTTGATTATTACGGGTATCAACTAAATCAAACATGTACATTCATAGTCATGGACGAGATCAACGGGAGGACAACTAGATAGCAGCAAACTGGATTAAGCTGTCACTGTCACAGCCAGAATTATGGTCAATGAACAAGCGATTAGAAGTTGAAGACAAGCAGTTGTACCCAATCCATTTCCAGCCGTATCCCTTGCCTCGTTGTCAAACAGGTCTTGCAGTAAGACTGGATGATATAGATCGAACTCGATTTGCTTCTTCAACAAGAATCGTTCTCTGAAAATCTTCGCGAAGATGACCTCCCATTGCATCACGATGGGCTCCAACTTTCTCCACGTAGCGGACTTCAGTTCCTTCGCCTCCTCATCCGACCTCTCCTCCTGGATGTCGTTTCCCTCTTCGTCTTGCGGTGCGTACTCCTCAATCCAGTCGGACAAGGATAAGGTTTCCGAAGCGTCCAAACGCGATTCTTGATCACGAAGGAAGCTCTGTTGAGTTTTTCAGTCTCACGTTGGAGATAGTGACAGTTGGAAGAATATGAATCTTTAGCTAGTATAACGACCACGACAACTGTACTGATGTAGTATGGAATACTTTGTTTTATCTATGATGGTGGTTTGGTCACGAGGAAGTCGAACTGCAACTTCTTAATGCAGTTCACCAAAAGTTACCTAGTAAACACGAAAAAGATCATTATCAATACCACCGCAAATTCCTGTCCCCTCACTGCGTCGTGTCCGCCTAGAAGAATAGCCATGAAAACATGAAGCGGCGATCTTGGGCCTTTGTCTCTTGCCACGCGAACGTTGGCGTATTCGTTTTCGCAGATGCTGCGGATCGACCTCTGTCTATACAGCGCTTCATGACCACTAGGATTCTTCAAGAATCCGTCCTTCACTTCGTCCTCGGTGGCGCCACGATATGCCTCGTTGTCCCTAGAAAACGCACCCAAATCTTTGTAGGCGTGGACATCGTAGATCAAACCACGCTGCTCCCAGTGGTTTAAGACGTCGCAGACCAATTCTCCCCAAAGTCTATGTTCGGATTGGCGCTGTGTCAGGTAGTGATTCATGTACTCGACTCTCAAAAACTTTTCCGCCAGTTCCGCTTTCACTTTTTCGTCAAATACAGCAACCGTCTGTGGTGAAGGTCCTCCTTCTTGTCCTCCGTTGTTTTTCGTTAATGTCGCTTGATTCATTGCTGACAGACCCAAAATAGACGGAAGAAAAGTGCTCGTATTCTCTGCTTGCGCTTCAGGAGCTGATACACTGCCAGCTTTCGCTTTAGGTGCAACCACAGGAGCAGGAGAAGGAGGAGGAGCATTTCGTGCATCTTGACATTTCGAGTTCTGCCATACTGAATCACAAACTGGTACCTGCTGCATAGCATTCCTTACCCAAAAGTCAGTGCTTCCGCCGACCTCACTCTTCACTCGATCTTGCGTTTTTTTCGGCAAGGATACCCGCAAAACGATTTCCCTAGCAAAGTAGGTTGCTAACCTAGCCTCTGCGTTGACGAAGCCTGTTTCTGAAGCAACTTTGCGCGCAAACTTATCTGCTGCTATCTCCTCTTCAGTTTTCTTTTTTTGCTCAGTCCATTTCACATCCTGATATTCCTTTCTTTCAGCGGCTTTTACGATGCGTTTCACAGCAAGCTCATAGGATTGAGTCACGGTTTGGGCTGAATGGTCTCTCTTTTTACTGTAAGGAGAAGTTGGAGGTCTTGCATCGTCTGCTTTTTGTTTCGGCGGGTTCAAATACGAATTCGAAACGGTTGCAACTAAAGTCTCCATGTTCGTCATTATCTGCGCAGATGAACTACCTTGCCGACTCCGCAGTGCCACCCGAGAAAGCATCTGATGTTTCCATCTCGTTACTAAGGCTCTCTTGCTGGCTGTATAGTCGTCCTCTGAGTCCCTGCCAGCTACAGATCCAGAACCAGATATGCGGATCAACTGTATAGGCGCAAAGGGGCTCCTCACGATGATTCTGTAGGAGCTTCCGACCATTTTTTCCAGGTGCTCACGTCCCTTACGGGTATCGGCCAGTGCAGCATGACGTAGCACAATTTGCAGTGTCTTTTCGTCTTCCTTGGAGGGTCGCAAGTCCAGTCGTTGAGCTCTGTCGTTCAACAAACGGACCTGCACTTGCCCTGGACCTGGAGTTGGAGATGACAGGCGAGGACCCTGTTGTTGAGATGGCCGACTACTACTTCTTCTAGTAGAACCTACTCCCCTTCGTCCGCCGCGGATAGAGAACAGTACTTCCCTTCTGGACCCAGCAGCGCTCGAGGCAAGAAGCACTGGATCCGCTGCATCTTCCGAGTCTTGATTCTTGTGAAACAGACGTTCGGCGTCTTCGTCCCATTGAATCTCTACCAGATCCTGCAAATTTGTTTGCCTTAGAACTAAAGCGTTGCTGTAGTCCCTTAGCATGGCAACCCAGGCGTAGTTCCCGTGAACCTGCATTTCGTTCCACATCTGCAAGCCTTGATCCAGTCTATGCCTGGAATTGCCCTCCTCCAAATTTTTCCCTAGTTTCATTCTACAAACCTGGCACGCTACTTGACACTCGTACTGCGACCAGGGCGCGCCCACAGCGTCACGGAAACCTGTTTCCACGCCGTCCTTGCCAGCAAAAGCAGACTTCCACGAGGCAACTTTAGTTTCGAGTGTGAGGCCACGCTTTTCATCATCGGAGTCTTGTGGTCCAGTATTAAAAACAGGGTCGTTGGCCGCAACTGATCCCTGCAGAGATCGATCGGTCCCAATAGCGAAAGGAGAGGATATATTCAACATCTTATTGTGACAAGCACAGGCCTGCTCGCATTTACCCTTGTTGAACGGTGATCCCCTACCAGGTCTCTGTTCGTGATGTGGCGCTGGAGGTGGAGGAACCTGTTCTTCATTTCCTCCATTCGCATTAGCTTCCTTTTCTTTCTCTGCTGCTTCTCGCTTAGCTTTTTCTTGAGCCCTCCGAAGAGCATTGGGCACCTTGTCCTCGACAAGCCTGTTAAACGCTTGAGCCGCTAATTGTGGATAAGCAGATCCCATATCGGGTTTTAACATAGCATCCAAGGTGTTCTCGCGCACATAGTAGCAGTTTCCGGCGTGACATTTTATGCATCCTCCGTCTCTTCCCATTACAGCTGGTGTCTGTACGCCGTCTCTGGCAGCTTGTTGTGCCTCTTCGCCGTGGCAGAATAGCGCATTCGCTACGCCCTCGGCTGAAATCGCATCTGTTTGTCGGACAGCCGTATCTCGCTGCGAGCCTCCATCTGCGGCTCCGAGCATTCGACCCAGAAGGTTGCTGTTCCTATTTGCATTATAGTCTCCTTCTGTTCGGCTCGTGAAAGCACCTAAAGCTTCTCCATTTCTTGCTAGCTGCGTTAAGTCTCTCACCAATGCCGCACCCTTGTCCTGCGGGTCGTCAGCGTTGACGAAGGCACCAGCGACCACTGTGGGAATATTCACGAACCCTCCAAACTTGATGCTTTCCTCCAACCACATACGCCAAGCTTGAACATTGCGGTACTTGTTGGCGAAAAAATGTTCCAAATAGAGCTCCACATTTCTGCTTCCAGCGATTGCAGGCTCTTCTTGGAAGAAAACTTCACTCCCACCATAGCGGATGCCGCTATCCCCATAGGTGTGTCTGGCATTGTCATCCACGTCACTGCGATTCAGCAACCGCACATTCTCAAACTGAGCAAGGAAAAGGCTGCCAGGATCTAAACGAGCCATTAACGAAGTTGGAGGTCCTCGAGGTGCAGTAGCTGTATCAGCACCAGCACCGCCCGTCATGACTTTCGCTACAGCGCCAAAGACAGATGGATGAAAGCCCTCGAGTCCCATCGCAGCACGAACGCGGTCACGCCTTGCTGAAGGATGTTCTTCGTAGACAAGCTGCCTTGATGTTCCAGAGCTTGATCCTGAAACCATGCCACTATCGGTGAACCAAGTCCTATCTGCTGGAATGTCCACGACGAGTCCAGTAGCATCATCCAATCGTTCAAAACTCAAAGGCGTGCGCTCTCCAGGCTCGTGCAAATACATCGTTTTATCAGCAAGACGTTGCAAAGCATCAGCAGCACGAATGTTGGTGCGCATGCGAGCTTCCACGTGATGCCTTTCATTGCTTTCGCGGGAAGCTTGAGTCATTTTGGATTGACTATGGTTGATGTCTGTGAACGCACGACTATGACGGAAGCGTTCTTTCAATTCGCTTTTTACTTGCGCTTCCTCACTCCGCGACACGTCGCGACGGCGAAAGAGTCTCCGTCTCAAACCCGTTTCGACCAGATGATGGGTATGATCACGACCAACTTCACGACAAATCTCTTGTTGCGCGGTCTCCATGCGCAGATAGGCGCGCACACGTAGCAAAGAGAGAGGATCGACTTTTCGCAAGTTAAACGGTTCATAGTCCTCCACACTATCATCATCAGGCGTTCCACCAGTGACCATAGCGTTGTAGAGTCTTTGCTCACTTGGACCCCATCCGCCTCCAGAAGACCCGGAACCGCGATCCACCGTCGTCAAGAACGGCGCACAAAGGCCATCGTAGATGAAATTGAAAAAGGCGACGTTTTCGTATCGACTACGAGATTGAAGGACCGTGCTGCCTGCTGCATGCCAGAGACTGAGCATGCCACGTAACATCAAAGCGTAATCGACATCGGAATGCTGAGCAGATCCGAGACCATGGAAGTAGGGAATCACACGGTAGAGCTCAGAAGAAGAGCCTCCTCCAATACCATTGGCATTTTCATCATCGCTTGGGTCCGTTTCCGTCAAACGATAAGCCAATCGCTCACTTTCAATTATGATAACCCTATCCGCGAGCCGCATATCAGCAGTGACAACGCGACCTGCCCTAACCTGGTGTCCTGCATTTTGATCGCCAAACTTCACTGAGTCATTGCGCTCTATCTGCAATACTTGATGATGAGACTGCTCCTCAGGATTCATTGCTTGTCCCTGGGCTCCCACACCAGCTCCTTCGCCATTCAGACTACCACCTTCGCCTAACATCATGAGAGAAACCTGCTCTTCAAACGATTCTTGGTAGACACTGCGAGCAGCCGTGATGCTGCCAAAAGGAATTGGCCTAGGTAATGGTGTCATAGCATCACTTCCATGCAGTCGATAAGCAGATGGCCGATGCAAAGCAACGTCCAAGACTTCAAGATACCCCAGGGTTGGTACGGGCGCTGGGATCTGCAAAGAGCTAGTAGTGTGTCCAGTACTAGTAATAGCAGTACTGTGTTCTCGAACTTCATTCTTCAAATGGGCATACAGCGGCACTAGCACCTTGTGTCGCAGCATTTCTTCTGCCTCTGCGATTATGGCTGTGAGCCTTGCCAAGATCTTCTTTCCACGTAGAAGCAAATCAGTCGCTGGGTAGAAACGTTTTAGGTCACGGAATTGTGGATGTTGAGCGATGGGGAACAAGACATTGTTACAATCTTGGGTCTCTAGACTGGAATTAAAAGCAGCGTTGTGCATCTGGCGAATTTTCGATATCTTCGGTTCTTTGGTTTCTTTACTCTTCTCTGCCTTTTTTCCTTCATCTGCTTTTCCTTGTTTAGCAGTAGCACCTCCTTGTTGACCATTCGCACCAATTTTTTCTTTTGCAACATCTTTACCTTTACCTGTTTTGCCAGCCTTTACATAAGAGTCAACTTGAGCGTAAAAAGACTCCATTTTCAGAGATGCGGTTGTAACACCACTAGTACCCATGCCCGGTACAACACTTGCGTTTGCTTCGAAGATTCTGTCGTATTCCACTCTTGCATTTTCCAGCTTCGCTGCACTCTTTGCTCGATGTCGCCACAGGCGAGCCCGTTGCCATTCTCTTTGGAGCCAATCTTCATACTCTTTCGGCGAAAGCAGTCGCTCCGTATCAAAAGAGTCGTCATGCAGCAAAGCGACGAATTCGTTAGAGCTTACCTAAATAATGGCATGCTCAACTTGAGGTAACGATAAATCTACCCTAACCCAACCAAAAGCTACAACAACTCAACAAGAGAAGGCAACGATGATCGAAGGAAAGACAATGACAAGCAAAAGGGTGAAAAAGAAAGTCATCTTTGACACGTTTTCCTCTTGGAAACGTGGCAAAGTAGATTCATCCTCTAGATGAAGAATGACGGGAAGTCTTAAATTCAACAGCGGTCTGCAACGCCTCCCACTCCTCTTCAGATGGTTCCTCTAGGCCGAATCCAGTTTCCGCGATTCTCTCTTCATTTAGCTCCTCGCGGGCCTTCGTGTCTTCCTCCCACTTTTTCTGGCCTTCTGCTATTTGGTTTACCAAGTGTCCTTTCTCTATTCGCTGTTTTACTGCACTAGTGCCCTTCGATTCAAGTCTTTGAATTTCGTCATTCACTTCCTTCAAGCGACTAGACGGCCAGCCGATCATTTCTTTGTGCACAGCATCTCTCCTCCTCTTCGCTAAAAACGCCGCATCTTGCACCGCTTTTGCCCCTACCGCATCGGGTGGTAGATGCTTTTCCAGATTCAATATTAGAGCTCACTACAGTCCATCTTTGCCTCATCTGTGTCCACTTTTCTACTTGAAATCGGCCTACAGATGAGCTTGAAGGTGGATTAAGTGAGGCCTTAACAATAACGACGCACCAGCTCGCAAACATTCGCCTACGGCTACGTGGTCCGTGGCTTGCTTGTGTCGCAGGGCCATCTGGTTTTGAATCGCTGGCGCGTGAAGACGCTTACTGTAGTCAATTTTCCTCTTCGAGGCGTCGCGTTGGGCGTTGCGCTGGAAGTTTACGTAGACGTAACCCCAGATGCCACGATCGGAAAGCGCAGAATCTGGCAAGCCAAGAGTAAGCTCACGACGCTCTTGCTCCGCTCGTTTCTTCATTTCTTCTTTCAAGTCTTTTTCCTGCTGGGCCTGTGCCTCTTCTGCAGAAAGTTGTTGTTGTCCTTGACCTCCGGCTCCTAGTGCAGCACCAACTGGATTGTTCATCATCAAATTCGCAGCTTGCTGTTGTTGGTGAGCTTCCAGCAGCCGCTGTTCTTGATGAGCTTGGTTATTCCTAATGTTAGGATTCATCAAACCAACCTGTTGCAGCGCCGCCCTTGCGCGTGGGATGCCACTCAAGGCCAAAAATCTTGACAAACGACTGAAATTGGAGACTCCACCAGGCATGCGGATTTTTGAAAAAGCTCCTCCGATCCTGTATCGCAACCAAACCCCTCTCTGCGTCATGTATGAGTTCACGGGTTGACCTGGATTCAGGCTTTCTAGACTCTGGCGAATGCGCATTGCGGTCTCTTTCATCTGCGTGCGGACGATCTGTTTGGTCTCGAAACGAGGGGTAACAACCTTTCGCAGTCTCGTTGTGGCTTTTGGGGAACTTAAGGTATAGTTGTCCTGGGGTCGTGCGCTGGTGGGTCCAGGAGTAGAAGTGTCCATAGCATCATCATCATCATTTTCTTCTTCGTCAATTTTTTTCTTCACGCTCCTCCTTCCCGCCACTTTAGAGTAACGGAAGCCCGCTTCTGCGGAGTTTACCCGACTCCAACCCTTAAACGTAGCGTCCGATGACCAAGACCCGCCGACTGAAGGAAATCGGGCAAACAATCCCTGTTCTAGTCCGTCCATTTCTCTCAAGGCTGAGGCATCTACAACCTGCGTCAATCGTTCTCCAGCCGCTAGAGCTTCTATTGACCGCCTTTGACGGTCTTTGTTCTCTTCCACATGGCGTTTCTCGAACGGACGTAAGCCTGCATCGACTTGCGACTCGACGTCGACGGGTACGAGGTCTTCTGGTGCTAGTGTATTTTGACCAGTGAATGCATTCGCGAACGAAGAGACCCCACGCACAACAGCTTGCCCGATCAAGCCTCCTAATGTCGTTGGTCCTGTTTCTGGAGCAAGGCCCACTCTATTGCGTTTGGCCCAAGCGTAGTCGTCTTCCTCATCCTCGTCTTCTAGGGCAGCCTGCGCTTCTAGCAGCCTCAGGACTTCTTGCTCGCCGTCAATGGGACGAGACATGTTCTGTTGAAAACCTCCACCGGGGAGGAAAGGATTTAGTAGACCACCGGGGGGGAGGAAAGGATTTACTAGTAGACTTGCTTGTTGAAGTGATTGAACACCTCCAGCTGCACGTCGTTCTGCCTCTTCCAGTTCCTTTTGCAGCTTCTCGACCTCACCTTCTTCACGTCCGTTTTTGTGACGTTCATCTTCTTGATCAGCAATTTTTTGAGACTGGGCAACTATTTCCTCGTCCTCGTTGGCTTCCGGGGAAGCCACGGTGCGTAGGAACTTCGTGATCGGAATCGTCCTGTGCTGATGGAAACGCCAAGCCCGTCTGGCGTCAATTGGCGACACCCTGTTCGAGACACGCATAAACTGCAGCTGGCGCATACTGAAATACTGCGGAAACTCGTTCATGTCCCGCGCAAGCTCGAACCATCGCTTTGCCTTCTCGATTCCTCCGATTAGCGCATCTGCGGTCTCAAACAAAGCCTCTGTCAAGGATTTTTCAAGATGCAAGGGAGAAGATGTTTTCATCAAGTAAGACGATCCGAGACTGCGAAGGATGTTCCGCGTGTTCAAGACTAGCCTAACTGCTTGAGCAGCTGTTGCATTCGTTGCTTCCGCTAGCTCCATCGCGATGTCAGTCGCGTTTCGACGACCTGCATCGCCTTCAGCCGCGTCGTCAGGATCATCCATACTGTTAGGAGGCGTAGCATTGATTTCCCCACCTCCTTGCGCTTTTGACTCTCGAAGAGACCCACCTTGACCTTGACCTTTGGTCTTCAACGGTCCCAAGTTATGCTTCTTTCTCCTCGCAGGGTCCAAGGGCTGTCCGAACATGGCATCCACACCGCCAGCGCGGTCTAGAAAGTAAGCATTCGACGCTTTTTCGAGTTCCGCCAAAGCAGATTGGCCACGTCTGAAAACCGCATTTTCGAAGTCGCGAGAAGTTGACTCTTCCTCAATCTTCGTGAAAGTTTCCGCCATAGACTGGAAAACACTAGAAACTTCTCCAACAGCTGCACCAGCTTGGTCGAATAGCTCGCGACGTTGCTGCAAGGATTGATATTGTGTTTGACGAGCTGGCCCGCGTCCGCCACGCACTAGATGTAAATCCTGTGCACTGCTGCTCAGAGACCCAAGCTGACCGACACGCTGCAACAAGCGTCGTTGACGCCAAGTCGTTGTTCTTGTAGTTCTATCGCCCGTGGGGCTATCTGTACTCGGAACTGAAAGTGTCAAGCTATCGAATTCACTCTCTTCCACTGCTAACGCCTCGTCAGCTGTGGGGATTACAGGATGATCCTCGTCGCCTTGGACTCCTGTAGATCCAGGAGCAGCTATTAACTGTGGACGAGCTGAAGGTCCAGCTTGGTAAAAGAAACTCGGATGTAGCTTCAGGCTTCGTAATTCCTCCGACATCTCGTTGCGAAGGGCTGCTGGGATGAATGGTGAAGTTGCAACTTCTTCATCGTTTGCAACTCCACCTGCTCCGATTCCACCACCTCCTCGACCTTGCTGTCTGCGCGCTAATATCATCAAGTTTCTCACCTTCTCCTTCAGAAGTTTTGCGTTGGCTATAGCCCATTTAGTGCGGTCTTCTGGGTGTGCATACACTCCATTCCAAGCGATACGGGAGTCGAGCAATACTCCAGAAGTATTTGAAGACGTACGGATTTGCGCAACACAATTTTGCACCAACGTGGCATCGCGTGGAGTCGAAGGTGCGTCGATAACTTGCTGCACGACTTGCGACAGCTGGGCTTCTGCTACAACATCACGCGACACGTCCCCTAATCGGGAATGCACGTTCTGCTTACCAGGGTTTAACACGGCAAATGTGCCAGCTGTATCGACGATGTTTCCATTCTTGCTTGAAGAAGATACACCTCCGAAGCCTCCACCAGCGCCTCCGAGACCAGCATTGTTTTTCGGTTGCAGTGCTACATCCATCCTACGATCGAGTAACCACTGCGCCCTAGTTCGTACTCGTAGGGAATAAAGCTCCCACACCTTTGCGGTTTGGGTTCCAATTGCAGCCAGTTTATGCTTGATAGATGCCAAGAGACCTTCACGTTGTGTTACCATACTTTGCGCTAACAACGCTACAGCCTTACGAATACCACCAAAATGAGGACGGTGATCGGGAGGTGGGAGTGGCGTTTCTCGCTCCTCAGGAACTTCTTCGGGATCTACCTCCATAGGCTGAGGTTCATCTGGTGCACCCTCATCTCCTCTTTCTGCTCCTTGTTGTCCCTCATTCGCCTGCATCGCCATCTGCTGTCTTTGTTGTATTTCTCGTCTAAGTTCCTTCGCTTTTTCCCTACGCCTTTTACTTTCTTCCTTTTTTTCCTTTTCTCTCTCCTCTTCAGCCTGCCTCGCTGCTGTGTCCGCTTCTGCGTCCTCGTCGAAGTCGTTGTGTAGTTGCTTCGCGGCTTTCGCCACCTGATGCGACCATGGGACCAAACCTGATCCTACTGCTGCCAGAAGGTACTTCATAACGAGTTTTTGACGCACTGGGGAAGGATCACGCTTCACATCGTCCTTGCACATCTGACGATACATCGGCAATAATCCTGCTCGGCCTGCTTGCATTTGCGACCTAATGTAGTCACTCATGGTAGAGCCATCTCCCGTTGTGCTTTGTTTAGACCTAGTGCCAGAACTCCACCTTCTTCCTTGGTGAGCATCTTGTTGGTTCTCGTAGTTGAGAAGCAAACGGGAGCAAGATTCAGATTGATGCTTGATGGGAAGATGGGTTCTTTCTTGGATAAGATTATTTAAGAATATATATAAGTAGCCTTAACTAACAGAGCCTTCGCACCGAAGAGTTCGACGACACAGAGATCCCCGTCCACGATCTCGCTCATTAGCAGGTCTTCCATCTGTTCCACGGAATTCGACTCCAGGGTTTTCGCCAAACTACCTCCCAGCAGTGAAACAAGCGAAGCGACGATCGGAACGTGTCTAGAGTTCAACATCCAATCGCGCAAAGCTAAAAACTTCCGCTCGACTTCCTCCGACTGCGACATTACAACTGGTCCTCTGTAGTGGAGGTCTTCCTGCTCAGGAATGGTGTCATAAACTGAAGCCGCGCAACCGGTGCCGATCAATTTCAACTTGCTTCCAGAAGTGCGTCCAGCACTCAGTACCCCATTTTCGTCGACATTTGAAGCGGCTTGATCCACAACGCGAGCCATGCTGGTGACATTGCTGGTAAGCCATTCTAATGCCGTATCTACAGGCGTAGAATGCTTCGAGCCGTCAGCGCTTATCTCACTCGCAGCAAAAAGAGATGCCGCGTTTAGTGATAACGATGGAGCGGAGAGCAACCTCGCCCTAGAGCCTATGGTGATGAAGTTGGGGATGAGAGCCGCGCGGCCTGTTCTTCCTGAAGAGGCAGGCACAATTCTTGTCAATCCACCTTCAGACATTTCTTCTCCAGCGAGCCAACTCATGATTTCACTCGATTGATGAGACCCACGACGAGCCGTAAGAGTTCCCGTTCCCGGACTCAAAAAATCTGGGAACAAGTATTTCAGCATGTAAGCAAGCAAAGCTTCCGCTAGCGTTCTACGTTCGCCCTCGTCGGGAAAGGAAGCCAATCCTTCTGCCAAGAGCACTTCTAGGTTCACCATTTGCAGCATTTGTGGAGGATAGTGGTCGACCAAGCGACCCTGCAATTTCGCCAGAAACTCCAGAGTCGACGTTGCGTAGTTATTGAAAACTCGTTCGTCTTGCTTAAATGCTTCTTCGCTAAGCAACTCGTCTGCTAAGATTTGCATAGAGGCTCCCAAATGCTCTTGACCGTTTTTGCGAATGTGCTGGAACTCGGCTGAAAAAGTGAGCAGATCCTCCTCACTAGAATCACCAGGAGATGAGCCTCCGTTTCCCACTCGTCCTCCTCCTTGATGACCTCCACCAACCACAATCAAACTGCCATTCACCAACTTCGCATACCACTCGTATATCAATGCCTGGACTTCACCGGTAAGAACTTTTTCCGCCTGTTTTGCCAGTGCACTCAACCAGGTGTCTTGGTCAGCGACAGCACTTTCTACTAGTTGAGCCTTCTCCAAAAACCGCTTCCACGGATCGTCTTGGTCTTCACCTTCAGTTCCAGTGCTAGAATCACTGCCAGTACTACCAGTACTGCTCGCCCATGCTTTTTCAGGATCTACCGAAGGAGGACGCTCAGTCCCGACGAGTGCTTCCATCGTTTGCGCTCCGACAAGAGAAAACTGCCATGCAGGTCTTAGAAGACGCTGGATTTGAGCGCCACCCCAGGAACGGATTCCAAACGCGAAGACCTTGTACGCGAAGAGCCTAGCCTCAGCCTGGAGTTCGTGCCCATGCATAGAAAAGTCCACACCAGGATACTCCGGAGCCGACAGGGGGCACACGATAGGGGGCTCTTTTAGCTGACTGGGTTGCTGTCCTTGTCCTTGCTGTACTGTAGCTCCACGACCACTTTTTGATCTTGTTGCCCCCAAGGCAGCTTCAGCGTCTAACTGTTTTTGATATTCGTCTCCACCCTGTATAGCCCAAAGATACACTCTGGTAGGGTAATGTTTGGCTAGAAGTTTTGACACAGCTTCTGCGGAGATGAATTCTGCACCAGCACTGAGTTGAGATAAAGCAACAATGATGGGCAGGCTTCTTAGATGTTGCAGATCATTTTCGGCGGCATCACCAGGGCTGTTGAAGTTGTATTCCTCCACAAACTTGAAAAACTGCCAAAATCTAGCACGGTCTTCGAGTACAGGAGATCTTCCTTGCTTGGAAGCCAATTTCCGAAGTAAGCGTGCGTTACGTGGTAGAAGGATTTTTTGAGATATCTCAGCTGCTCCCGAAACGGTTAGCCATTCTGATGAAGTTGGAACTTGATGTCGTGCACTACTGCTACTACCAGAACCAGTAGTTGCACGAAAGATTCTCCTAGTTTCAGTGAGTGTTCGATCGCAGACGCGTGAACGCATGTCTTCATTGCTGTATCTGGAATGCAGGAAAACAAAGTGGTCTGCCAGCTTATTCGCCAACAACTCCAAAAAGTCTCGCCACAGATCCATGGAGGCTAACAGCAAGGGCGTACCCTTCGCTAAAGGAGCATCTTCTGGATTCGGGTTCTTGTGCGAGGAGAGGACATTGTTGATGGTTCTTCGTCCTACTTTATTTTCAATCGAGAGCCAGGAACGTGCTTGTTGAAGTATGACATCCGCCCCGGAGCTATTGAACTCCAACATTCTAACCTTCTGCTCCAGTGCATCGACTGCGGCTTTCACACTCGCGTGATTCGAGTTATCGTCGTCCTGGTAATCCGGACGAAGTGTCGCCATTAGAATACACCTGTTGATAGTAGCCATTGCTTCACGTGCTCTGGATTTCCTGTCAGAGGTCGTGGCTGTTGCACCAGCCACTTGAACATCAAGTTCCTCGCGGCTAGTACTAGTTGTAGACAAGAAGTAACCTCCCGTGTTCAAGTCTTTCCCTCTTGGTTCTAGAAACTCCTTCTCAATTCTGTGCTTCAAATCTGCCATCGCCTTTGCCACTGGAAAACTAGCGGCGCTCAATTTCTCCTCGTACACTTTTGCACTCCCACCAAAGGCTTGCCCCACCTCGCTAGCAGCACGTCTGAAGGCGGAAACGACACCTTGTGCGTTGGTTACGCTTTGTTCGTCCACTTCCATATTACCTATTCCTCCACCCATGTTGATGTTGAAAGTAGATGTTTGCAGATAATTTGCGACTTCTTCGAGCTCATCCACGTCTTGCACCAAATCTTCAACGGCAAATATGCTCATTTCTGCGTCAAGACGCTGCTTCAAGTCATCGCTGACCAGAGTGCGCAGAAGTTGGGACATCCAGGATAGTGGTCGACCCCGAATCTGAGTCTTAGTTTTTCTTGTCCTAGAAGTTTTTTTGGAAAAATGATCCTTTGTTGAAATGCTGATGTTGTAGATCTTCTCTTCCTCTGCACTAGTACTGGTCGCAGCTGCGTCAGCGTCTTCGTCTGGATAATATTTCCCCACCACTTCGATCGACCCTGACAAGACGTCGTTCACAAACCATGTGGAAACACGAAACCACTCAGCAAAGCGTGCTCGAAGCACCATGGTTAAATTCGCATCCCCGCTGTCTGCCGCACACTTTTCCAAAGTCTGCGATGCTGCGTAACGCGATTTTTCGCGAAAAAACGAAGTCCACCACGTCTCGAGCTCTCGAAAGGCTGCACCTTGTTCCTGCTTCCACGGCATCTCGTCTCCATCGTATTCACTTTCACGACCTCGACCAGCAGTAGTACTAGGTAAAACGTCTCGCAGCGGAAGATCGACAGGAAAAATTTTCTCGTGGTCGGCATGTGAAGAAGGAGCTGCTCCTGTAGCTGAGTGCGCTGGTCGATGTTGTCCTTGTACTTCTTGACCTTCCACTACAACAACGCCTTCCATTGGCTTCTGTTCGCCTAATTCCATGCGTTCTATTCCTGCAGTTATTTCAGCAACTGCATCATCTGCCTTGGCCTTCTTTGTTGCACTACTAGGTTCAGTCTCAACAGCAGGCACTTCTTGCACGTCTACTTTCTCCTCCTGCTGCTGCTGCTCCTCTTCATCCTCATCATTCATTTCTAAGACAGTAATAGGTCTATGCCGATCCGCAAATGCTGCACCCAAGTTCCTACAACGAGCTGCGTGAGCACGATAGAGATATTTAGCATTGCTCAGCAGACCCTCGACCGAGGCATTGATTGCATCGGGTTCGGATTCGCCTGCGCCCGCTGTGAATTGGGCTGTGGTGGTTCGTGCACCCTGGTTTTCGACGAAAACTTGGGTGCCGAGTTGTTTTTCGTTATCCAGATGCTTCCGACTGCACATTCCACCAAAAACTTCGTAGTCTTCTTTTTGCAGCAGGCGACGTAACTCCCTGAATCGCAGCATACCAGACGAAGAAAATGATGCGGCCGATGCAGCACCTGGCTGTTGCGGCAGAGGCAGACGAGGGTTCCAATGGTGAGGTAAATGAGAGGAGCTACCAAGATCTCCTTCATCGTAGGTGCATGGTACTTGTAGTAACTTTTTCAGGTACGAGGCAACCTCAAAGATATTTTTCGCTGCATCACTGCGTTCTACCAGTGCTGTCCAAGCTTTGAGTCCACCTGGAGTTCCGCCATTGATCCATGGCAAGTCCGCTCCTTTCGCAGAAACCGAAGATACCGTCAATCGGGACACATGTTCTGCTACACAGACCACGTAGTTGTGCGTCTGCAACCACTCGCGCAAACGCAGCATCGTTCGACTACGCAGAAATAACGCGGACAGAAGTCGCGTAGCTTGAGTTGGTGTTTGGATCTGCGTGAAGCGGTTGGCATCCTTCTCATTCAATTTCATGTTCGGGTCATCAACATCCTGTGCCATCCTTTTGGCCTTGTCATCCAATGCGACGAACTCACGTGCACGCGCTTCTTCCTGCTCGCGAAGAATGCCGTAAAGGCCCAAATCCTCTTGGTTATTGCCCGAACTCGCACTCGCAAAGAGGCCATGACTCAGCTCATTCGCCTTGTCGGTGATCAGCATTATCAAACGTCTATGATCGGAAATGAAGGTTCCCGCTGACTCAGCAGCCGCCGACCCACTAGGAGCCTGATGCTCTTGAGAAAGAAGATCGCCACGACCTCCACCAGCGCCACCATCAGATGTAAAAGCATCTCTTACAGCTTTTCCTCCTCCTCTAGAAGCAGCTCCAACACTCAGAAAACTGCGTCCAGTGAAATCCAGAGAATGTGTCACTTCATGCAGAGCAGCGGGATTTACGAAAACCTTTGAGAAGAAAGCACGTTCCAAAGCCAGAAATAGACCACCGATTGCAGTTTCTTCTATCACAGGATCGTTCAGAAGAAAGAGATGTTGCATATCAATATCCTCGACGTTCATAGAGGCATCTTGTTGTCCATCCGAAGAAGGTACAGCAACAGCACGATCTTCGAGGCCTCCGCTTACGATTTTTTCCATCCTCTCTGTTTGGAAGAATCTCAGCATACTGGCATAGTCCGATTCGTAGGCAATAGGGAGATCAAAAAGTAGGGCTGTAGAAGTCGTCTTTTTGCCAACAGAAGAGCTAGTATGAAGATGAGGTGGTTGCCGCAACAGTGGAAAAAGAGCAATGTCTGACCAAGCAAGCGCATTGCCGCTCACAGCCGCGCCAGCGTCACCACCGTACAGCGCGAGGGTTGTGCGTGCCTTTAGTTGATCTCTCAACCAAGATTCTCGTTTTTTTGTCATCCTTATCCCTGTCCTGTCCACTGTTGGCTGCTGTCGCGCCTGTCTAAGCGTATCCACCACAGCCGATGCAAGGCCCAAGAGCTCGTAGACAAACTCCAATCCATGGACGAAGGCAACGCGACGGTTCGTGACCCCAAATTTGGCGCGCCAAACAGCTTCGGCTGCCCAACGTTCCGGTCTAGCACGAAGAGCAGCAGCACGTCGACGATCCATCTTTGAATGCTGGTCATGCTGTTCTACCTTCTGTTGTGGAAGAATTACAGCTTTAGACGTGGAATTGGCTTTTGACGGGGATGTCGATGATGCAACTCTTGCTTTTGCTTCAACTTCGATAACCCCCTTAGACAGGAACAGGTTGGGTATTGCAGCCGACGCAGCATTGTCCTCAACTGAGCGCCGTATAGTGTCCTGTTCCCCGAGCAACACCGCACGTTTGTTCAGGTATCGCTCTTTTATACACGCGAAGGCGGATTTCAATCGCAACGCAGTGATATCATGCTTCTCCGCTAGCTTTTCCCGTACCGTGGCCATATGTTGAGGTAGGTGCTCCCACATGTCATTGCGAATACGTTCAGAAAGTACACGACTTGGCACATCCCCACCTCCTTGTGCGGTTATTTGCATCTTTCCATTGTCCGAATAGGCTTTGATCATCTTCTGCAAGTCGCGCGATTCCACGAACCATTCCTGACTCTCCTCCTCCGAAAGACCCAAAGCATCCAAAAAGGAGCTACTACCCGCTCGGACGTGAAACAGCTCGAAGCAAGCTGATTCTTCCGGGTCAAATCCTTCGCCACTGCGTGTCTCGCCAAGACGAGAGAAGAAGCGAGAGGCTAGAGGGCTGAAGATTCCACCACCTAGTGCCGTAGATAACTGCACAACCACAGGGTCATCCACTAACTTCGTGGCCATCACACCTCCTACTCCTTTTGCATGCATTTCAACTTGAGTAGTTCTTGACGAAAAAGATGCACCAGCTTTAGCAGCTGTTGTTGTAGGTTCCCTAGCAGCAGAAGAAACACCAGCAGCGCTAGCGATAGTAGGAGGAGATACACCCTCCATATCCAAAAGTGCCAATGGGTATTCTGCTCGCAGAAAGTAATCGATCTCGCCTACTTGAATAGTCAAATCGGACACCGCATCTTCGCACTTGCCAAATAAACGCCACTGCTCCCGCAGAGTAGACTCCGTTTCATGATGCACAGCGTCACTCTGATCGAAAAAGTCATTACCATTTTTAGCTTCTTCTTGATCGTCAGGAGGAGATGCGTGCGAAGCTGCACCAGCAGAACCTGCACCAGCAGACCCTCTTCGACTTCGTGACAACAGAGAAGCAGGAACAACCCCAACCCGTCTGTAATGCGTAAAAACGGGGATGTATTCGCTACTGCCTACATCTTGCACTTCACTCTGGTCGAGCAAGCCCCCTTCGGCGAGCTGGTGCTGAAAACTGGTCGCATACTCCTCCATCGCCGGTGATACCGCACCCACACGAGTGAGACCAGCAGTGTAGAGTCTAACTAGTTGTGTTCTCCATGCTGAGGCTGACGATGATGTTGACCGTAATTGCTGGTGGGCTTGAGATACAAGTTTTGAAGAAGCTTCAAGGTGGTGTCTCCTAACCTCATCACTTTCCTTCACAAGGAGCACAACACTTCGAAGCATGGGCTCGATCCTCTTGCGGACATGACGATCGAGATTCGCTAGTCCGGTCATGTATTTTCTTCGTTCGTGATAGAGTTGTTGCGTCAGTTCTTCATAGCGGCGGTTCCAGTCTGTCTCGTCGTCTTTGGTCCACGTACTTTTAGAAGTCCCTCGATCTGTACGCAAATTGACGAGCGAAAGTAGACGTCGGTAGAGGCTCTTCAATTCAGCGGAGTTGGCGTACAGGCTTCGAATATGCAACAACGAGCGGCGTAGGCGAGTCCAGTAGTCAACATGCCCCAAAAGTGTCTCGTCGACTGCATTGTCTAATCGGCGGGCTCTGCTGTTGGCAGATGCACTCAATAGCATTTTTTCTGAAGCAGATAATGCTTGAGGTTCCGAATCTGGATGCACTCGTCCACCTACTCCTGCAGTTGTACCAGGTTGCGACATCACGGACGTTCCAGAGGTGGAAAACGGTGGACGCGCCATAGAGGCACTGAAGATGGCGTCAGCAGCTAGCAATGTCGGACGCACAAACAGCATGCAGAACATTTCCGCTTGTCTGATAAACGAATCCAACTCGTCCCCGAATTCAGCGAAGGCAATTACAGGGACATGCTTGATAATTGATGTCCCTGACAGAGAACTAGTGGTAGTGCTTGGCGAAGAAGACCTAGTAGTGCTTGATGATGTTCTGGACAGTGCTTCCCGCATCATGGCCCTTTGCTGTTGCGCAGACGTGAAATCAGCTGCGACGTCGAGTTCCATGTCGTCCCGTGATTCAGGACGAAAGGGAGATAGAAGATCTTCTGACAGTTCTTCGCGTTGACCTGCTACAACGAGAGAGCTTCTGTCCTTGTCCACACCACCAAGAAGAACGTTAGGAAAGAATATAGTGGCAGCCAGCTGAAGAGATTTAGAGTATCCATCGGGCCAGTAGGTCGTTTTTGCTTCGCGAGTACTGTGAGTAGTTTGTAGTTGATGATGTTGGGCTTGTTGATGAGGTTCTTCTTTGAGGATGAGGAAATCGCTTTTCAGCGTAATATTTTGATGCCCTTGTCGTTGAAGGAGTTCGGCAAATAAAGTCTCAATGTTCATCCTCATCGAACCTCCGGTCCTACTACTTCTAGAACTAGTTGTTCTACTTCCAGTAGACCCTTTATTTGTTCCCTTTCCACGACCGCGTAGTAAACATCGCGCACTGTGCTCCCACAACTGTCGCCACAGACGCTGCCTTGCCTGAGCAAATGCTGCGGATCTTAGTGCCCTATACCTGCTGGGAGTAGTACTAGCAGCTGCAGTCGAAGATCCTGAGATTGATGGAATTGAAGCAGACGCTGCTCGAGCTCTCGAGGAGGTTCTAGGCACATTGATAATACGGAGAGTCATGTCCTGCGCCACCTTCTCTGCGACAGCGCGTGCCTGGGCTGCCGTGAAGGAAGGACCCAGAAGAGATACCTGTTGAGCTACCCTTGACCAGTACTGTTGCAAATCGGCTTTTGCTAGCTCTGCTTGCTGCTTTTCTAGCAGCTGTAGTTTTTCTAACTCCTCATCTGTGTCTTTATGTGGTTCTTGTTCTACAGCAGGGGTCGTCGCCATCATCCTTGAGACGAGGATTCGCTCAACCACCAACATGAGGAGCTCACTCACGACGCTCGTCATCTCTAGCTCCTCGTCTGCGACGAGGACGCGTCCTTGTTGACCTACTTGACCGCCAGAAGAAGTGGATGCGAGTTGTAGCATCAATCGATTTAAGACTGTGCTAGCTTCGGATGCAGAAGATTCTTGACCCGCTAGCACCTCATGAAGCAATTTCTCCTTGCCTAGAGTACCATCAACAAGAACAACCTGCGTTAAAAAAGCCTCCCTCGTTGTGTCAGAGGAAACGATCTGTCCAGTACTTCCCCTTCCAGGAAAGAGCGACTTCGCGAGTCTATCGATCACGTTCAAGCCTGCTGCACTTCCTAGTACTTCGTCCGTACTGCCGGGGGACCCGGATGCCTGAGAAATTATTGTACTAGAAGATCCTCCAAAAACGACACTGTAAGCTGCCTCCGCTTGTTCCTGTAGGCGCTTACCCAATTTCTTCCAGATCGCTGATGAAGGCGATTCTTGATCGACCACTTGTAAAAACGGTTGATCATCTTCTACTCCACGACTGATGTCCAGTACTTGAAAGGCTCGCGCGAGCGGCGTGACATCTCCTCCTAGTGCGGTTGCGATGTCCTTCGTCGGCGTCCACCCAAATCGGTGCCACGTGGTGCGGACACTGCGCTCCCACAACGCTCGGTCCAAGCGGCGCCCATGCGCATCCGCTTTGCGGCGTTGCCTTTGCAAGAACTGGCGCAAAATTTGCTTCATATCGAATAGCTGGCGCATCGAGGATCTCCTGGCTCTTAAGGCTAATTCTTGCCGTTTCCGTTTCTTCAGGTCGTTCTCGTTCATCTCGGTTGCCACTTGTTGCGTGGCTGTTTGTTCACTCCTCTGTTCCTGCTCTTGCTCTTTTCGGCTCTGCTGTTGCGCTAGCATTTCCGCTTTGGCAGGCCTTAGAAGACGAAGGTGACAACACTTTTTTTGCATTTCTCAGAGAAGTTCAGACTCAATATTGATGCTCAGGATCGCTGACTCCTTTCATCTTACAACTACGTCTAGGAAACAAGTCAAGAATGGTAGAGATCATGACAGCGTAACGTTTGCAACAGGTACAGAGCAGATCCTTCGTGAAATAGTACTATGTTAGGACTAACTCTAAGTCTAACAGTAGTTGATACAACTAGAACAACAACCAAGTACAACTACAAGTAGAATTAAGTCGGACGGTAATAATTACATACTGCATGTGCATGTTATAACACTAACCCTTAACTGAATATTCGATGCCACCGTCTGCAGTACGACTTCGCGACTTTGTTGCATCTGTTGGTCCCACTGGTCTGCTTTTTTCAAAGCTCTAGCCAGATCGTCCTCAGCGTTCTCACCACGAATCTGCAATACCTTATTCGCCCTAAGCTGCAGCACCTGATTCGCAGCCACGGTTTGGTCAGTTTGTTTGCCAAACTCGAAACTGTGTGTCAACGCGTCAGCGACGTCCTCTGCCGCCTTCCTCGCATCCTGAAATTTGGCGGCTTCTGCGAGAACGTGTGAGGCGACTTGAGCTTGTTTTTGAGCGTCTTTGAGAGCTCTGCGAGAGCGAGCACCTGAAGCGTCGTTTTCAATGATTAGAGCCCAAAACAATTCATTATTTTTCTTGATCTTGCCTGCTGCATTTCTCCGCCCAATCCTAAATAAGAAGGTACTCTACTTAATAGGAAAAAATGCGCAGTGTAGATGAAATGAATGGCTATTGCGCCTTAACATGATCTCCTTGTGCAATTGGTCCAGGTGAGCGTTCTGTTGCTGGACGGCTTTCGCTAAGGCAGCTACGTCGTTTAGCGATTCCGACAGCAGTTCATTCTGGTTCTGCAACGCCAACTGCATCGTGTCCTCTTTCTCTTGGTCGCGCTCTTGCGCCCGATGCCTTTGCTTCTCTAGATCTGCGGCAGCTTGGTGCTGCTTGGCATTCTGCCTCTGCTTTTCGCGCTGCTTGCCCTTCAAATGACGACGAGTTTTCCGCAAACTCTTGTTGAATTCGTTCTTCTCCTGCACGTCGGGATCTCGCGCGTAGGGTCGTGGGCGCCGTGATCGCGACATAAGAGCTACTGGATGGGCGTCTGTTGCCTTCTTTGCCGACCGATCCACAAGCACAGGAGGGGTGCCTTTAGTTAGAGCTACCGCGCTCGCATCCCCGAGAACCTCCCTGGTCCCTTTTTCTCCTTGAAAAATGGGCCAACAAGGATGATGTTGAGGATGGTCCAGCGGTAGCCTTAATTTAGGGTCCCAGGCAGCCTTGCTCATATCCTTATACTCTAGTGATGTTGTAGGGACGCTCGCGGCCGCTTCTGCGTGCTGCGGCTTATCAACGGAAGTATACATCACCAGAGGTGGCCCCTCCGCCATCCGCTCTGTGGCGGGACGAAAAATCCAATCAACGACATCCAAGAGAGGGATCCACGACCACAGCCACAACGGTTTTGACGTGTTTTCGTATACCCCAGTATCTGGGTATTGATTCAGAGGTTCCAGCGCAGCGTTCTCACGGCGCCAGGCATGCCATGCTCCTGTTAATGGCAGGGTTGGCTGAATTACCACGCCGACGAGAGTAGCTACAGCCGCATCCCAGATCCAGGTGTGCCAATCGACCCCGCCAGGCATTGCGATCCAATCCGAAGAATCGCCATCTTCGAGGTCTTTCAGGTTGAATTGAAGTCCTCGATGGTAGCCATACTTCTTGAACATGAACGGCTCGCTCAGTGTGGTTCCGACGTAGTTTGTGAAAAAGCCCTCGTATCCAGGCCCGCTCGAAATCTTTATTGCGTCAAATCCATCGCGCCCGGGGCTGCAGTCTCCACCGCGGCCGTTGAAAATTTCGTCTAGAATGTTGCTCGCTCCTTGCTTGCTTCCAGGACTGTAGCCTGCGTCCAGTGCGTCCCCTCGTCTAGCACTGCCGTCGCTGCTGTTGGCACGGGCAGTGCTTGCGCTCATAGGCCAATAAACCTTGTGTCCGTCCTTGTCCTCAGGCAGCGCTGCAAGATAGGAGCGGCGAGCGACTCCTTTAAGTTCCCATGCATCGGTACCTCCGGCATCTCCAAAGGTTGCACTTTCGCTGTCGCCCTCCCCTTTTCGCACTTCTACGTCAATCACGAAGGAGCCCGCTGCACCCGGCAGGCCTCCCGCGCCCGCATAACCTGCATTTCCACCCCATTCGCCTGCGGCACCGAAACTCCCCTGCGCGATTGAACACGCGTAGTCGATTGCTGTTTTGCCACGTGACCCCGTTTTCCGTAGATGAGGACAATTACACAACCAGTCCGTGTCCATATGCACAAGTGGACCCCCCAAAATTCCACGTACTAGCTTTTGTACAATATACTCTTTGTTGTTTGCGTCTCCTTTCACCCAGTACCTTTCTTAGAGGTTGAAACATTTCATTTTTTAGTAGCAATCTCAACAAGTAGAGAAAGCTTGTAAAAAAAATGAAATGCTTCAACCCTTAACTTTCTATGAATTTCTCGCCGGGTTCCGCTTCCATATCGTTCCGTGCTCCGTTGTCCGCCATCCCGCCAATTTGCCCGCCTGTGCCGCGACCCCCCCGCGTCTCGATCGACAACAGGCGGGACAGTTCCACACTCGGAACTGCCGCTTCCAATATCGCAACGCGCTCTTTCGCTTCACGACTATTCGCTAGTTCCGGTGACAGTAACGAATTTTGCTGGTGCAAACCACCTCCTGCTTGACCTCCAGAATATGGACGAGTCGGAGGTTTGCCATTGCGCCAGCCACGCCCTCCGGCTCGCACGCGAATCGCCCAGTTGCCTGCCTGTTGGCCTGGGAAACCATCGAAACCATGGGCCCCGTTCTTCCCTGAGGGTAGGTGCGGATTTTCAGGATCCCGTAAATCCATTCCGGAGACAGCCCTCACGTGCTGCACAGAATATTGCCACCTAGCTAAATCTGCATCTTGATTTTTGCTTTGCTTTAGACGAGGAGCTCAAAAAATTTTTTCAAATCATCCACTTAGTTGTACGCCCAAAGTCTTTATTTTCATTTTCTCACTCTCAGAGTGAGTTCTTCCAAATAATAAAGTAGCAAGAAAATAACAATATTGAAGACGCAGAGGCGTTGATGTACCAAAGAGTAGTTTCAGTCTTAACTGTGTATATTTAGCCAAGTCTTCCTGTTCTTGTCGCGCGGCTTCCTCGGCGTCGAGTTCGTCTTCTCTGGCCTCTTGTTCCATCTGTTCCATATGCGGCCAATCATACTCGCCTTTCTCCCGGTCGAAGCCACGAATGTCAGCTACGCCGTCCTCGCTTTCTACAAGCTCAGTTTTGCCTACAGCTTCGCGCACGTCCGTCCGGACCTTTCGTAACTTCATTCGTCTTCCTACAATGACATTCTGCTTTGGAGGTCCATCTTCTGCTTGTGTAGCTGTAGTAACACCAGCCTGTTGACCATTTCCATCTTCTCCTGAAGGAGTACTACCCTGACCTTGAGCTGTACTCTTGGAGGCGGGAACTTCAACTTTCATTATAGATGGATCGAGAAGAGCTCTAGTGACGGCGACAGGTGTATC